ATTACTTTTTCTTTACTGCCCGTCTTTATTTTTGTATTTAATTTTAAATTGGTTTCCCTCTTTCGATCATTTTTATTTTTAGTTTCAATAAGTTGAAATATTGAACTTATTAATTACAGTTTTATGAAGAGTGGTAGAGAAAAAAATTTTTTTTAGAAAGAAATTTAAATTTCGATAATTTAGCTAATGAAGAAGACCAAAATTCTTTTTTCTTTCAGAAAATTTTTTACGAAATTTTATGGATGTATTCTATAAGTATTACAAAAAGGAGAAATAAACTTTTTTTTTATTTTTTGGAAATCGGTAAAAATGATAAATTCAAGGGTCCTGCGTAAATTAAGTTACATAAAATTAATTTTATAGAGAATATCATTAATCTAAAAATTATTTTTGTACCTTATAATGGATATAAAAATTTTTAGGTTCCTGCGATGAAAATCGGTGGATGGGTGTAAACTTCTTGTAACTTTTGAATGGTTTAGCCGATCGAAACATCATTTGCAGTAGTCCAGAAGGTTTCCTCAAATTTAGATTTTCTAAAATTTTGAACGAATTAGACCAGATTAATGATGAGAAATCTTAAAGATAAAAATTTCAAAAAAATAATTTTTTTGAGCAATTCTGAAACTGTTGTACCAATACCAATCACTCTTATAACATAGTCAGCTCCCAAACTCAGTAAAACAAAACGTGTTTTTTTTCGCATAACTTTGAATAGTATATTACACACCGAGGGAAGTAAAGTAAGAAATGTCTCAGATCACATGTAATTGTTGGCCGAGGCGAAGCCGAGGTCAACAAACATGTGATCTGAAGCTTTCTTATTTACTTCCCGAGGAGTGTATGCTATTTTTTTGCTCGACAAAGGCAGAAAGTGGCAATTTAGTTTAGCGCAGCGGGCCGAAATTTGACGCTTTCTGCCCGTCGAGCAAAAAAATTTTTATCGGATCGATTTTTATGTAATAAATAATCTAATTTTGCTGAAAAAAAAAAATAATACTCTTTTTAAGTTTATGAACATTTATCGGTCTTTAAAAAAGATAAAAGAATTTTTTTTTTATGAAGTCTTGGATATCTTAGTGAAAAAATTGATACAGAGCAAAACTAATAAGAAACGTCAAATTTTTATTTCCAGATTATATGTTAACTTTTACGGACTTTTAGATTTTTATGATTCGCTTATAAGAAACGAAAGTGCACGTCATGTTTTATAATAGAATAACTTTCGACTGTCAAAAAATATTAGATGACGAAATAATTATCCTTAAGAATTTATCTTAAAATAGCTTGTAAACTTCACCTGTCGAAAGAAATAATAGAAAAAAAAAAGTTCGCGAGCTGATTAAATTTTCAAGTTTAAAACTGACGAAAATAGAGTCAATAATACATTTTTTCAATAACTTTCACTGAAAAAAAAAAAAAAAAAAAAAAAAAAAAAAAAAATGTGTCACTTTGATGTTTATTCACGTTTCTTCTAAATAAATCACATTGAATTTTGAAAAGCCAATTGCATTTAGAAACAAATCAATTATTCTTTTTAAAAATTTCTTTCTCAACTTTAAATTCTTCATTCCGTTTATTCTTATTCTTGGGTCTTGTCTCGAACAAAATTAAAACGCGCATTATCTTTTTACACCTGCCAACTTTCCAGTTTACTTTCGCCAAAATATCTCGTCCTACAAAACGCTCTCGTAATTTTTAATTTTTGTTTCACAAAAATATAATTCATCTATTTAACAATAACTCAATTAAAAAAAAATGATAAATTCATTAATTTAACAAACATAATGAATTATTCTAAATAACTCGAAATTGTCACATAAAATTATTATGTTCAAGCTCTTTAAAGTTTTAGCTTACATTGAATTAAAATTAATTTTATAATAATATTTCAAACAAAGGAAATTACATCAGATTTAAAGAGTTTACTGCAGTGAAAGAGTATAAAGGTATACATATGGAAGATTTTTAGCTGAGATTATATTTTCTCTCCGCTAATATAATGTTAGTTGTATAAACAACGAAAAATTTCAAAGTTGTCTGATGTTCGTGTGAATTCACATCCACGCTGCATTGTTTCCTTACCACCAGAAGTTACTCAAAGAACGCGTTTCTCTAAGTATTGATACATCTATATTATACATTTATACATACATTTAATAGATGCTTGATGCTTATACATAAAGATTCTTGATGAAACTTTCTAAGCAAGTTAACTTCTTGCTCACATCAGTTTTCATATTGCACGCAAATTTACTATTATAACTCATCTATATTTATTATTTTCATCCAATAATCATAATAATATTACATTAAAACTATCATACCCTCAGGAAAATTGAATTTTAATTTTACTCTTGGGTATTACTTATGATCATGGAGGTCATGGCGATGTTAATCATAACTTATGTACGGTAAATGTAATCTTTCATCGCATGAAGGTCATTATTTTAAGGGATAAGTGAAAGTTATAATACAATACATAAACTTGAGAAAAAAATACAAATATTTCTTTTTTTCGTTTCACTCTTGTTTTAAGAAGTATTGTTTTTTTTTTTCAAGAAATTGATTCGAAAAATAATGCATTAAAACTTGAGAAAGCGAAAAGTACTTCGGAAGAATTTTATTGTTTTTTAACGAGATACACATATACTTCGATAATTAAAATACACTGTAACGTTTGTTCAAAATATTAGCGACTTGTTTTAAAAATGCCATTAAAACTACAAAATCTTGGATTTCTATTTCTATCCCATCAAAAAAAAATCTCAAATGTGTTTCATAGTATTTTGGCTTGTCTGACGTATAAAATCTTGGAAACTGGTCAACCAAAGTTCTTGCGGCTCTTATTCACAGATGAAGATCTTGACATCAGGAAATCAAACAGACTTGCAGCAAAAACCAATAATATATGTTCAAAATGCCAAATTTTTCTACCATCTTTTATGAGCATTCGTTTTTGGTATCAGCTATTCGTCTGTGGCAGGAATTACCAACAGAAATTACAAATTCATCGTCACTTCAAATTTTCAAAAATAAAGCATATGAGTTTTTTATGAATAAAGAAGCAAGCTCTTGACAATTTATTATTATGTTTGCAACTTCTTAGTATTTTGAACATTACATATACTATTATTTATCTGTATAAATTTATATTAACCTTGCATAATCTTGTTTAGATTATGTATACCTTTATGTGGTTCCATGATTTTTGACCCCCCGACAAAATATCCCGGACCAAAATATGGTTTTTCTGAAATAATAATTATAAATTATTATAAATTTATAATTTATAATTTAATAATTATAATAAATTTTTCGAAAATTTCAATAATTATAATTATTATTTCAGAAAAACCATATTTTGTCCGGGGATATTTTGTCGGGGGATCAAAACGCCTGATACCCCTTTATGTATTACGATATTTCTCTTTCTGTTCACTTAACATAGAATTATTTTTCAAATGTTTTAAATATACATTATAATTACTTACATGATTAAATAAAACTGTTACATTTTTGTATTTGCCATTAGGCTTATTGCTTTAGCATATAAATTAAATAAATAAAAAAAAAAAATATTTTGAAGTGAAAATTTAATTCTTTCAAAAGATTTTTTTTTTGTATTTCTATAATGAAGAAACTAGTTCTTCAAGTAAAAAAATGAAAATATTGTTAGTTAAAGAGAATTTTTCTTGCAAGATCCATGGACAAAGAATTTGATGTATCGAAAGAAGATGATAATCTCTTAATTCAATTAAAATATTTATTAATCAAAGATATTGAGCCAAAATGACAGAATTAAAAACCAGAAATTTTTGAAGCGCAACAATTGGTTTTATACACTAATAAAAAATCTGGGTTCAAAAATAATTTCTTAGCTCAAGAATTTATCCTCTTGACTCAAGAAAATCAATTTTTTCAAAATGGTATTTTTGGTTTAAGATTTCTTCTCTTGAATCAAGGTTACTTTTTTATCAGTGTAAAAAATTACGGTATTCTTGAATCAAAATTATTTCCTTTTAACAAGATCGTTTTTCATCAACATACAACCTACACTGATAGAGAAACAATCTTGATTCAAGAAACTTTTTTTCTTCAAAACTTGAACTCTTGAAACTAGATATAGATATATTTCTTTCAAAAATTTTTGTCTCTTGGTTCAAGATAGGCGATAACATTGATTCAAGATGTTACCGACTTGTGTTAAGAATGGCTTTTTTTGAGTCATTAATTTAATTATTTCCAAGAAAAAAATTTTTTTTGGTATAACAATTAAAGACTATTCAGTTTTTAAAATCTCTGATGAATTATTTTAAGTTTTTTAAACGATGATGTTATTTTGATTGAAAAACTTAAATGTATTGATTGAAGATAATATAGCTCTTAAGCCAAGAAAATCTAAATCAAGACAAGAAATTCTTAAAGCAAAATAATTATTTGTCTTCCAAAATAAATTCTTAGATCGAGAAAATATCTCTTGAGTCAACATGAATTTTCTATCAGTGTACGATAACTTTTTAATAACTTTAATTCTTTCTGAAGAAATTACTTTTTTTGTTCATTAACTAGCGTAAATTTATAATTTATAATTTAGTATTTCAATAATTAGTAATAAGTGATATAAGATGATAAAATCTGGTTAAATTATATGCTACTATTTTAATCGTGATGAAAATGAGTTGCTTTCTCGCAGTTATAACTCACATTATTTAAAAGTTAAGATGTTGACTGCTGTATATGCCATCATCTTGGTCCTAATCCGAGTAAAGAGATTCTACAAGTGTTGGAGCTCTACTTGGCGTTATTGTATGCGGAGTAGAGAGAAACTCACCACAGCAACCCGTGGCACGAATTAACGTACGGGAATAATGAATATAGACGACCTGTAGGTCAGTTTCCTCTTGCGTTAGTGAAATTGCAGTTTCTCAGAATAAAACTAAACCGTTTACATTAGATTTTACCATAAAGATACTTTACCATAACGAAAATTTGTTAGATTATTACGACGTATCATTTTATCAGCGGAAGTAATAATAATTTCTTCTTTCTGTTTGCAGTTTCAACCACCAATTGACCCACGACCACGCTTGTCAACAACGCAGCAACAGCAAATTTTAAATGATGTTCAACAGCATCAACGTCGTTTTAATTTCGGTGAGTTTGGTTTCCGTAAACTATATTTCTTCGTTTCATTTTCTGATTTTAAGTCAATTCTTTGTTTACACTAGCCAAATATCGAGTGGATCCACTGAAACAGCAATTCCAGCCGCCGCAACAACAGCAACAGCCACAGCCACAGCCTCAACAGTCAGACCGTCCATTTTTCCAAACTGCACAATCGCAGTACCAGTTTCCGCGACAGAACTTTGCTCCAACGGGACTGAATCCGTTCAGCGCCTTTCAAACAGACTTGCCAATAATCAACTTTCGTAATTCACCAGACGAATTGAACTTTTTCAATGATCCAACAGCTACTTTGCAGCTTCAAAGCTACTACGAAAAGCAACGAGAACTAGAACTCTTGAGAAAACAAAGAGAGCAGTTGATTTTGGAACAGCAGGAGCTGAGACGGCAGCAAGAATTATTGAGACTTCAACAATTAAGAGCTTTGACCTCAACTACACCCAAGCCTACAACAACAACTACTACGACCACAACTCAGCAGCCTATTACACAATCTCCTGCACTGTTGGCTTCGCCCTCCTCCCGCAGAATCACTCCAGCAGAATCAGAAATATTCCTAAAAGCAATTGCGAATCATCAGAGAAAATTCACAACAACGGCTAAGCCAGTTACACCAAAACCAGAAGTTACGACTCATCGATCACGACAAGAGCGTGTTCAAGAAGATCAATTCACCCAAGATATTCCCAAAGAACTTTTGTCCCTGATCCAAGCTCAAAATCCCCAGCTTTTAGGTGGTGGTAAAAACAAACCGCAAATTAAAATTATTTATCAAACGGAGAAACCGGCAACCCAGAGGGCAACGTTGAAAACAAAGAGTTTAGAAAAGGATTTACTGTTGAAGCAATTGAAGCTTGCGCTTGCGGAAAATGCTGAGGCTGAAATTGAGAAAAATGTTACAACACGTGACTTGGTTCTGCCAAACGGGAAGAAACTCCAAGTTATTCAAGCACCGAACGGGTTGTCTTCAATTATTCCTAATGAAGGTTCCAGTCAGTTTCAAACAGTGACCCAAGCTTTGGATACCAAAACTGCTTCGACTACGAGTGCTCCGTCGACTGTTAAATTTGCAAGCACTAGTCTGGAAGAACTAGCCAAGGGAGTGTTACCTCCTGGCGCGGACTTTGAAGTGCTCAAGCACAAAGATGATGGTAAATTGGAAGAAGTTGGCAAAGTACCAATTCAGAATTCTGAAAAGAAGGTGACTTTTGTGGTTCTTGAGGAACAATCTGACGGTAGTTACAAAGTACAAGGTGTGAAGGGAAACAATGGAAAGGACAATAGTTCTGATGTACAAACAATTGTAGAGAGGATAAAAAATGGCGAATTAAAACTACCTCCTAGCTCCAGAAGTCCTATTTCAGATGATAAAACACCTATTACGACAGTAACTAAGCCAACTACTACAACTACGACTACTACTACTACAACTACTCCTTCTACAACTACAACTACTGTAGAACCAACGACCTACAAGCCATCAACAACTGTTGAACCAACTACTGTTAAGCCAACAACAATTAGACCCACGACTATCAGGCCTACCATTAATATTAGGACAACGACTATTAAGTATACAGATGCAGAAATACCAAATGTAACAAAATATCATAATAAGTAAGTATTAAAGCTAATAAATGTATTTTTGTAACTTTCTATAACAATAAATTGATGGATGTCTGTTATTACAGTGAGCTAACAAGAGATTATTCACCTTACGCGGCAGTAACCTCAAACTCTGTAATTTCAACTGATAACTACGTAACATCAGCTTCAACACCATCTGCTAATATTTATAACTCAATCTCGAGTTTCATTCCGTCGAGTCAAAGACCTACAACTGCCGCAAATTATAGGATTGGATCATCACCGATAGTTATTGCACAGAAAAATCATTTCATTCCTACCATGGCGCCAGTTAACGAAATCATAACAACGCCTTCATCAACGTTTTTACCCCACTCCTCGTCTTATGTTCATTTCTCAACGAATCTAGGGAATCCCGCTACTACAGCGACACCTAGGTCAGTTACTAGTACCATTGGATCGATTAATAATGTTGCGTCAGAGAATTTGATTATTGACGATTTTCACCAAGGAAGAAATACCATCAACTTTGATAATACCATCAATCAATTTAATAGCGGAGAAACGATTGCCAATCTTTTGAAGAGAGAAGGCTTGTTTGCGATGGCTAAATATCTTCGGCAATCAGGATTAGATAAAGTACTCAATGACACTGGTAAATATTTGGTTTTTAATATTTAGAAGTTTCAATAATTTGATAAAGTCGACAAATTTAGATTTTAAAGTCTATGAAATTGATAGTTAATGAATTTTTTTACAAAAATTAAAAATTTATAATTATTTTCAATTTTACTTTTTGGATTCCAAGAAGAAATATTTTTTTTTATGAGATTTTATGTTGAAAATAGCTTGATAAAATTTTATATGGCAACAAAAACCATAATTGGATGAAATCTTGAATTTTGGCACTCGGATGATTTTTTTTTTTTTAATTTCCGAGAATAATTCAATATTTCTGAAAATTTGAGGTGTAAAATTTTGTGCAATTAAAACTAAGGGTAAAAATTGAAGATTTGATAGAAATATTTTTAAATTGTTTAAAATAATTCATCTTTTTTTAATTTAAAATACATTTTTTTTGTACAAAGAAACTAAGAAGCAAATTAAAAGAGAATTATCAGTAATCAAAAATTGATCCGAAGCTAATAAATTTTTTTATAAAAATGCTCGATTTTTTTTTTTAGCGAAAGTTAAAAGTGATTTGTGATTACGGATTTATAACAGCAATAAAGTTAATAAAATTACACAAAAGTCGTTAACCGAATAAAATTTTCTCTTGTAACATATTAAGAAAAATTGACGTGCTACTTTAATGTATGTAATATTATATTATGTGAACTATAATATTCGTAAATATTCAACGAGATACCATATAAATAATGGCAAATTGATCAATTAAATGCTTATGAAGCAAAATTCATTATTATGCATTGCAAATCGCTTAGTATGGTTTAAAAAGTGAAATCATTTGTTGTTCTCAAGTTTTTTATGATATCAAGCCTATTTTCCCTTCTCTTAAAATAGTTAAACTATTTAGGTTCTCACGGGGTTCTTCTTTACGCAATTTCATTTACGAAAAGTCCTCCGATTTTCTCACATTACATCAGTTTGTTATTATTTTATGGTAAAAATAAATTATCATATTGTATGAGTTGATTTCTATAATCTATTGATTACAATATTTAATTATCAAGTTGTGGTTTCCTGTAGTTAAAAACTTTGCCGTTGTGCGTAATAGACTTTTTTTAAATAATACACTTTTAAGGCTTAAATGATTTAAGAATTCAATTGAAAAATTAATAAATTCGTTACTGTTTCAGGTCCTTTCACAATTTTCATCCCAACGGACAAAGCTTTCCGCGCGCTTTTAGTGCAGTTGGGTGGACCTGAAAAAGCCGAACAGAAATTCAAAGAGAACCCTCGTCTTTTAAGTGGGGTAAGTGTAGTTAGTCATAATTATAATTATTAATGTTGATTATTGCACGATTTATGATGCGAAGCTTCATTAAAAAATTTTTTACAAGATATTTATTTTTTTTGATTCAAGAAATTAATTTGCGAATTGATAAATTAAAACTTTTATATAAGTAAAAAATTCTTTAGAAGAAAAAGAAATTATTGTTAGTTTTGGAGAATTGTTCTTATACACAGAAAAAAAAATTAAATTAAATCAAGTAAATAATTTTGAAGAACTTTATCTTCTTGATTTGAGTAGAAAAATTCTTAAATTTTTTTTTAATTCAAGAATTTTTCGTTTTGATTCAAGACAATCAAATTCTTCGAAATTATTTTTTTAGTTTAAGAATTTTTCTCTTGATTCAAATGAACTTCTTTACTTATATTTCTTGAATCAAGTGAAATTGTTCAAGATAATAAATCTTTGAAGCACAGGAACCGGTCATGGTAAAAATAATTTTTTTTTAGACAAATTTCATTACTTCTGCACAAATAAAAAATTGTAAAAAAAATTACAATCGTCATCTAGGACTAGACTTCAATATTTTTACTTTCATAATTTTACATTTAAAAACTTACGATGTTAAATCGTAAAAATTCATGTATTGACTACTTTTATCCGCATTTTTACGATATTACATCGTAAATTTTGAAATGTAAAATGATGAAAGTAGAGATATTCAAGTCTAGAACTGGATGACGATATGACAATTGTATTGTTTTTCATATAATTTTTTTACCTGTGTGTATCTATCAAAAATTGTATGAGCGTAAAAAATATGTCTGCACTTTTCGACTGCCCAATTTTAAAACACAGTAACTGCAAAATTTTTACACCTGATTTTTTTTTAGTATTGTTGCATTTCTTACAACTTTTAGACCTTAATTTCAAGTATTTTTTCTGAAAAATATTTATATTTAAGTATTTGCTATTCATAAATCAAATTTTTTATCAATTTGGAGCGCAAACTTTTTTTGAATAAGAAAAATTAAAAAAAAATCTTAAAATTGTCAGTTACTGTGTTTTGAAATTGGACAGCCGTTTTGGATTTTAAAAATTATTTTCAATACTTAAACTTATTATTTTTCCAGCTTCTCCTTCATCACGTTATCCCAGGTGATTTTAAAACAGAATCCTTGCAAGAAGAAATGACCGGTGTCAGTTTAGCAGGAACTCAATTACGAGTTAATGTTTACGACATGCATGATCACGAATGGAATGACGTTAAGGTAATTAACTTTAAATAAAAAATAATGAAACATTGTATTTATTGTGTAATATATTTTTGAAACAGGTAACGACAATAAATGGCGCTAGAATAGCTCCAAATAAACGTGATATTGAAATACCTCAAGGAATTGCCCACGCAGTCGATCGAGTTATGTTCCCGCTTCCTGTTGGTGATTTATTGCAGACACTGGCTGCAGATCGGGAACAAAGATTTGGAATTTTCTTGAGAATTCTCCAAGCAGCCGGTTTTGAAGATATTCTTACAGGTAAATTATATTTAAAGTTTTATGTCTCATTAAGTCATTTCATTTAAAAATATTAATAATTTATATTTTACATTTTAGGAACAAAAACGTATACAATTTTTGCTCCAACTGATGCGGCATTTGCGGCAACAGCAGCACAAACTGGGCAACCAGTTTGGAGTGAAACTGATGGACCGGAAGCTGCTAAAACAATAGCGTCAAAACATATCATGCCTACTACTCTTTACTCAGCTGGCATGAGGTATTATCATCAGAAAGACACGCTTCGTCCACAATTCACGCTCCGAATCCAGAAGAATGGAGGTAATTATTTTCCTATCATTCTCTTCTAGCTTTCTCTTCGTTTAAACTTTATTATTAAAATTATTATTATTATCTTCCATTTTTCTTCCTATTTTTCAATGTCGAACAAATTAGTGCTCAATTTACATAATTAATTACTTATGAAAAAAGAAAAAAAAAAAAAAATTATTTCGTCAATTTTGAAAAGTTTGAAACTATTTTTTTTGTACCAAATGATCAAAAGAAGTAGGTTTTCATTTAAATAAAAATAAACGAATTATTTATTAAAATCATCGGACGTAGTAAGTTTTTTAACTTCCAGATAATTTGAGAGAAAGTTTTTTTTTCTTATTATCGATAAATATTCAACGATTTCGAAGATGCTTTCATAAATAATTTATGCTTGACCTATGATGAAAATAAAAAAAAAAACTGATCAAGAAATAAGTAGTTCGACACAGCCGGGTCTTTTCATTTCGGGTATAAAATTAATGTAGCTTCAGAAATCTATGTCTAATTTTTGGAGTTTACTCCTTAAGAATCGATTTTCATATATAAGGCGCCCGGTATGAGAAAAATATGAGGGGTAAAATCTACTGATGAATGACCTCGTTACGTTTTTGATGCGCAACCTCTATTCTGCGCAAACTTTCTCTTTTTAGGCGCGAGCATTCAAACGTTCACGGGGTATGTTGCGGGTCAGCTTACGCATTAATTATACCTATATATGTTATTAGTTATTAGTAATAACTTATTACTATATAAAATATATAGGTATATAATATATACAGCCGCGCATATTAATTTAAATAGGTATTCAAGTTTATAGTTGAATTGAAAATTGTAAATTCGGCGGTTTCTAAAGTCTAAATGTTGAAAATCTAAAATTATGCCCTTTGTCAAATTTACTAAACCTAAAAATAAGACTGCTAATGTGGGCAAAAAGAATATAATGCCAAGTGTAAATTGAGCGTAAAGTAAAAAATGACAAAGAAAAAATCCGCGAATTTTCGAAAAAGAACATCTAAAAAGGCAGTTACTTAAAAATAAACAATTCAAATAAAATGCTGCATTAATAAAATAATGCCAATCTGACATAAGCTAATTTATAAAAATGATTCTAAAGAATAATTCAAAGTAACAAATAAAAGAAAAAAAAATATTGAAATTTGAAAAGATTATCATTTCTCAAACAATATTATTTTAAATATTGAATTTCCGTAAAATTAAAAATTGTAAATGTTGCGGAGGTTTTATCGTAAATTTTATATTTTATTTATAATTGATATAAATATAAATTTATATCAATTGATATTTATTTCAAAATTGAGAAAATTACTCAATGAATAAAAATCAATCTATAGATGTGTCATGATGCATACTCTAAGTAATATAAGAAATACATTCATTTACCCCTTATTAACTAATTTATTTATTTTATAATCGTTCGTAAGGAGTAAACTCCAGTCGTGCGTCGGAGCTGACTCACTTTTTTTTTTTTTTTTTTTATGAGTTTTAATTATATTTTTTTTTTTAGGACGAGTCCGTGTAAATGAAGCTCAAGTTGTGACGCCTAATATTCCAGCAACGAATGGAGTTATTCAAGCAATTGACGGAGTACTTCAATAATTTTACATTAAGTATTAATAAAACTGACGATTTTCAATATAAAGTTTGAAAGAAGTATACAAGCACAATAATTATTAATTTAATGAAGGGTATACTATATAAGGTGGCTCGATTTTAAATATTTTTAAAAAAATAAACGGGTCAATGTATAAACAGTTAACACCAATGAATAAACATTATTTTTATTTTATTTAAAAATTAATTACTGCTATTATTTTGAATTTAAACAGTGTGAGTAGGTGTGTGTATTTACTAAAATTTTATAAATAATAATTATGATAATGTTTATTCATTGAAATATTTATCGTGTACAGAAAAAATATATACCACAAAAATGCCATAATGGAATTAAAAAACGCCAGTGTAAATTTAATTTGCGTAAAGAAAAAATATTCCTCGTATTTCGGTGAATGTAGAATAATGATAGACGGGAAATATTTTTTTTTCTTCCTAAATTCAAAAATTTTTGTGATAAATCATTAAATAATATTTTCTTCATTGTGTAAAAAGAAGCGTTAAGAGAAAATATTATTCATCACTCATTAATACACGGATATTTAAAGTATTCAGTTTTTAATTTTATTATCACATGTTAATTTATGTCTAATAATAGGTACAATTATGTAATGTGCTACAAATGAGCGAATTAGTATTAATTTAATAATATTTCCTCTGTTCTATAAAAAAAAAAAAAAAAAAAATGAACCTAGATATATAAAATAGTGTAATTATTTTTGTAGTTAAAATAATTGACTTGAATAAATGTACAGAATTTTTTTCACCTATTGGTTTTATTATATTTATTTAGTATCTGATTATTGCCTTATCAATTTATATTACAATGAAATCAATTTATTTAGGTAATCGAAAAAATTTCATTAAAATTATTATAAAATAAAAATAACAATAAGTAATAATAATTTAATAAATCTATAATTTTTATTTTATAATAATTTTAATGAAATATGAATTTTTCATAACTTTAAAATTTTTTCATGTACCCATATTTGAAATAATTTTATTGACGTCACTCCCACAATTTTCTTGAAAAACAAGCACCCCCAGAATGATCGCTCCATTTTTTGTTACAAAAAAAATTATTATTATTATTATAATTTTTATTTTATAATAATTTAAATGAAATAATATGAATTTTTTATAACTTAAAAATTTTTTCCGGGATTCCTTTATTTATTCAATCAATACCTTTATCCGTCTTTAATATGACTTAACATGTGAATTGAGCATTTTCATCAAAGATATATCTCCATTGATATCTTCGTTCTATTTTTACAGCAATATCATCTTCAGTCGTTCATATCGTAAGCAGTAAAATAATATGTACTTTATCGTTTCATTGTATACATTTTTTAATTGGCTTGTATGCTAGGCTTTTACATATAAATCTCGATAAATCTAAATTTTTATACTTTAAATAATTCGAAGTTGTGTTCGAGAACTTCCTAATGACTAATGATTTATAATTAAAATGATGATTCTTAATATCTAGTGTAGCATATTAAAAAAAAAACTATTAAGGTATTAAGATGTAAAATAATTTATTTACTTTTCTAATATTTGTATAATATATAATTATTTGTTTTATTCGAATACTGGAATTATTTTATTAACAATTATCAACAGATAATTAATAATTAACCTTGTATTTCTTTATTTCTATCATAATAAAGTGAATATTCGTCAACTGGGTCCGTACGTTCGCAGGCAAAATTTTGTGTAAGCGTTGATAATACTCGACAAGTTGCGTCATTGTTCGTTGGACAAGTGCTCCTCCAAGGACCAAATTCGGGAATGACTTCAATATTTCACTGTTTATTTGTTCGAGTGACTGTTTCCAATTATTTGTAAACGATTGTACTAAATCAATAGCACGTGATTCATGACGTTTTAATTCATCAGTCAAACCCTTTTCGATTAAGGCCTCTGATTCTTTAACTAGTTGAATAATACCTCCAAAGTATGGCGATAATATTTCTTCAACGTATTCTGATGATTTAGCGTTCAATTGTTCTTTGAAGCTCTCAGCTTCTTTAGAATTATCTCGCGTTCGTTCCTAAAATTAAGAAAAAATGTTAGATCGTATTGTTGATTATAATTAATCTATTCTTATTATTTTAGAATTAATAAATTACCATAAAAACTCCAAGAACCAAATCATAGTTATTTATTAAAAATAGAAGTTGTTGAGTTCTGTTAGGGAATATAGCAGCCATCCGTAAAAGAAAACATTGGACAGCTTCACGTAATTCAGCTAACAATTGAGTCACTCCTTCACATGGGAACCCTTCGCTGATACTTACTACGGCAGCACTAAATTCAGCATATCTCCTCGTAACCTTTTAATAATTTTATTTAATCAATCATTGTTTAAATCAGGTCCGAAGGAATTTATAATTAAAATAATCAGGTTGATCAGACCACAAACGCAATGTTGACAATTATTTCACACTTTATTGCAACGTTTCGTCGGACATCCCGACTTATTCAGGCAATCTATAATACACATACATCAAATAAATAAATTATTTCAATGAACCATGTTAAAATACAAATTGTCAAAATAAGTCTTAAATTCATCATTACAATACATATCAAATAATTCAATATTCCATAAACAGATTAAATTACAATCTGAATTCTTTTAATTAAATAAAATTTGTTTAAAAAATTTTTCATAATATAAATACATAACAAATTCATCAACATACCATGAGACATGAGTATCAACACGTTGTTATTATTTTATTTAATTAAAAGGATTTAGATTGTAATTTAATCTGTTTATGGAATACTGTATTATTTTATATGTATTGTAATGATGGTTTAAGACTTATTTTGACAATTTGTATTTTGACATGGTTTATTGAAATAATTTATTTATTTGATGTATGTATTTTAGATTGCCTGAAGAAGTCGGGATCTCCGATGAAACGTTGCAATAAAGTGTGAAATAATTGTCAACATTGTGTTTGTGGTCTGATCAACCTGATTATTTTAATTATAATTTTATTTAATATAAAATCTTTAAAAAAATTTGTATTTCTTCTTCATAGTACTTACATAATGAGGGCCAGTTTCTTTGTTGAATTTCAGCGGATCACATGCTTTTATACTCTGAATATTTATGGAAAAAACGTGGTGAAATCTATTAATTAAAAATTAATCATACATATTAGTAATTTTTGTTTTTTAAATAATGATATTTTCACTGAATAAAATTAAAAGTTATAGTTACCTTGGCCATATTATAGATGTACAATTGTCCCAATATTTATCTAGAGCAGGAACAGCTCGTTTATGACAAATTATTCGATATCTCATTATAATATGAAAGCATAAAAATAATGCTATTGTATCATAACAATCTTCTGTGAATGATTGAAGACTTTTTTGCATCAAGGTCAGTGTATTTCCCATCACCTGAAAAAATCAATGATCTTTAATAAAAAAAAAAAAAAAAAAAAAAAAAAAAAAAAAAAAATATATATATAGTTAGCTAAAATAAAAATAATCAATATTCAGAGTTTTTACGGCTAAAAAGTAAAACAATTTAGTTGTAATTTAGAACGTTAAAGTTTTGTAATAATGAATATTCTTTTACAACTTTTTGAAATTGTTTTAATAATAAATCATTTATATAGTCCATAAGTTTTTGTATATTGCTAAATACCTATGAAATAAAATTATTTAATTTATCTTGTTATGTGCAATTGCTAATAGTACGATAAAACTTTTTCATACGAAGAAATCTGAGTTTTAAATTCGCCATAAATGTTTAAAGAAGCGTAAAAGTGAGTTTATGTATTTTACTTTATGGATTTGAGTTATAGTTAGACATTAAAAGTAGAGATGAAAATTTGTGGCAGCATTTATGTTATAACCGCAGATTGATTAGTAATAAATCATAAAAAATGTATATGCTACAGTGGCAGAATTATAATAATTTATAAATAAATTTGAAGATGCAGTTCATGAAGTTAAGCTATAGAAATTCAGATTTATTTTTCTTAAAAAAACTATTCTCGACTTGCAAATTTAGAATTTAGTTTTGTTAACTTCCCGCTAAGCAAATTGAAAATTTTCCACTAAAGGAAAGTTATTGATTTCGGTCCGATTTTCGAAAGTCGAGTCTTCATCGGATCTCTACGTTTTAAGGTCCCAGGAAACCATTCTGACTATTCCCGCCGAGGTGTCCGGCCGCGCGCGCGCGCGCGCGTGTGTGTGTGTGTGTGTGCGTGTGTGTAAATAAATTTTTGTCGTACGGTTTCTCAAAAACGAATCAACCGATTGAATTCTATGACACGTCATTCGAAAGGGTTTATCAAAACTTAGATCTGGTTAGATTTGCGAGTTAATCCATCGAGCCATTCCGAAGAAATTAAAAATAAAAAATTTTTATTATATTTTTTTAAAGTAACTTTTAAACGTGCGGTAAAATCATAATAAAACCATGTATATATTCTTTGTGCTTAAAAACTGCGTTGAATGCATTTTCGAAAATGAAAATCGAACGACGCATTTAAAAGTTAGAGTTGTTTAAAAATTCACAAAATTTTGTTTTTCGGTATTTTTTTTAAGATATCTTCGAGATTTCTCAACCACTCAATATAAACGTATGCGCTTTCTTTCTGTGCTTTAAGAACTGTATCGAATGCTTTTTTAAAAATGAAAATCGAACGACGCATTTAAAAGTTATGTGTTAAATAAATACATTTTGAGCTCTTCGAGCTCAAAATGTGAAAAACGGTGCTTTGAGCTTGAAAAGCTCAAATATTAACCAAAAAACACATTTTAAGGCACTTTAAATTCAAACAGTTTAAGTTTTATTAATTTTAATAATTTAGTTAAAAAAAGTTTTTTTAATACCTGATTAAAAATATCCATAGCTTGTGATCCACGTACTTTGAAGAATTCTGTTAAAAACAGATATTCGCGACAGGCATTGTCAACTAAAGCATACTGTTCACTTCGGAACAAAGCTTCATAATGATACTGTAAATTAAAAATTTCATATTTAGTTAATTTATTTTTTTTTGGTCTATGGAAAAGATGTCTCAGTAAAATATCTAATCACAAGTTATTAACTTGTAAGAAAAAAAAATTATTACTCGTATTTTTGAAGCCGTATGTGGGACTATAATCGGTTCTTCAAGTTGTGAATTGAGAATTTCTCCTCGATTGCCGATAGAAAATACAGTTCCTTTATGTTTCAATGACGCCTTATGAAATAATCCACGGTTAACTGTATCTTCAATTCCCATTAAATCATCTTTGGTTGGTTTTTCTTCATACTGTAGTTTAATCAATCTCGAAGAATACGACTTGAAGTACGAATAATAAATTTTACTTATAGTATCAATATATTCGCTACAAATTTCTTCAGCAACATTTCTTTCGTTACAAAGTATAAATTCAAAGAAAAATTTATATTTTAGCATATTATTTTGAGGTATTTGGTAATTAGTCATAGGCTTCCGAAATTTGTAAACTTGTTCTAATAAGTAATTGCGAATTTTACTGATGGATTTAAGTTTTAATTTTTCAACTATATCCTTAACATCTACACAGGACTTGGCGTCTTTGAAACTTTGTTCTTTGATAAAGTTTATTTTGTGGTTGAGATTCTGCAGATGTGTTAAAAAATCTTTTTCGGTAACTGGACATTCCATTATTCCTCTGTAAATATAAAAAAACATTGTCAGCAAGAAGAAAAAATGGCCTTTTTTTTTAATTTTATTTTTCTTTAATTTACCTTATCAACTCTTCGGATATTGTCATATCTTCAATAAACTGACTTAATGAACCTCTGATTGCTTGACGGTTGGATAACTGTTGGCTCATTGCAACAGATCTACGTTGCAATAATAATATTTCAGAACTTATACTTCCCAGATCTGTTTGAAATTTAATCAACATTGACTCCATGTTCTGAAAATTAATAAAAAAAATTAATGAGATATTTTATTGTAATTTAAAAAAATTATTTCTTTACTTATTTATTTATTATTTAATTTCAATGCCAAGGCAGTATAGCCAAATGGCAAAAGTATACAAAAAAAAAAAATTAGGACGACGGTTGACCCTAAAGGCCATCCCTGCAACTTCCGGCTCATTTTGTACTTAAGCGCTCAAAATTACACATTACGTTTTTGAGCTCTTCGAGCTCAAAACTCTAATAGTAGTTTAATAAAACACAATTTTTTTAATTTTCAAACGGCAATAACTTTTGAATGAATGAACCGATTTTGAAGCGGTTGGTGGTATTCGACGCAGTTTTTGAAGTCCCATGAAGAATCTTCAAGTTTAAATCGATCGAGCCAGGAATTTCGAAAATTTTTTTTGGTAGTTTTTTTTAGATTTCTCAAAATCTACGGGTTCGAATCGGTCCAAAGTGTATTCAAAATCTAAGTTTGGTCAAGCCCTTTCGAATGGCGTCAACCGCGATGAAATCGGTCACATAGATAGATAGATAGATAAAAAATTTTATTTGGCTCTGGAGCCTAAGCTCCCTCAAAGCCATCAATATTTAAATTACATTGGTTTACATAGGTTACAAGATTACTTAACTAATTAAAGGTTTACAATTAGATTTAATTTTAAATGTAATAAAATCCAGCTTGATCATTTAATACAAACAAATAACTTAATTTAACTTCGTAATAATTATACAAATAAATATATTTCAATAAGATCAAAAATAAAGATTACAGTTGCTAACTGTCATGTTCAAAAAAGTAATTGAAGCAAGCATTTTTAAATTCAACCAAATTATCTACAGCCACAGTCTCAGACGGCAGTGCATTCCAAATGCGTATGCCATAAATTAAGAATGAATTATCATACATGACACAATTAGCCCGCGGCATACGTAGGTAGTCCTGTCGGACATCACCTCTACGTAATGCTACAGGCAAAAAGTCTAGTTTTGAAGCAAATAGCTGCCGATAATTTAGTCGAATTTCTTTATAAAAATAGACAAGCAATGAAATAATCTCTTCTCGCTGCAAGCTTTAGCCAACCTAACTTTTTAAAATATGGAGTAACATGTTCATATTTTGGTACTTTATAGATAAATCTAACACATGAGTTCAATTTACGCTGCATCTTTAATAATAATTTATTTGACATATTCGTATATACGAATATGTCAAATATATATGCCGCACAACAATAATCAAAGATAGGAATTATTAAAGTAGATACTAGCTTAATGCGTAAAGTTTCACTAAATATTTCATTGTTTATTTTTAACTGTGCTAGAATACTCATAGCGCGATTGCACAAATTTGTTACTTGGTTCTCCCATGAGAGAGTACTATCTATAATCACCCCAAGGTATTTTACAGTGCAACTATAAGGAATAGCACACCCCTCCACAAAGATTGCGTCAGCTAGCCTGCACTCATCACTACTAATTTTTGCACACATACATACATACATACACACATACGGACATCATCACGAAAACATTCATAGAAGCTTCCTAGGATCTCTTAACGTCAAGATCTGATGAGAACTCGATTTTCGAAAAACGGGGTAAAACCAATAACTTCCCGATTTTTGAAAATTTTCAATTTTCTTAGCAGGAAGCTAAAAATAATAATAAAGTACACTTAGAATAATGAAGATATAAAATTTCAAAATTTTAGATATTAAAAAAAAATCGTTTTTCTTACATTTGGAATGTAGTTATGATGAATACAAGAAAAGTATAAATTTGAATATAAAAATTGAAAATTAAAGAGTTTAACTCAGTGGTGCAAAATACAAAAAGATAATAATTAAATTATTATACACAATTATATATGAATACTTTTTAGTATTTCTTAACTTATAAATCATGACAAAAAATATTTTTAAAATTAACATTTAAAGTGTATTTAATTTTTTAAATATGTAAATTTTGTAATCTATTAAAAAAAAATTGTTGGATGTCTGATAATTTTAATATCATTAATTTTTTATGTTTATAAGCACGTTTATATGATACTAAAATTCAGAGACATTTGATAATTTTTAGAATTTTTCTAACAATTGAATTGAACAAGAAAAAATTCATTTAAATAGTCCTATCTTTAAAAGCTATAAAAAAATATAAATTCAATTTTTTAAAAATAATTTTCTAGACCTTGTTTATTTTTTAAGAAAAATCAAAAAATTGTCAAGTGTCTGCTGTTTTCAGGTCATCTGTTTAATAAAAAAAAATTTTCTATCAGATGTCTGCTGCTAAATATAATGGTACTGAAATCAATAGATCATCTGACAGATGTTGAGACTTTGATAACATATCATATTATAAAAAAATATTTTTAAGAATTTTTACTTACAATTTTTGTAAATTTCTAAGTATAAAGTTTTTTTATAACAATTTAGTGGTTATAATAATCAAAAAATTGCCAGATATCTAATAATTTAAGTATTATAAAAATATAAAATATTTTTTACCTCTAAAATACTATCACAATCAGCAATTTGATTATGCAAACTAGCAATATTCTGACTCTCTTTGATGTAATCTTGAATAGATTTATTTTCAACTTCTTTTAATTCTTTTTCAATTTGCCGAGAATATTGACGTAAATCAGTCCCACTTTTCAATACTTCCTGGACAAGATCATCTTCAAGATCTTGAGGTAATTGAGTTTCAATGTCATCAAAGACATCATTAGTTTCCAAAGACATTTTTATTAATTATTAGATTAAACTACACAATATGTATCAAATATTAAACAAGAATTGCTATATAAAATTCATTTCTAATTTGTAAATGAAATTAATCCATTAAAATAACCATCAGCACTTTATTTTCATTATTATTTCTTCATATAACTGAGTAAAAAAAATTAATTATTTTTTCTGTATTTAAAACCGATACTCAAGTTTATGTTTTTAAGTACTAAGAAAAATAAAATTTAATACTTATTAACCAGATTTTATAATTTATAATATTATCAATAAGAAAAAAATTAGAATCTGTCGTGTTGACAAGAAAAAGTTTCGTGTGACACAACATAGTAAATAATTTTGCTAGATGGCAGCACGCGTATCTTCTCGTCGGTAACAGCAGTATTTATTTTTTCTTGAGTTGCCCGTTTGTTCGAGAAATCTTATATTTATTTGAATAAAAAAAGAAAAAAAAAAAAGAACGGACATGTACACCTCATCCCAGACAACATCCAAGTCAGAAGGATTTCTTAAAGATGTCTTTTCAAAGACTTCCTTGAGAACTCCAAATATGACGTCTTAAAGACCTCATTTTTCGGAACTCTTAATTAAGAAGTCTTTAAGAAGTTTTTTTTTTAAGTTCTATAAGACATCACAGATATGAGCTCTTTGAGAAGTCTTTTTTCCGACTTCGTAAGAGGTCAAAAAAATGAGCTGTTTAAGAGGTCTTTTTTTGGACTTTCCAAACATCAGAAATATGAGCTCTTTAAGAGTTCTTTTTTTCTGACTTCGTAAGACATCAAGAATAAGAGCTCTTGAATAGGTTTTTTTTTTCTGATTTTGTACTTCGTCAAAATATGGGACTTAGAAAAATTTTTCTCACGTTATTAAAGAATTTTTAAAATGATAAAAAAATAAAAATAATCGCATTCGAGTAAACTCATTTCGCTGTGTATTTATTTTTGTATTATAAAAATATGATCGTAAATAGCAAAACGTTCAGTGATTCTACTTATTAAAAATTAAATCGATAATTAAATCGAAAAGTATTTTTTTTTATTTTTGGGTAGAAAAGTTAACTGTAAAAGACGTCATATTGCTATCTGGGATAATACGGAGAAGAAAACTATCCATTTTGGTAATATGAAATATCACAAAAGCTTTTAATTAATCAGTTTTGAATGTTTCCATATCGAAGTTCATTATTTCATATCAGCTAAAAAGACAAAGAAATATAATATATGCGTATTCATGTATTGAATAGTCAAAAATATTGCACCAACCCATTTCATACAATTTTATGACGGTGTCAGGACATTAGTTCCGAGAAGAAATGAAAATAATACTTAATTGTAGAAAAAAAGAAGAATTATAAATACTAAAATAACTGGAAAGACTACATGAACTTATGTTGCACAACATATCAAATGAAAATGTTGAAAATGTTTATAAATTTTTGAAATTCAAGAGATTAATAAAAAAGCAAATGAACAATGAGAATATATATGAATCCCGGAAAAAATAGACCGCGTTGGCTTGTGACACATTTATCTCTCTTTTCGCGTGACGTTAGAGCTATATAGCAGTTCGAACATTGTTTTATAACTAATTGTTCGTGGTTATATTTAAACAGATTATTTTAATTAAATTTGTAAAAACTGTAAATAATATTTGAAAATTAAAAATTAATGTTTTTAACTAGTTTTAAAAATATTTATGTCAAATTATATTAATTAAGGTAAAAGACGCTAATACCCCATTTGTGACACTTTTTCTTTCAATGAAAAAATGTTCTACTTGGAATAAAAATTAAAAATTTTTTTGATCTAAAGGTCTTAAAGATTAGAAATAATATATTCATTATTGAAATTAATGATTTCATTATAATTGAATAAGTACCAAAATCAAAGAAAGTGCCAGTAATGGGGAACCCGCCACTAACGGGATTTTTTTACCCTATATCAACTTATTCTATAATATTGATGATATTAATAATTAATATTAATAATTATATCAAGTATCAAATTATTATATTAATTTTTTATTAACAATGTATCAACAAGTACTTTTTCTTTGTTAAAATAGTTTTTAAACATTTAAAATTTTTTAATTTTTAAATACAAAATAATGATAATTCAGTGACATTAATTCAATTTAATTCATAAAAGAATGCAATTTTTCATCAATAGTTCTTTATGATGTTATTATCACGTAAAACTATCGTCTGTAAACCGACTTTACAGATAATCAATTTTTTTCTCTATTGAAGGTTTGAAAGCAACTAAGGCTGTAAGAATGGAAACGAAAATCATATAGAAATCAAATGACATTATGCATGTATAGCAATATACATTTGCTTTGGTAATTACAATACTCAGTCTATAATATTTCCTAGAAATGTTTATGATTTTGAGTCGATTACTGTATTTAAAGTTAAGCGGATTATTTTATTACAAAGAGTGTCTGTGAAGCTATATCCTATATACTAAAATTGATGGTAGAATGAAGTTAGCTTAGTATCGAAAACATGGACCCTGATTCCTTATTGGTTGAAATTTAGATTGAAGTTAGCATAGTATCGAAATAACGTTCAGAATTAGAGCGCGCGCGTATGCGCGCAATTTAAATTCCTAGTAGAGTGTTTAAATGTTAGGAATAATAATGTAAACCCAACAAACTTTGATATTTTCTACGTTATATCGAGTTTTTCGATAAATAGAGTTTCGTTATAAAGAGTTTCCACTATAGATAGTTTTTGGGAAAAGCGTGAAAAAACCCAGTATATGAATTCTGTTAATTTAAGAAAAGATTTAATTTAAAAAATGTAAAATTGTTAATTTTATGTCTCATATGCATAATGTTGTGGTTGAGCTTAAATTTATAACATAAGTTGAACTCCGTTAGTTTATAAAAATTTGTAAAAATATTTAAGTTTAGTTTTTCTTCATCGAATTTAGTAGAATGTATTTTTACTACTTCTTTGATATATTTTATATTTAGATTAAAGTGGAGTTTGTTTTTGTTGATGTTGAAATCGGGGTTGTAAATTTCTTAAAAATTAATGTTATGAATATGTAACAATTGAAATATAATAGATTGTTGTAAAATTTATTTAAAAATTAAAAAAAAAACATTATTATAACAGTCAATGTGATTTGAAGTAAAATAAAGTAGTGGAAATTATACAGTAAAATCTCTCTATATTTGACTCGTCCGCCCAGGACCTTCTTCTATATTTGACTCGTCTTGATGTCCCCACTATTGCAACACTTACGTCTCTCATGCGCAGGTCTGCGCGATCAACTGCGTAGTGTGTACAAAAATAGTATGTAAACAACCATCGCGACATAACCTTAAAACTCACATAGATTATTATATTAAAATTAAAAAATGTCAATTTATGTAAAGAATTATAAGCAGAAGTTGAAATATTAATAGTATTTTTCTTATCTAGGGCAGGAAAATAAGAAATGTCTCAGATTACATGTAATTGTTGACCGTGGCGAAGCCGAGGTCGACAAACATGTGATCTGAGGCTTTCTTATTTCCTGCCCGTGGTGAGAATACTATTTTTCTCCTCGACGGAGGCGGAAAGCGGCATTTTCGTTTAGCGCAGCGAGCAGAAAATTGACGCTTTCCGCACGGAGGGGGGAATATATATTCATAAGGTATAAGGTATGAGTTTGAAAACTTGATATTTTTTTACGTTTTGATAAATTTGGTGGTTCTGAAAAGAACCGTTTGATTATTGGCTTAGAAGATAATGCAAACAGACAATAACGAGGAATATTGCCTATGTTACTTAGACTTCTATATCTCCATCCCACTGACATCCAAGCCTAGAAAATTTTCCTTCTTCAACTGCCCTTTTAAAAGCCTCCCTGTTGCCACAACTATCAGCACCATAGCTCATCAGCAACTTTGTCATCTGGACGTTCTTGTTGTCCACGGATATATTTATCGGCTGAGTTCCATCTTCAGCTTCTACATCCGGGTCAGCCCCGTTGTCCAGAAGGAACGTAGCTCCATCGTAGTTGTCGTCATCTACTACCAGATGTAGTGGACCCCAGCCAGCGATGTCTTCATCCTCGTAATCGACTGTTCCATGGAATCTTTCACCGACGAAAAAGTCAACAATGTCCTGAGCAGCGGGGAACTTCTCCACGGAAAGTGCCAGGTACAAAAACCTCTGCACGTTGACTGCCATCGCCGGAATATGAGGATTCTTTCCCCATACGAGCTCGTTGACTTTGGTGTAGTCACGAGTTGCGATGGCTTCGTAGAAGTAGTCGTCGATGGTCTCTTGGTATTGAGCTCTGATTTCTTTTAATAGTGTCATGATTGATGTGGAAATGTTGAGTAGTTTGATGTCACAGAGAGCAAATGTTTTCAGTTAGAGCAAAATGCAGAATGATTTTCTTCGATCAATTGATGGTGTATTTATACACATGGGTAATAGACTGTAAACCAATCAATTTTGAAAATGCCCCACTTAACTCAAAACCGAAAAATAGTTACTCTCTATTATATTAAGACTAAATTCACAAAGGACATGTAAAGAAAGAACTAGATTTGCAATTAGTCCTACCGAAAGTAAGTAATGTATGTAAAAGTTCGCTAGTAACCTTAAGCGCAGGTATGAGGCGAAGCTTAGTTTATACCTGCTTTATCTTCAACTGTACTTACAATTAATACATAGACAACTTGTAATGTCTTTTTGCAATATTGCTTACTTGAGTGATAGTCAAGAAGACTTGAATTCGTTAATAAATGAGTTGATAACCCGGAAAAAAATTTTTCCATAAAATTATACGGAAATCGACCTGATACAATTTACATAATTTCATTCTAAAAATATAAAAAAAATAAATTTTGAGTCTCCGTGATCATGGATTATTTCGGCAGATCATTATTCTTTTCGAAACTAATTTAGGTGTTGATATCATCGAAAAAAATCCAAGGCGTATACTGGGATCGAACCTGTACTGAATTTACTGGCGAGTCATTTCGTACTTTACTTACTTGTCAAAATCCTGTATGCCAATTACTCTTATGTATAAGAGAAAAAAGTTTGGAAAATCCAAAAGTGTACGCTTCATAACGCTCATTCATTTTTTTAGAAAAAAATTAGTTGTGTAATTAATTAAAAAAAAAAAAATTATAATTAAGTAATCAAATACTCATAGATCTCTTCTTTTAAATGATATTTGTGAAACTTGTCATAAGTTATAATACTATAAACAATTCTTTGCTTGTATTAACTGCTTATATTAATTGTTATCAAATATACTTAACTATCTATAACAATAGATATTTAACGTCAGTCATTTTTTCTAATTAAATAAGCAGTCTCTCTTAATCGAATTATCTATAGATTTGTTATAAAAGATATAAAAAAATTAATTAAAATCAGAACTACACTGTGTAAGTATAAAAAATTCAAATTAATTTAAAGTATAGTTTTGTAACATCTCATATAATCTCATGAAAAAAATCTTTTCAAGTACCTCTTAAAGCTTTCTATCAAAGAAAGTAATTAAATATCTTATTGCATAGAATATATAACCAATATAAATTCAATTCTATATGCTTCGGTCTGTTTTGTTTATACCAATAATAAACGAAAAATCATCTTATATTAAGCCATGCTTACTGCGTTAGCACTTATTTTCTGTTCCGGCCGAAAATTTAGTAAGTATAGTAAGTGACTTACTAAATTTAGTAAGTACTTACTTTGGCCAAACACGCCCAATATCATAGTCCCGTTCATTAGAATTTTTAATGAAACGCAAGCGTGTATATTTAAACCTATGATGTATGTGTATTCGAAAAAATATTAATATTTTAGATGAATAAATTAAAGAAACCTTTTTTTTTTTAAATTAAAGAAAATATTTTTTAACGTTATTTTGTGCGCAGTTACTTAAATCAAACGTATGAGCTTAGATTGAAAAAGACTAGAGAATATAGCTTATTTTGAAACTAATTGCAATTTAATCGACGCTTAAGGTAATCTTTAATGTGACTAAATTTTTAATAATTATCATTAAATGAATGTCTTATTCTTATTATTTTAACTTTTGAAATTGCATTTCATTATTATCTGTCTAATTGATAATTACTTTAAAGTAAAATTTTTTCAGAGAATTATTTTCAACAGAAAAACAAAGAAAGTATAATGAGATAAGGGGACAAAGGAGCAAATGTTAAAATTATTTGACCTGAGTCCTAATCGTTCGATTCGTTTCTGAATAGAATAAATACAATACCTAAAAAAATATGAAGTATTAAATTTTGAAATTTATGATACCATTGAGTTAATGAAAATTTAATGACATTAAAAATTAACAAAATTATTATTTTCGTGAAAAATTTTCTGTTAAATTTTTTTTTAATTTGCCAACTCATTTTTCAAAAATTTAATTTAAATTTATTAAAAAATACTAAAGTATCAATAGTTGTGCGAATTGCAATTAACATTTGTTAATATTGAATTTATTTATTTATTTTATTGAAAAAATTATTACCTGCAATAAATTTATCTATGTTTTGGGAAATTTCAATTGAGATCGAGTGGCGCGTGCATCTTTTCTCTTACTCGGGATCTGTGCAGACCACGTCGGTAACTGACCAGATAAGATGTAAGGCAAATATTTTCTTTTTATTTTTTTTTGTTATTATTAGTGAACATTTTTGGTTATATTATGTGACGAATCGATTCAGAAAAGATTGAATTTTTTATTATGTAAATTAAATTAATCTCTTAAGTAAAATATTCTTACAGTACTCATTTAAAGTCGATCAAGTCTTTACTTGCAAAACGTTTTTTGTTATTGAAAAAAGTATCTATTGTCAGATTTCAGTGAATTTTGCACTAGCAGATTCGTCTGATTTTTCTCAATTTTAATATACCCAGTGGCAATTATTACCCATAAAGTTGCGTAGTAGCGGGCGTAGACTATCAGAATTCAATGAAATTTGGTACAGTACAACCTGGTTATAAGTTACATCGGATGATCTACTCACTCTCACGGCAGTTATATCTATATATGAAATACTTCATGTAAGTAGAAGAGAGAATGAAATATAGCTATAGCCAAGTTGTATTGTATATCAGTATCACTGAAAAAGGAATTTTCTTTAAAAAATTACTGTTAAATTCACGGTAATCGTGGGACGAATGGCACGACCCTGTTATTAGCCGGCAGGCTGTTGGGTCTAAGTTAAATAAATAAATAAATAAATAAATAAACATTCTTTCGTGCTTAACGTATACACGTAATACACATTTAACTTTGACTAGTATATGTGCGTGCATCCAGCCAATTGCCAGTAAGTTATTCAGCTTGTAATTATTAATATTTAGACTATGCAGATTGATTAGAGTAGTATATAAATTCATATTAGTAAGTTAAAGTATGTAAACAGTGTTGAAAACAAATGAAAATAGCCATCTATGAAATCTAAATTATTAATAGTGGTTCAAATTCGAAAGTTTTAAACGTATGAAAATTTTGGTGGCCCTGAAAAGGGCCGTTTTGTTGATGACATGTTGAGTTGAATATAAATTTAACCTCCGAAACCATAAAGAGTACGACCTTGACGTTTCAGAGCGTAGACGACATCCATGGCGGTGACAGTCTTACGTTTAGCGTGTTCAGTGTAAGTAACGGCGTCACGGATTACATTTTCAAGAAAGACCTTGAGAACACCACGAGTCTCTTCGTAAATTAATCCAGAGATACGCTTGACTCCACCACGACGGGCCAGACGACGAATAGCTGGCTTGGTGATTCCCTGGATGTTATCACGAAGAACTTTGCGATGACGCTTAGCGCCCCCTTTGCCTAAACCTTTTCCTCCTTTACCACGACCAGTCATGATGATTGAGTAAATACGTTATATCTTTCTTACTAGACAGATAAATGAAACTTGGTGCAATTCATTTTTCGGAGCGCTATTTTATGCGTTCAGCGAAATTTTCTCTCTCCACTCTGTTAGAACCAATCAGAAACAAAATCCCCACTTTTTACCCTCAACTTGTCATTACAAACCAATCGTGTCGATGAAAACTCCGGGTTATCCCCACTCTTTGTCCCGAGCCAATCGGATCAATAGAATTTTTGGGTTCTCCCAAAAAGGCTCACGAAAGTGGTGCCCTCTGGAAAAAAGTTCACAAAAAGGCGAGCTTGGGTGGGAAACTCATCATTTTCCTCTCGATCTTCGTACTAGTTGGAAAATTTATAGTAAATCATCTTACTATGGCCAGAACTAAACAAACTGCCCGTAAATCCACTGGGGGTAAAGCTCCCCGTAAACAACTTGCTACGAAAGCTGCTCGGAAGAGCGCACCAGCTACTGGAGGAGTCAAGAAACCTCATCGTTACCGTCCTGGAACCGTTGCTCTGCGTGAAATCCGTCGTTATCAGAAAAGTACGGAGCTGTTAATCCGTAAATTGCCTTTCCAACGTCTCGTCCGTGAAATCGCCCAGGACTTCAAGACTGACCTGCGGTTCCAGAGCTCTGCTGTTATGGCCCTCCAGGAAGCCAGCGAGGCCTACCTCGTCAGTCTTTTTGAAGACACTAACCTCTGTGCCATCCACTCTAAAAGGGTAACAATCATGCCCAAGGACATCCAGTTGGCTCGTCGTATCCGAGGAGAACGTGCTTAAGTCGAACGTGTCCATTGACCACCAAATATTACCAAACGGCCCTTTTCAGGGCCAACAAATTTTTCAAACTAAGAAAATTCTCTAGCTTTGCTTTCTACCCATATCTACTTATTTAGTTGCACATAATGAGTATATAATGACATAATGAGTATAATTAGACAGTATATGAAAGACTGTCTCGGTACGTTAATGTTTCTCGAAATTCTAACGTCTTTCATGCACTGAAAGAGACTCTAAAATTAAGGTCTAATGTAATTTTAATTGCCTCAGATCTATTCTGAATTAAATAAATGGTGAATAGTCGAAGTGTGTGTGTCTACTCATAACTTTTGAACGGCTTGACCGATTTGATCGCGGTTGGTGTCATTCGAAAAAACTTGACCAAACTTAGATTCAGATCGGTCGATATTTAAAAATCTAAAAAATAAACAACGGCTTTACCGATTGATTCCAAAAATTAATCAGTTCTTAACATTAAAAAACCACGTCGATCGCCGCCGAGCTGGTCAAAATCGGTTGATTTGTACGTGAAAGATAGTTGACAAAAGAAAATCGAAAAAAATGATTTTCTCGAATTGCTACGAAATTTTATATCTAAAAAAATGAATGATCTAAGTTTTGTTATAAAATATAGTGATACTGATGCAATTGAAATATATTTGTATTAATTTGAAATATATTATATGAAAAATACAAGCTGTAAAATATATTAAATAAAATATATCCGAATTATGATTTTTATATATGAAAAGTATAATAAAAATATACGAAAGTTATATTTAAAATATGTATGTGTCATGAGTCGTTCACTTAATAACTTATTCATTTAAATGAACACTGGTTCTGGTCTGTTTCTGGTGCATCCAATAATTTTAGACATTTAAAATTTCAGAACATGTTTTAAATATAATTTTCGTAAATTTTTTATATAAACAAATTATAATTCGAATACATTGTGCAGCTTATATTTTTCACATACAGTAAGTATATTTCTCATATATTCCGATTATATTTCATAACTTATACTTATCATATAAAATAAATATATTTATATTTTATTTTTACTTATGATATATACTTGAAAATTTCTGTTTCAACGAAATGAGACACTTTTATTAATAAAAATTTCTGTCTCAGCGAAATAAAACAGTAATAATTTTATATTATTGACTACAAAACTAATCATAATTAAACGAAATATTAAGAAATCAGAGAAAAAACAATTAAATATAATGATACGTTTTACTTGTAAAATTATTAAATTAAAAAAAAAAATTATGTTGTCTAAATTGTGCTTGATTTTTAAATTTTTAGTTCATTTCGTGTCGTATTTTTATCGATTATTGTACTAAATAAAAAAAAATGTATGGAATTTTAATTTGAATATTAAAAAAGGTCGCTCGAAAAAATCTAAAGTAATGCTCTAAAAAATTAAAAAATATCATGAGCGACATCTCAAAATTTAAATTTTGAACTGAAACTTTCAGAAACTTATTTTTTTTTGGTCTATAAAATCATACCGTAACGAGAAAACACATTAAAAAAAAAAACTTCGATTCGTAAAATTTAAAAAAATTTGGAGTGACTTCTTAAAAATTTTTTTTGAGCTGTTCTTTGGTGAGGGCGCTTTAAACATCAAAAAATAACATTTTTTGTAGTGTTTTTGAGATTTTTCAAAATCTACCGGTTCGAATCGGTCCAAATTTAAAATCTAAGTTTGGTCAAGCCCTTTCGAATGGTACCAACCGCGATAAAATCGGTCGAGCCGTTCAAAAGTTATAAGAAGTTTACACACACACACACACACACACGGACACGGACACCACTGCGGAAACATTCGGGGAGGCTTCCTAGGACTTCAAAACGTCAACATCCGTTGAACACTCAATTTTCGAAAAACGGGGTAAAACCAATAATTTCTCGATTTTTGAAAATTTTCAATTTTCTTAGCGGAAAGTTAAAAATAGTCTGTTTTTTTGCGCCACCCTACTATGTAGTTTAATTACTAATTATTTTAATCCAACACATTATAATAAATATGATTAGTTATTTTCGCGTTTTAAGAAGTACCAATATGATACTTATAAGATTATTTGATGATGGTCAAATTTATTGGATATTTTTTTATGTAAAAAACAATAACTCCATAGGAGTAAAAGTAAGATAAGAATGCTATAAAACTAATCAAAATTGAAATAATTTGGTTTGACAAAATAGGATGGACTGTTAATAATTAGGACGTAAATTGACTAAATGAAATTGTTTAACTAAAAACTTTTCTCCGTATTGAAAGACTTGGTGGCCCTGAAAAGGGCCGTTTGATTTTGTGTGGAAGAGGATTATATTTAAGAGCTGCTTTTTTCGGTCTTCTTGGGGAGAAGGACGGCCTGAATGTTGGGCAAAACACCTCCTTGAGCGATGGTGACTCCAGAGAGAAGTTTGTTTAACTCTTCGTCGTTACGGATGGCCAACTGAAGATGACGGGGAATAATTCTGGTTTTCTTGTTGTCACGAGCAGCGTTTCCAGCCAACTCTAGAACTTCAGCCGCCAAGTATTCCATGACGGCGGCAAGGTATACTGGAGCACCAGCACCAACACGTTCAGCGTAATTTCCTTTACGCAACATACGATGGATACGACCTACCGGAAATTGGAGACCAGCACGGCTTGAGCGGGTCTTTGACTTTCCCTTTACTTTACCTCCTTTACCACGACCAGACATGATGAAAAGATTATAGATTTACAACTGAACTTTTGACTTGAACGGATAAGTCCTGACTATGCGGTTGGCACTCCAGACCTTAAGTTTTATAAGGCTTGTGTGAGGAGCATGCGGCAGATGTTCTGGCAGCTGAACGTTGGAGGGGGTAGAGCATACCTTGGGTTAGTCAGCTAGTATTGAAGAGGGTTACTATTGTTATTATGTTACCGTGACAAGCCGGTTTACTTGGTGTTCATCCCCACTCTTTGTGACTATCCTTCACCGATGCTCAAACTTCCTATTTTTCTCTTTTAAAACCGAAAGCAAAGTTGGGCTGACCATCATTCGTCTACTGTCCTTCCGTACGTACTTACATACTCAACTCAGTATTCATCATGCCGCCCAAGACTAGTGGTAAAGCTGTAAAGAAATCTGGCAAAGCCCAAAAGAACATCACCAAGTCTGACAAGAAGGGCCGCAAGAAGAAGAGGAAGGAAAGTTACGCTATCTACATTTACAAGGTGCTAAAACAGGTCCACCCTGACACCGGTGTTTCCTCCAAGGCCATGAGCATCATGAACAGCTTTGTCAACGATATCTTCGAACGTATTGCTGCTGAAGCTTCCAGACTCGCTCACTACAACAAGCGTTCCACCATCACTTCACGGGAAATTCAAACAGCTGTCCGTCTTCTGTTACCCGGTGAATTGGCCAAACACGCCGTCAGTGAAGGAACCAAAGCCGTCACTAAGTACACCAGCTCTAAGTAAATTTCCTCTCTCTGATTAAAACCAAACCAAACGGCCCTTTTCAGGGCCACCAAATTTTTCAATACGTTAGACTTTTTTCAAGTCAAACCACTTCTCCAATCCCTTATCTCATTTATCTAATGCACTGCAATAAATTTTTTCACCTGATACAGTCTAAATTAGGCGGTGTGAAAATTACACCAAATAACGTGTTAAATTTAGGGAGTGTGAATTTAATATTTTTACACTGTCAACCGTGAAAATGTATAATTCACGATAATTTTGAACTCAGAAATCAAATATCGATTTTACTTAGATAGTATGTGGCGAAGCTCTTTTCGGAGGAGTCAGGAAATTTTTTTGGTCGTTTTATCTTTGACAGCTTTCTGGGTATGATAACTTGATCAGTTATAACTGGTTGTTAAATCTTCAATATCAATAGGCGGCAAGCTCTTGATGACAAACTTTTTATCTATAGATCTTCTTTTCTACTGTAGTTGTGGTAGCAGAGTTTGTTTTTGTTTAATATATTAAATATCTATAGATGATCAATAATTGTATGGTAATATTTATAGTTAAAAATATTTGGTAATATTTATCAAATCACTTAATAGAGATCGCTTTTTAGTCCTTAACAAATATTTCTTAGTATTTAAAAAGATTTATTAATATTTAATAAATGAATATCAGATTTATTAAATACAACCAAATCATTTTAAATACTAAGAAATGTTTGTTTAATACTAAAAAGTGGTCTCTAATAAATGATTTGTTAACTATTAACAAATGTTTTTTTAATTCAAATAAATCCTTCTATCAATGAATTAAATAATGAATCCTGGGCCACTCAAGGGATTTCCCTTCTCATTTCCAGCGGTGGTCATGACTTTTTAGACCCTTTTATTGACCGTTTTAACTTTTTTTTTTGAGGATTAGACATTTTCTTTGGAGCCCTGAGTGAAAACAGTCAATCGACCTGCACTGAAAAAAAAGTATGAGTCTCACACTTATAAGTTTCAGTGATATTGAAATACTTGGTATTGCGAATATACTTAAACAATATTTAAGTCTCAACGCAATATTTTTTAAGCGCTACACTGAAACTCGTTTAAGTCATACACTTAAACCAAGAGCGCCTGCGCAATACTCATAACCACAATACACTCAAATAAATATTGCTGTAGGTTAAAGACATTACGATCAACTCATTAATTTAGAAATTAAATTTGTTTAAAAATTAATAAATAGTTAATAATAATTATAATTTAAGTCCCAGAATATTAACTTATTATATATGATAAGGTATATTGATATTCATATAATTAGTTTTTAAAATCTTTAATGTCCAAATAATAATTTTAGTAATGGTTAGATCGTACAATTATAAATAATTGATCGGAATAATTAATTAAATTGAATAGAAATCAACAATACTGAAACAAATAACTAATGTTAGGTATTCCTACGGGTTGAAGGACAAAAGTATCACTAAATTCCACCTTCCATTTGGACCAGAACTTGATTTGAGAGCCAGCTTTTGGAATAATTCTTTTTATTACCTCTTCTGTTAAATTAGCAAAAGCTGCCTTATCAATTTCTTCATCTAAATATGAATTTTAACGAATACTTATTATCAACAGAATTCCTCCCAAAGAAAATATAGAAATGGTTCTAAAATTAACAAACGTCTGACAACGTTTAGATCCAATTAAAAAAATTACTTATATTAAACCAAAATTTTTTTTAAACCTTTTTCGAAATTTTTTACCTTTTTCAAATATTTATTTGATTTTATAGTAATTTTGTACTTATGAAAAACTCATAAGAGCTGTCAGATGTTTGCTTATTAAAATTAAAAAAAATTAACAATATCTAAGTTGTTCCTGGCGACTCACATATGTTAATATTTTTTTTATTTTTTGGTAATTTATTTAATTTTTTTAATTTTATTTATTAAAAAATAATAGTTAAAACACTAATGTTACAATTATTGTAATTTAGGTTAATCTCGATTGACAATGTTTTTATTTTTACACGGGAACTTTTTTTACTATACTCTCTAGACTTGCAATAGTATCGTACGGAAAATATAAGTCACTCACTTAAACCGAGTATTGCGATTATACTTAAACTCTTTTACATCATATTCGCAATACCAATTCATTAAAAAAGAGTATACCAATAGGACTTAAACTTTTTTTTCAGTGTGCTCTCATCAAAGTAATTATAAATATGAAAATTTTCGGAATTGTTATCTAAAACTTGATGCATTTATTCTTGAATGTACAAACTTTAATTTAGAGCAAAAAATAATTTTGTGAGAATTTGTAACAGTAGCTTCCCCCTCTTAAGTTATGGACATTAAAAATTGACGTGTTTCGTAAGCTTAAAAAATATCGTTACGAGGTCTTAATAAAGGACATTAATGTAATACAAATTAATTTTTATTAAAAAAACACCATTACATTAAGATAGTTGGGAAAAACTGTAGGAAACTTATAGTAATATGAACTTTTTTAGATACATCATAGGCTGCAAACGATAAAGGAAAAAATATCAAACGCACTAGAGGTAATTTGATAGTAAACCAATAAAACATATATAAAAAAAAAGGCTGAAACTTGTAGAAAAATCGTTGTACAGTCATTAAAAACAAAAACAAATTTCGCTGCAATTTGTTTTCTTAAAAATCTCGATCATTTTGTCGTTGATTGATTACTAATACCTCAGCAACCAATTATCATACAGAAAATTCAAGGTGGGTTTCGAAAACTTGAATAAATTTCCTACACGAATTTCTTACAAAAATCTTTCTCCTTTAATTTTTTAAAAAATTCAATCGAGTGGGACAAAAAACCAGTTGACTGGATCAAATTCGAACGTTGTTTCCGCAATATTTTGGATTAGGTGCTTCATTTTCCAAAAAACTACAAAAATTCCTTTTTTTGTTGCTTTTTCAATTCGATGTCATGATTGAAAAAAGAATTTTTTCCAAAAAATTAATTGCTAATTTTTGGAGAAAATTTATTCAAGTTTTCGAAACCCACCTTGAATATTCTGTACAACCATATCAACGTCGAGAAACAAGAAGATGTGAATGACAAAGTAAAAAAATTTAAGCTATCGAGCATTAAAATTAACAAAAAAAATTTATTATTATTAAAAAAAAAAAATTAAAACATGTTAATAACATGCACACTGTACATAAAAAAATATGTTAGCTTCATTATAATTTCTGTGTTAAAAAATGTGTGCAATTAATGATTATATAGTAAAGTACCTCGATACTAGGCTATATAGTTTTCTAAATATGAGCTCTGTACAGTCGTAGACCTAGAAAAAATAGCTATTGTAATCTTCAACTTACTATCATAGCATGAACGTATATTCATACGTTTTATACTAAACTGGCACTTATAGTGTGCAATCATTAATTATATGGTAAAGTGCCGCTGGAGGAGACCATAATTTGAAAGTGAACAACTTTATTCGATTGTATAATTCAATAAAATACCTATAATAATTTATACATACTATTACAGAATTTGATATTACCCGTTTTGTAGTAAACGGGCACTCGAAATGTAAGATTATTAATAGTAAAATGCCCTTGAACTATGATATTATTCAAACGTTTTAACTGTATACAATCGCATAGCTCACAAAAAATAACCATATGAATTTTTCATATAGTTTTTCAGCATTTGAAATTTTCCGTTTTGGAGTAAATTAGCAATCTAAATGTGCAATTATGATTTTATAGCGGGAAGTTAAAAAACTTTCTCGAGATTTCTTTCGACAAAGATTTTTCGACGTTATTTTTTGAGTTTATTTCGATGTTATTTTTTGAGTAGATGAGCTGATTAAAACATAGAATTGATCGAAACAGATGTCTTAAAGTATTTCCTAAGAAATTTTTTTTTTTTAAATTAAGAAAAACTAAAATTTGAGGTTTTCTCAAAATTTATCGTGCCAATACGGGATACCCCGTTACAAAGTTATAAGATGCTTACATGTTTTCGTTCATTCATTCATTCATACCCCCCACCCCCCCCGCCCCTCACACACACACATATAGACGAACATCATCGCCATACCAGTTAGAATAAATAGCTTCTTAGGACTTCAAACCGTCGAGATCTGATGAAAACTCTATTTTCGAAAATGAGGGCGAAAACGATAACTTCCCGATTTTTTGAAAATCATTGATTTTCTTATAATTTTTTGAGTTTCTTCGTTTCAGTAATTTGTAAGCAATAAATCGTGATGTAATAGAAACGATTAGAGAAATAATAAACGAGGCATAACAATATTGTCCCCTTTATTATATTATTCGGATGATTTGACTGAGGGGTCAGGATTATCATGATTTGTACAGTTACCCTGCTCCTGTTATGTTGTATTCTATATCTGTTGGTAAGTGGGCGCGTTTCTCTTTTTTTTTGAAATTATTTTTGCCCTTTATCTGTCATCGTTGGTGTCAGATATGCGTCAAAAATTGTATCACTATTATGTATTGAATTATTTGAACACGTGCACAACTTGTATATATATGATTCGTTTTATTTAATATCTGTATATATACTTATGTTCACTTGACTCCAAAATTTTATAAATTTCTTGGTATGCTTTTTTTTTTCAATTTTCTTTTTTTTTTTTTTATTGCAATAGTAATAAATAAAGATTTATATATATTAATGTGCAATTAATTAAGCTGAATTAAAAATAGTATTTTCCAAAATAAATAAATTTCAAGTCTCGATACACAGAAACAAAATCAACTTTTCATCTTGATTCAAGACAATGAAACTCATCAAAATTATTATCTTGGTTCAAGAATTTTTCTCTTGGCAACGGAAAATTCGTTTTTACGACACTCGGCGAAAATTGTCGAGCTAGATCGATTGGATTATCGATCCGCTTATTCGGTATTCACCACATATATTAACAATGAAAAAGCTGCATTGTCTGTAATTCCATAGAATCTAATCAAGTCGATATAAACAATATAAACATACTAAAATAATGTTCTTTACCAAATTTGTGAAGCACCCGTCGGGTACCGCTTGTGCACCTTTGTTCTACTATTTTCTGGATTACGATATTTTGTCAACTGTTTAATTACAAAACTAACTTGTTATTGAAGATACTATATGTGAGAAAATTGTTGTTTAAAGTCAATGAAATACAATTTGTGATACTATTTGTCACCACTAGCACGAAGTTGTTTTGTATTTTAATTTCAAATGTCCGATCTGTTAAGAAAACTTGTTCAAAAATCGGATTAAGCAAAAAATTAATTAATTTTGTTTTAAATATTTCACTTGTTCACTTGTTTATCGGGAAACCCAGAAGTTTATTCTGATTACATAAATCGCGTTTCATGAAGCTTTAAATATTTGCATAAGTTCATAACAACAGTAACAAGTCTTTTTAAGTTTGAATATATCTAGTTAATATACGTGATTAGATATGGATTACTCCCCTTACTTATACTCTTATTTCGAAATATTTAGTCGGTTCATTTATCCACGTGTTATATCGGTGGACTAAGGGGTGAATTTTTGTACTTCACTGAGTAAATAAACCATAGCAAAATGGACCACAAAATTTTTTTTTACATTTAATCAACGTCATTTATTTTCTTTGTCATAGGAATTAATTGTTCAGAACTAAAATTTTCAATAACTGTCTCTAGCTTACGTAATCGATTTATTTTTTATACTTGAAGTCAGTTGAAAAATGAAAAAACTTATTTTTTTTTTTTTTCATAGGAGTTAGTTTTATTTGGATATATCGCGTAGGTGTGGATATATATGTGTATATTATATACATTATTGGAATATGAGGAACGTAAATGCAAGCTGACGCTTTGGATCAATGTCCATGGATTCGGCGCTTTCAACGTTCTTGCTAAATTGTAGATAAAATTACGTTATTAAATAGTAACAACTCAAAAATTTACAAAAAGTTATTTTTTAAAAATAATTTCAGGACTTCTAATCCTTCGATTTTTTACCTTTTCGACAGATTTTTTGAACTCAAGAAACTGCGCCAAAGCCACAAACTTAATTAAAGTCGATTTGTTAAAAATGACCGAAAAATTAATTTTTTTTTATAAATTACTGTTCAAATCGATTGATTGTCGATGAATGTCATTACAATTTAAAATCACAAAAATTACGCCTTATTAAAAATGGATGCAAATTGAAAATGTTTGACGATACTACTGCCCGAATATAAAAAAATATATATATTTAATTTTTTTTAAGAGTATTTTCACATAGAAAATATCAATTTCTAAGTAGAGAATAAATTTGTTGACTCAAAAAAATATTTATGAAGACATTAATTATTTTAAGCGGATTGAATTTTTCTGATTCATGAAAAACTAGGATCAAGACTATTTTGATCTTCCGAATAAATTTTTTTTTGGTTCAAGTAAACGTTTTTTTTTTCCTGTATACATTTCTGAGCTTAAAGATCTGAATATCTAATTAATGGCTATATTTTCTAGCTTTAAGTTTATAGTTGCGAAATAAACTTTGAGTTCATATATAGAAAAATAGATTTCTAATTAAAAAAAAATATTTCGAAAGATTAAAATTATTTTAAACGAAGTAACTATCTTTTCTTCAATCAAGAAAATTTTTTTAAATCACAACAATTTTTTAAATTAACAAATTTTTTACTTTATCCAAAACAATTTTATTTTCCTACATATTATTGTCTTTGTTTAAATTGAAGTATTTTTTAGCGTGTAGGATTAGAATTCTCGTACGTGGTCATTTCGATTTTTTTTTTTGTAAAATGAACTAATTTAAAAATAATTTTTATTTTTTCAAAAAAAACTACACTGACAGAAAAATTAAGTTGATTTGATAGAAAATTATTGAACCAAAAAAAAATTTTTGAAGAAAATTTTGGTGTTAAATCAAATCAAATTAAACTAATTAAAGATTATACTGAAACAAAAAAAAGTGTCTTGGTTCAAAAACTTTCCTAGTTGATTCGAGACAGAAACTCTTAAAAATAATACTCTTGGTTCCAAATTTTTTCTCTTGAATCGTGACATTTTTTATCAGTGAATTTGGTTTATTTTGTGTCATAACTTCGTATTATAGAACCACAATTTGATATTTTTACAATACAATCAATTTAAGTTTTTTACATTTCAGTAAACAATAGAAAAATGACAGGTCTGATATTTCACATATTGAACAGAAATTTATCTAGCATATAAATAATATTATGCACCCCCGTTACAATATAGCGCGCAAATATCAAAGTCGATTCGTCGCAGACGAGTCACTTGACTAATACGTCTTTAATTAATTCCATAACTGGCTATTCAAATAACAAGAGATCCGTTACAGTTCGCTCCCTTTTTATTCGGCATTACCCACTTACCCTCCTAACTGGCTTAGCTCTGATTCTGGCTTATAAACCATTTACCCTGATCCTCTATCGACAGCCAACAATATGTTTTAAATCTACTCTCTCATTTTTTAATTTGATATCTTGTAGCGACGCGTGTCTATAGGAATATTTATCGCTCCAATAATTTACTTATTATCTATAACGATTTCACTATTAAAATATTTTATTATCATTAAAGTAAAAAATTAAAAACTTTTATTAAAAAAATTCATATTTTTTCATACATAAAAATTTTTAGTAATCATTTTTTCCAACTTTGGAGTTTCATTTATAAACATGAAATATATGTAAAAAAAATGAATGTTGAGGAAAAAAAGCAAGGGCGTTTTCACCCTCGCTTAATAGTGTAGCCAATCAAAATAATTCAAGTTCATAACACCCTTAAACCCACGAATCAGAACAATTGTAGGCGGGGTTACAATTGATAACAGTACCGCAGAGTCCGCGTCTTGATCCGTCGATAATCCCTAGCTCTTCATTCTCAAATCGAATATTATCTAATAAACATCCAGATTTTTTTGGACTCAAAACCACAATTATTTATCAAGTCCCTTTTTTAGTGAAATGTTTTTTTTAGTGAAGTAGTTTTTTTTTTTTACTAAGCAAAATAAGTGTAACAAGTGCTGTGATTTTTTTATTAAGTAGCAAAAGTAGATAAAAATTAATTTATTTATTAGGATATGAACTACAACGAACCGTTGTGGGAAATTAACGGAAATCAAGCACCAGTAAGCATCATCATTCTATTTTGATAATTTATTTTATCTATTCATCTTAATAATTGTGAATAAAGTTTCGGTGTTACTTTGAAGGTTTCAACAGTTTAATCAATAAAATTATAAAATAAAATTTATTGATTGAATCTTTTGAAAATAACGAAAACTTATATTATAAATATAGTATAGAAGGAAATTAGTGGCTGATAGAAAGCACTGGTTTGAAATATTTCTGAAAAATAACAAATAAAATTAACTTTTTTTGACAAGAAAAAAACTGTGAATTAAGAATCTTAAATATTGGTTTAAATTTTTTTCTTTTGAATGAATTTATTTTTTTGAAAGTCAGCAAATAAAATTTTAACAAGAATTACTTACAAAATTTATGCCAAGAAAATAATTATGAATGGAACTTATAGAATAAATACTCGTCAGAATAATTTCAATCATTCAGATCGGTATGGTTAAAATTATTTTTCAAATTATGTCATCTGCATGATCAACTCGACTTATTCATAACATAGAATCCTAATCGATGAAAAAAGAGTGTAGAATTGAACATAAAAAAATTACCAAAAAGATTATGTTTTTTGTTATCATAGCAATTTTTAATTATGATATACAATGGTTTGCTGTAAAAATAGCAATTTTTTATATATATGTGGAAAGTGAGGGATTTTGAATTTGCCATACGAGCTTAAGATTTTGATGTAAACACAATGTACACGGAAAAAAAATTGTAGGCAAAATTATAATGGTAACATCGTAATCCAGGACCAAAATTTGAATTCGGTTATTTTGATAATTTTACATTTTTAAATTTACAATGTTACATCATAAAAATGCCTAAACAAGTAGTAAATATCCGAATTTTTACAATGTAGCATCATGAATTTTAAAATGTATTATTATTATTTAATATAAAGGAAAATGTACAGAGTTTGAGATAATTGTAGTTCTCTTCCTACAAAAATTAGTAAATGTAAGCGTCAAATATCCAGTAAAAGATAATAAAATAGAAAACATGTCAATGTTATAGTTAAATGTAGTTAATTCAAAAGCGCAGCGTGGTCCTGTAGCGACTCCGTATCATGAAGAGGAGGTATTGGAATTGGAGTTGGAGATGCACGAGGTCTTGATTGGGTAGCCTATTGGTTCTTATCAATGTTTACCGGTGTGATTAAAGTCAGCAGTTTGGCTCTCAGTACAAGGCTATCCATCACAAAGTGTGAAAATTTTTAAATGTAAAATTATCAAAATAACCGAATTGCAATTCTGGTTCTGAATTACGATGTTGCTATAATGTAATTTTTCTTACAATTTTTCTTCCATGTAAAATGGCTTATTCAATCCCGAAAAGTATGCATCATTTCTTTAAACTCATATCGCAATTTTAAGTGTATCAAAATCTCTCAATTACCACGTATGTATCGAAAACAACTATTCTAAACTATTAATATTGTTTTTGAAAATATACTATTCTAGAATATAAACTTCTTATTATTTATTAGTGTAATTTTTTAATTTTGTCATTTATGAAGCACTATCGTTACCTTGTATAACTGTAATCACATAAAATTGTACAATTTTCTTTTTTTCATTTCTATTCTTGTTCTATTATTATTATTATTATTATTATTATTATTACATAGCGACTGTTTAAATTTAAACATTTAGGTGGAATATTCCGGATACTTGATATAAATTCATAATAAATAATGACTATTCTTATTATTGTGTAACTACTTAATATTACAACAGATAATAACAAGCGAAATGTCGCAGTACGTCGGAAGCGAGATGGCATCATATCCAATGTGGGATAGTTCAGTTCTTTATCAAACACCACCTCCATCATTATCACACGTCAACGACCACGTCAATGGTTTTTATCGTCAACCTTGTGCTCTGCTTCATCAAAGGTGTTTTGTTTTTAAATAATTTTACCAAGTATTTATTGAGACAAATAATTTACTAAATAAATAATTAGAGATATTGATAGCCGTTACAGTCACAATGGACGGATGCCAAATCAACCGACATCATCATCAAAGAAACCTCGCCGAAGGGTTGCTTCAGTTTCGCAAAGAAGAGCTGCTAATATACGAGAACGGCGGAGAATGTTTAATCTGAATGAAGCTTTTGATAAATTACGCAAAAAGGTAATCAAATTCGTATTAAAAGTGTCATTTTTGGCAATGGGAGAAAATTTTTCCATAAAATTATAATTGAATACTGACTGATTGATTTTATCAAATTTTGTAAATTGTATATTGTATTAAATTCTATGAAATCTTTGTTTCTGTTGCAATACGGTATTAAAGTAGTTGTTTCGCTCGAAGCATTTTATTATTATTTAAAAATCAATAGTACAGTGCAATTAACAATACAGTTTTGGAATTATTTAATTTCAAAATTAAATAAAAAATTTCAAAAAAAGTTGACTTGCATCTAAGGCTATAACTTAAAGTCTCTTCTTAAGATTGTTTTCCAAAATTAAACTAGTATTATTTAAGTTATGTCAGAAAATTTTTTCACGGGCTTATAATTTAAAATATTAATTTTGACCTCCTGGTAAAGCTATTTATCTTACCGACATTATAATATCTGTATCACTTAAGTTAAATTTCAATCGTCAATGTAATTTCTTTAGTATGACAGTCATTTTTGTAGTACTTCCTGTAATTATTGTAAAGCTTAAGACACAAAATTTAAATCTTTAAAATAAAAATAATTACCCTACATTGGCTAAAATTAAACAAACAAATGAAATTTTCACTATTGCTTTGCACGAAATGTGTTACAGTCCTGATCTAATTTTTACAAGTAATTACGATTTATCACTACTAATAATAATATTTAATAAAAAAGTTTAATTTTTTATTTTAGATCGAATTTTTGAATTTGTAGTTGTTATTCTTTTTATTATTAAAGTCAAAAGTCCATTTTCTTGTATGTGATTATAATTGTTACTGAGTGTGATAAAAGCATTTTAAAGTTGAGGACACACCAAATTTTTATTTTTCAATGAAAATTAGCACAGTTTAATGTTATTTTCCAATTTTATTATTATAATTATTCATGTGTTTAAATATTGCAGATATGGTGGATTATTGAAATTATGGTGGATCACTCAAAAGAAATGGAAAAAATAACAAAAATTCTTGATTCTGTCTCGATTAAAAATCCTAGAGAATTAAAACCAACCAAAGTTAGTAATTTGCCTAAAAAAGCAGTGAAAAACAGCGAGACAAAAATTGCAAAGCCTAATTTAAGTAATCTGAATCAAAAAGTTGGAAGTAGTCAGTCAAAAATACTTGGGAATCCATTGAAAGCACCAAAAAATCAATTGAAACCACTTGGACAGCAGTTCAAAGCACCTGGACCTTACAAACCTTCTATTACTTCGGCAAAGACACCAGCAGTTCCAGCAAAATCATCAGGGATTCAATCAAAAGCACCAAAAGTATCAACACTGCCGAAATTACAGTCAAAATCTGTAGCTCAAATTCGAAAGCCATCAGCACAAGCTCCAAAGCCGCAAATTAAAGTCACCACGGCTAGAAATAAGTCAATTGCGCGTCCAAATGTCTATGTGGGGCCTGGAGTACTTAAAACACATGTCACACGTAGTTTGCCAGCTGTTTCTGGTCCGAAACCTGATATTTCGGCAATAAACTCTACTGCAAGTGCTAAGCTGCATAGACCTGAGTACAATTCAATTGTCAACACCATCAAGAGAATAGACAAGTCGAAAAATGAAAAGATTGTGACTGATTTTGAGCATTTGCCACATCCTTACAAAAACTTGGTCGTACGAAAGGTGATTTATTTTTTAGTTCGTTTGTTAATTGTTGAATGTTTAAGTGATTCTTTTTTTTAATACTTAGATGTCGAGTGCGCTGGATTTTCCGGCTGACAAACCGATATTCAAGGACCTGATTGACTTGAGTGTTGATGAATCTCATCTTCCGGAGAGGATAACTCGTACCAAGGATCCTCAGCCGAGAGAAAGGGACTTAGAACCGAAGCTGGAAGACTTTTTTAAGCCTGTCTACGGTGAGGAGTACTGCACTTCTGTGAAAATAAGACCCAGAACTCCGGAGTTTGATGACAATTTATCGGCGTTTAAAATTAGCGACCGGATTTTTGATTGGAAATCTTCTTTGGATGAGTAAGAAGTTGAACTTCTTTGTTTCTTGATCAATTTTATTTTAATAACTTGAATTTTTTTTTCATTTTTATCACAAATATTTCTCTAGTTTATTTTTTTACTTAAAAAAAAGTACAATTACATTTATTTAATCAGTATTTCTAAACCTTAATCTTAAAATTTATTTATTTATTTATTTATTCATTATGGTTTTATAACTCAAAAAAAAATTTTCGATTTTATACAGTTTTTTTTTTTTGTCAAAAATTATAAAAATTTCACATAAAAAATTTTTAAAGTTATCTAAAAATTTTCAAGTATTTTTTGTACAACTTAAAATTTTTAAAAAATTGTCAGATCTTTGCTATTTTCAGTAACGCTATCTGCACATATATTTTTAAACTAAAAATTCTCGCCATTTTGAAGCATTCCACCATTTTGTCCTCCAAAAAAAAAAAAATTACAAAAATAATTCAGTATTCAACAACCACAAACTACAAATAAAAAAAAGACATCAATATTAAGCATATAAATATCAACTAAACTTTATTTTTAATACGTATAATATTGTAAATATTAAACCTGTACAATTATATTTTTATATATGTATATGAAAGGCAGTATTTACACTTAATTACATAAAAAAACATCTAAATAAAAATTATAAAAGTCAATAATAACAGTAAAAATATCTATTTACTAAAAGGATTCAAATTTTTATTATAATCATCATCATCATCATCATCATCCTTGTCATCATCCTCATCAAAAGGATTAGTACTTTTTGTTTCCTCGGTGGCTTCTTCAGCAAAAGGATTATTCTTCTCATCGTAGTCCGCAGGAACAGCATTCACCGGAACGATCGGCGTCTTGGGAACAACAAAATTTTTTCCTGGTGAATTTTTCGGGCTGCTATTAACAATCAAGGCCTCGCGGATCCTTACTGGAGAAGACCTCCTTTCCCTAGAACTGATATTGGCTTCCAGACTCATCGCGTACCTGCCGCGTTCGTCGACATCCTTGGATTTTCCTTCAGTCAGCCTGATCCTAGCTTCTGAAGTTCCATACGCCCGTTCTTTAATCTCCTTATCCTCGCTATTCCTGACGATAGGATTCAACGCAGCAGTATTGGTCGCTCCAGGAATCAAGGGTTTTTCCGCATCAGCGTCCGTGATTACCATCAATTTCTTGAAAACACCTCGGCCAAAATAATCAGCTACCAGGGAAAAAGGATCTTCAGCCCTATCTAGCAAACTATGAAAGGTTTCATGCAAATCCCTGGAGGCTTCTTGAGCCCTGATGATATCCAGCAGTTTCTTATTATTCGGCAAGCAAGCTGGACATTCATTTTCATTTTCCGAAAAACTTTGGAAGCAATGCTGGTGATACGAATGCGTGCACATAAAATGAACAGACGGCAGTTCTAATTGATGATGACACGCACTGCACCTAGACCCTTGAAAGATAATTGTGCTGTTTTTAATAACATCGATCTGCTCGCGTAATTTGATCGTATCCTTGCGATACTTTTCTACCAGCTCATGGTCAGCAATCGTCTGATCGTGCTCAGTCTTCAATACACTGTTCAAATAACTCCTAACGTCCCCCAGAGTGCAATTAAGCGACGTGGACAGTGCGTCTATCACCATCAAAGGTGATAAAAGTTTCTCTGCTGCGATGAACGTCAAAATGTCCGCCAGTAATTTCGGCGAAGCTTTGCGATTACGTGCAACGCTCCAGAGGGCCTGGACCCATAAGTTAGGATCCTGGTGCCCAAACCGTCGGCAAGTTGATAAAACAGACTCGTCGTCTGCCTCTCGCAGATGGTACTGTAAAATTTCCTGGTACAGTTTCCGCTCTTCGTACAAATAAAGCAATCCGCGACGGAAATTATGCTGGTGGCACAGAATCAGAATCTGATCTTTGTCGTAGCAAGCTTCCGAGTTTTGCAGCAACCGAATTACCTTTTGTTCATACTGCAGTTTGGTAACATCTGCCTCCTGGGCTTCCCATACATGGAGATAGTGTTCCACGAGAGTATTATATACTAAAGTACTCCATTTTGTGTCACATTTGACTAGATACTCCAGAAACTCAACTAACCTCTCAGAATTGTTCAAAAACAAATGAATGAAGTCTTCTGGATTTGCGCGCTCCGTTTGCTCATCTAGATCAACATTCTGATCGATCAGCGGGCGATCTAAAGTTACCGGTCGATAATTAGTACACAATTTTTTCATGAATTCTGTAGCCGCTGCCGGAACATTTTCAATCAAAATTTTCCCGTATTTCTTCATCATCATTTCAGCTTCTTCAAACTCCAGAGTTTCCATGTATTCCAGCGCGCTTTTGTACTCCTGCTTGTCCTCAATTTGAATCCTCAAAAACCACTCGTGCTTTTTGTGCTTTCGGGCGAGCAGCAGAGCGTCTTCTGGAGAAGCTGATCGGCAAACCTTGATAGCAATTTCAACGTCAAAGTCAACCTCGCGGTCTTTGGTCATGATAAACTGCTTCAACTTATCAGTCTGGTTGAGTTTCGTGTAGCAATTGAGAAGCAATGTGGTATGATCTTCCGTGGCCTTTCCTTGCTTGTGTAACGCCTGCAAATAAGTCGTCAAGTTATCAATATGCTGAGAGTCTAAGAACTTTCGGATGACATAAGAAGGCTCCAGCTTTCCAATTGTGCGGATATACTGCTCTATGGCGCCATTGTGGTCGCCTTTGGCGTACAAATGATCTCCATATTGTCGGAAAATATCAACGAGACCTTCACTGTCGTACTGCTGGCTCTTAGCAATCCGGATCGCGACATCATAGAGATTCTTCTTAAACAGCAGAGCCAGTTTTAGTTGCAAGTCTTTCTCGTCTAGATGATAGAGCTTGTTGTCACCGCTCAGGATGAAGAAACCTCCCCACTCGGAAACTATGGCGGAGATCGAGATCATCGAGGCAGAGAAAACGATGAACTTATTCTGGATGTCGAGGACGGTGATCTGGTGCTTGTCAACTCCTGGAGGAATCGGTTCGATTGTGTTGGGTTTCGCTGAGATTGTCGTACTTCTGGACACTCCAACTCCTGATCCAGATGCTCCTGATCTAGATGGCGCTCCAGCAGATTCCTTGGCGACAATTACCAGATACCCACGGAACCAGTCCAGCATGACCTTCTGACCTTCAATGGCATAACAGGGCCCGCGACCATCGAGAGTGTAGCAATAGACTGCGTCGTTCCTGGCAATCATGAAGTGGCTATCCTGATTGGTCTCTGCTAGGACACTGCAACCCGGAGCGCAGCCCATGTTGTCCAACACTGTTTTGACCTCTTTGTCTTTCGCGGTGATGTTATAGAGATAAACGTTCAAAGTCGTCGCGACGAAGAGATGGTTCTGCTTTCCGGTCGACCGGATTTCAAGGCCAGTAACTGCCGTGTTGGAGTCTTTTATCACTTTTATTTTGTTTTTCCTGTCCCGGGTGACATCTCCGCGATACAGCATCACCGAGCCGTCGCTGAACCCCACTGCCATCATTGAAAGGCTAGGATGGATGTACATAGCGGTCGCCGGTACTGCTCGAAAGCTGGGGATTGCGCGGCTTACTCGGATGCATGTTGGGTTTTCTTGCTTGTCGAGCTTGGAAAAGTTCCAGACTTTGATTGTCGGGTTGCAGCCCGGGTCGTCCTCGCCGATAGTGAAGAGATAAGATGTATGAGGCACCTGGTGCGTTAGTGTGCAGGTTATTTCGTAGGCTTTAAAGGTTGAAACCTGGTAAGTTCTTTTTACTACGTGGATGTTGCCCAGGCTGTCGGAGAAGATCAAGCTGCCGTTTCCGCTTGTTGCTGAGGTTACTTGGGAGTCCTAATAAAATATACATTAAATAAGTTTTTTAAAAAATGGAAAAATATAGTTAAGGAAGTCCTTTCGCTCCAGTTGAGTCACAACAATTGTAGTAGTCAATATTCGATAAATTAAAATAAAAAAACCCATAAAAATTCCTAAAATTAAAAAATAAATAGTATATGAGGCATTAATCGTTGAAATTTTGAAAATTAATAAAAAAAATAGTTAAATACAAAAATTAATTTGACTCTTGTAAATCAGCTGTTAGTAAACTGTCCGTGATTTGGCAACGCTTTATTTCGGTTATTTACATTTTTATTTGCACAATATAACCTTAACCATGTTTAACTTTTTGCAGTCAATGTAAATAAATAAATTAATTAAAAATGTTTAGTCACAAAACCGTAACATTCTAATATCTCATGGCAGGAATGCTAGTATTTTTAAATTATTGTTTTATTTTTCAATTATGAATTATGAAAATTTGTTAACAATAAATTAACTAATAAGTATGTATGAAAAACATAAGCGTGTTAAAGTTTAGTTTGAATTTATTGAATGGTTTGAAGATCGCGCACTACACAACGTTGCCAAATGTTCTGACGCCATTTAAATGTAGGTTACTTAAAAATTTTCTGTGATTTTATAATTATAATTTCTCCATAAATTCCACGGCAACCTATATATTTTATTGCAAAAAATCAAACCTCAATATTTCGAAAATCTTATTTTGAGTTTTTTTTTTACCCCATCTAATCGGTGGTTAATGCCATAATTCGAGAATGTTGTTAAGGTCTGACTTTCTCGTAAGACTCGGAAAAAATACTAACATTTTTAGAAATTTTTTTTTCAAAAATTTCCTCGGTGAAGTATAAATTAAACTTCACTAGTAGATACATAAAGACTTTAACTATTAGATAAAAATTAATTTTATGCATGATCTAATATTTTTTATTTAACATTGATGGCGAAAGGACCTCCTTAACATATATGATTTGATGATTTTTTTTTTATGCAAAAAAATTGGTAATTTTTAAAAGTGAGACTATCTATTTTTAGTAACAGAAAATTGAAAAATTGATTTTTTTTTTATTTTTTCAGCATGTTCTACTGTTCAGTGGATTAATGATAGAAATAAATTCAATTTCCAAAAAATAAAATTTCACAAAAATTGTTAGATTTGAAAAGTTTTCAAATTGAAATTTCAATTTTTCATCAACAAATTAAAAGTGATGGATTAATTTTTCAATAATGTTAAATTTTTTTCATGTTGTGAAACGGATACAAATCAATTTCCATTATAGAAAATTTTTTGAGTCAATTTTTCAGAATCGTCTTCAAATTATTAATCAAAATTTCAATTACAGGATTTTTTTTAATTTATAAATGTTCATGAAATTTGATTTTTTGAAAATCAAACAAGTTTTTATGTTTAACCCGTCAAAGACTAGATTGTAATAGCTGCAAATAGGCGGAGCCCTACTTCTATATAACTACCAAAAAAATTAAGAAATTAAATAATATTGGACGGGAAAATTATTGATAGTAAACAATAATATCTGAACAACATTCCTAGTAATTTTTGTGATAATGAAATTAGTAGAAACTCGATCATGTTTTTCTTTTTCTTTTTTTTTTTCAATTAATAAACTACTACTAAAAAATATTTTATTAAAAATTTAGATTCAATTTTTTTTTTAATTCTGACAGAAATTTTTTATTTTTATTTTCTTCACAACAGTTTGTTAAAAAAATCTTAAAAATTTTGAAATGTTTGTTCCTGTATCATAATTTTTTTGACAGCGTATTATCATTAAACAAACATATCTGAAGTCGAATACATTATCGAAAAAATTTCTACTCAAAGTTATGATTGAAATTCTTAAAATGATCGTCTGATTTTTATATTTTAATTTGTAAAATAATAATGCAGATTTTTAATGGGATTTTTTGTCTACAAGGAAAAATATATGAAATTAAATAAAAAAATAAAATTTTTCTTACCCCAAGTACTTCGAATATTTTTCCATGATCAACTTCTTTTTTTAAATCAAAAAAATTGAATCGTCGCCACTGAAATTTGATAGAATATTTATTAATTAATTTAAAATAAAGATTTAAGGTTATAAATATAATGATACAATCAATAAAAGCAAGTAAAGGATTGCTAATTACCTCGAGAAACGCCATATTTATTTAGTTTTTGATATAGCTTTACATTAGAATAGAGAAGTGACTATAATTACTTAAAATTTACTAATTAGATATTAGTAATGTATGTACAAAACATAATATAAATTTTTTTGACATTTGACAGATGACAGATGAGATTTCAGGGCATGCGCTAGAAATTTACCGACTGACTTGGTGCTGAGAACAGAAGAATGGTCACCAAGTAGTAATTGTTACTACTAAATTGTGATTAGCGCGTCATGCTTTTTTCAAAAGTATGCGCCTTTTTTTAAATCTTAAAAATTCTGATGTGTATAAAATACATTTGTACTAACTTCTACTTTTAAAAGAAAAAGAAATATATTCCAGATAGGTACTTTGAAACATTGAATTTGATGTTGTAGAAAAAATGAAAATTTAGAAAAATAAGCAATTTATTTCAATTTGTCTATGAACAAACATAAAATAATATCAAAATACAGACATTTGAAAATTTTTAGATTTTTTATCAAAAAAAGGCTTCAGCAGTTTGAAGCAAATAGATTTCTCAAAACAAAAAAAAAATTTCTGAATCGTTAAAATAAATGCGTTGAATAACATCAAATTATTTTTAATAGATAGTTTATAATTTCATAACTTATAAATAGACGATCAATATTTTTGATTAGATTACTTAATTTATAATTTTTTTTTTTAATTTAGAATATTTTTATTGACTTATTTAATTTATACATTTTTCTTTACAAGTAAATACTTATACACATATATATTATATAGATTGAGCGTAATTCCATGCCTTGAGGCTTACTTACATATGATATAGTTAGTTTCATTTTTGGTGATATAAATTATTTTAATTGATATAGTTTGTTATTTTTATAGGAAAAGTTTACAAAAAACCTATTTATGATATTGTTAGATAATCATTTAGCTACGTATAGCTTAACTTAAAACTTAAACCTAGCATCACAATTCTTATACAACTAAGACAAACGTATTCGTTTGTAAAGAATATTGACTTTACAATATTTGATATCGTTTACTGGTTTACTGATATTTTTTGGTTGTTGATTTATTATGATTTGATTTAAGACTTTATGCTTAAAGCAAGGATTCTGATTTGTTGTTTTAGCTACGTCCTTAAGGGGTTCTTTGTCATTTAGAGTATTAAAGAATTTTATTGCAATCTCATGTACGACATTTTTAATAGTAGGCATCTGAAGCCTTTCATGCAAGAATTTACTCGAGGTTCCGTAAGGGAGATTGAGTATCATTCTAAAACATTTATTTTGAAGAGTTTGGAGTCTATTGTAATTAGATTGACTAGTGTTTGACCAAATTGGACAAGCATATAAGAGTATCGGCCTTATACACATCTTGTATATAATTAATTTATTTTTAATGCTAATGTACCTATTACGACAAATTAGGAGATAGAACATTGCTATCGCTGCATTTGCTTTTTGTATGATATTTGTGATGTGTTTTGTAAATGTTAATTTAGAGTCCAGAATAAGACCAAGGTATTTAGCCTGGTTCGTTATTTTAACATCTACTTGATTGATTTGTAAATTTTCGTTGATCGTATCTCGTTTGTGTGTAAATATCACCAACTCTGTTAAAAATTTTTTAATATATTTTGTATTGAATCAAAGTCAAAACAAAAAAAGTTGAAAAAAAAAAGAAACAAAATAATTGTTTTCGCCCGGGTTCGAACTGGGGACCTTCTGCGTGTTAGGCAGATGTGATAACCGACTACACCACGAAAACTTAGACGTGGAGGAACGCTTGGATGCTAGTTCTTAAGGCTTGTTAGATACTACTACGCATCACTTTACTTATAAAAATCTTTTTACTCGCTTTTTATTAGCTTCACCTGTATGTTTGTAACCAAATCCTTTGGACTTCATTTTGACCCACTTAATTTACTTTTCAGTTTGCTTTTCTATAAAAGCGTGTTTTTCGTTTTTTAAACGATTGTTATTTTTATCATTTTACAGCAACAATGTTTTTATTCATACAGTATAGTTTTCTTACTCATGTTCAACTTCAAACTCAAACGTAGCCAGTTGAAATTTTTGAGTTCTATTTAATATTTCGAAAAGTTCAAATGTGAAATAGTTAGTAAAATAGTTTTTCGGGTAAAAATTCAGACAAAAATCCCTTTGGTTTCTTTTTTCTTTTATATTAATTTTTTAGAACTCAAAATCAGTCATTTAAACTAAATATATAAAAATCATTTAAATGTTTATAATAGTTGAATCGTTTATTGGAGAAACCCCATAAATCAAAAATACTAAATTTTTCAGGAGAAGCAAAAAACATTTTTCTAAGTTAAGTTTACATTAACACCATGAACCAATGAATAATAATAATAGTGTTAGCATCCCTAAAAAAGATTCGAGTATGAAAAAATTTAATTGTTAATTACTACTATTAATAATGATTTAAAGTTGATTGACATGGGGTTTCTCACAAAAACGAACAAAATAGTACTAAAATCATCAATTTATCAGTTTTTCTCCGTCAATCATTTATTATATTCATAAAATAAAGTACAAAATATATATATTGGAACTACAATTAACGAAAATTAAAATAAATAATCACTTATTTTTAAATTCAAATTAGTGGATTGAGAGTCAATAATAAAACAAAATTTTAATTTATCACAATCAAACTTTATAAAACTAAAGTTGCGAAAATTATTGAAATCAAAGTATTTAACAGTCAATATAATGTATAATTATTTAATTTAGTGAAATCAGAGTCAACAATAAAACAACATATTTTTAATTTTAATCTATTAAGCGAATATTGTAAAATTCAAGTATTCAAAAGTTAATTTAGTTCCTAATTATCTGATAATCAATTATTTTAAAATTAAAGTCCGTGAAATCAGATCAAACAATAAAAAAATAATTTCATTTAATTTTCTTAAACTAATATTGCAAAAATGATTAAAATTGAAGAATTTTGCACTGAACTGAATTTTTTCTACTCGGAAAAAGAAGAAAATTAGTTTTGGAATTTTGAGATTGAATGTTTATTCGAAAAACTCTATAATACACTGACATGGGGTTTATCAACTAAACGAGATTTGTATCAACCGATTGATTGGGTCTTGAACACGGATTTAATATTTTTTGGTGCTGGTATACGTTAGGGAAAATTCAAAGAACCGAAAAATGCAAAAAACTCGATTTCGAAAAAAATATGACTTATGGGGTTTCTCAAATATACGATTCAGTTGTGGAATAGATAGTAGTTTGTTGTCACGAATTTTCAGGAAAGTCGGATATGCTTGATTTTCAGAAAACGACTTCAAAGTTTTCAAACTCGAAGATAACGCGGAAAAATTTTTCCAAAAAATTATTCGTAATTTTTTTCTAAAAGTACATGGAAAAACGAAACTTTTTTTATCCTTTGAGTATTTTTATTTAAACCATTTTTCAAAAAGTTAAAAGCAAAAAATCGTGAAGAGAGCGGTTTTTTTGAAAATTCCATATCTTTTGATATATCTTTTAATATATTACTAAATAATTAAAAAAAATGACGGAAATTAAAAATTAAAATTTTTAAAACCGACCGATTTGGCGTGGAATGCCCCATATACATATTTTCTTAATTATTTTTAAAAATTATTCTTCCATAGAATTTAAATTCTTAAATAAATTATTTCAATGATTACCTCGAACCAAACAGCTTCATTAATACTAATCATTTTTCTTGAATTTTTTTAGTTTTTTTGCTATTTGAACTTCTTTATCGATTGCTTTTATTTAATTTATTAATTTATTTAAGTACAGATTTAACATATGTAACAAAATAAACAAACTTTTAGTTAATAAATTTTTTAAATTTGTTCAAGTTAATGTGATAAAATGTAGTGATTCTTTACAATCTTTATTTTAGCTCAATAGTTTATGACATTATTTTATGATTATAGTTTGATAGTTGACTTATGAATTTAATAATGTTGTACTTATTAAGGTGAAAAATTAGTCAAAATAAAACCTTTTTGAATGCTATCATAATCTTAAAACTATTATATTTATTTAATTATTTATCCTTGAAATTCTAACATCCTATAGAAAGCTTATAGGACTACCAGTATTGAGGTAATTACAATTACCAAAACCGTCTCATTACTGAACGTTGATTACCTATCTGTTGATCTTATTTGAGTAAAAATTGGTTAGATTCTAATTAATTGTTAAAACAATTGATTGTTCTTCTTTTATCCATAATTTTGATTATTATTATCTCATAAATTTAAAATAACAATAAATAGTTCAGACTGAAAACTCTGCTTGGAAAATCCGGATATATACGAGCATATATCCGAAATAAATAAAGATTTGCAAATTCCAAAAATTAATTCTAAAACAATAAACATTTGAGATCCTTTCACAATAAACATTATGGAGATTTAATTATTATTAAATTCTTTATTAACAATATAATTGAGACACCTAGGGTGTCAGGAACCCTACCGCTTTCGAAATATCCAAATAAAACTTATTACTTGACGATTTTCTTGATAAGTCAACTGTTAAAAATAGTTATCGAACATTTCGTTATAAAAAAAAAGATTTGTTACGTACAAATTCATCGTATAAATATTCAATAAACAATAAATAAACTTTGGTCTGGACACTGTTGAGGAAAATTTGTCGACAAGAGTAGAGTGAAATGTGAGGCACCCTCTCTCCATGGTCCGCGCTAAAGTCGGTACCCACAGCTCAGAACTGTCAGCGCCATCAAAGTTCTAACGGACAAATTGTGAAGCTTGCTAAGTGAAATTTACGAAATCAAAAACTACACCATGACTGACACCGAAGTTGCCGCTTCTCCAGCTCCAGTTGAAAAGGAAGTCGTTGCTAAAACTGACTCTCCAAAGAAGACCAAGGAAACCAAAGCCAAGAAACCAGCCACCAAGCCAACTCATCCCAGTGCCGGTGACATGGTTACTGCTGCCGTCACAGCTCTTGCTGAAAAAAATGGATCATCACTTCAGGCTATCAAGAAGTACATCGCTGCTAACTACAAGGTTGAGATCGAAAAGCAGTCGATGTTCATCAAAAAGTTCCTGAAGGCAGCCGTTGAAAAAGGAACTTTAGTCCAAACAAAAGGAAAAGGAGCTTCTGGGTCATTCAAGCTCCCAGTCTCCAAGCCTGCAGCCAAGCCCAAGGCCGCTTCAGGTGAAAAGAAAGCTGCTCCGAAGAAGGCCGCTGCTAAGAAACCGGCGACCAAGAAGACCAGTGAAGCTAAAGTGTCTGTTAAGGAAGCTACCAAGCCCAAGAAAGCTTCTGCTAAAAAACCAGCTTCTCCCAAGAAGGCTAAAGCACCAGCTAAGCCTAAAGCTGCCGCCGAACCCAAAGCCAAGAAAGCCGCTGCTCCAAAAGCCAAAAAAGCTGCGAAAGCTCCAACTGCGAAACCTAAAGCACCAAAACCGAAAAAGGCCGCAGCTCCCAAAGCGGCCAAAAGCCCAGCTAAGAAAACTTCTGCAAAGAACTAAATAAACCTTGAATTTCCAAACTGAAATAGAAACGGCCCTTTTCAGGGCCTAAAAATTTTTCATTACGTATAAAACTTCAATTTATTATTTATTATTATTATAAACCAATTTGCTTGAGATAGTTTCAAGACTCAAGGGACCCTAGTGTTATCCGGCATTGCCTCATATAACAAACAGGGTCTCTCCCCTTCGATGAAAAGTGCAACGCCTGTACTTGACGAATTTCGGCAATCACTCGGACAACACCTCGATTAAGAAATGAACACACTGTCCACGTTCTGTCAAATTTGCAATTTTAGACCAATAACAAAATTCAACTCCCTTCCGAAAATCACGATCCGGGTGTATAAAAACCACCAAACACCACGGATCAAATGTTCAGTCTTTTATTAAAGAATACGAGGGAAGGTATCCTCGTAGAACCCGTGTGGATCCTTATACCGCGTTACGTATAGGGCAGTGTAAAGCACTAGGTCGCTTACACAAACTTCTGAATTCACTATTGTCTTTTGATTCTTTAAATTGTATCTTCTACGAACCGCGCCAGTGTGCTCTTCGAGCTGTATCGAGGGCCCCGTTGTCCGTAGTGATATCTTTATCTAAATTATAACTTTTCGTTCTATTATTTAATTAACGGCGGATCTAAGTATCTACCGGAGTCGTTACTGTGTTCACGAACTCATAATAAAACATCATAAAATATAGTTATAAGTGAATAGTTATTAAGTGAAATATTGTGCCTTGAGTGCGTCACGCCCATAGGACTAATAATCGAATAAACTATAAAACCCAGAACTTCGTGTTTTACATAATTTTAAATTAAGATCCTGAACTTTCTCCACTACACCGATCTTCACCACGAGACAAAGAAGAGAATTCAACTCGGGATCTACCGACTAACCAATTCTATTCATATCAGCTGGAAAAATCGTAAAGGACGACTGTGAGTTCAGTATTTGATATCAACTTCCCTTTTAATTCGCCGTTGGAACTCCTGGTTACCGGGAGGCGTTCGAAATCCACATTAAAAATAAAACTCTTGTAGCTTGCCTACAAGAGAAAATCTATCTAAAAACGTGTCCGAGCCTCCTCAAGGCCCACTCTATCAATAATTATTTAACTATAATTAATTCGGACATAACAGATTAGATTTTTCATATATATAAATAAAACTAGGTACACAACATTTTTCGCATTACCCATACAAGATATTTGAATTTTTGTTTCCTGTCTTTAAGGATACAATAGCGTGAAAATAAGATTGTAAATGGGATAGATAAATAGTGCTCCCAGAGTACGGAGAAAGAAGCTTAACAAAATCCGGATACAATTCTCTATGAAAATGAAACTGAGTTGCTAAGCTAGTTTAATTAAATAAAAAAATTCTTTAATCATAAATTCGTGTTTAACAAAGTTACATAGTTTTATATGTGTACATTTTTGTTAGTGTTCTCGAGTACATATGTTAATTTTAATATTTGTACATAAACTTTTGAGTAAAAATCTAAGGGGGGAAATACGTGTAGAGACTTAAGAAATTCAATTTTTTTGACGTAATAACGTCTTATAAATTGATGAACACCGACAGTGCTCACGAAAAAATGTCGCGTTCCGACAGACCGTTCCGCTTTTGTGTTCCTCCTGAGCGTTCCGCCTGAGCCTGTGAGTGCAAGCGAGAGCGCGCAACAAGCGATAGAGAGGCACGATCAAACAAACGATAGAGAGGCCCAAGCATTGGCTTATGACATATATCTCTCTTTTCGCGTAACGTCAGAGCTAGCAGTCAGAATATTGTTCTATAACTAATTGTTCGTGATTATATTTAAACAAATTATATCAATTATATCAGATTATTATTGTTGATAATATTAATAATTGTTAATAAAGAATATCAATTATAAATAAATAAATAAATTAATAATAATTATAAACGATAAATTAATAAAATAATAATAAAAAATAATAAATTAATAAAATAATTAATATTAAATATAAATAATAATAATCATATCAATTATCAAATTATTGTATCAATTTTTGATTAACAATTTATCAATAAGTCCTTTTTTTTGTTAAAATAATTTTTAAATATTCAAAATTTTGAAATTTTTAAATACAAAATAATGATAATTCAGTGATAATAATTCAATTCAATCCATAAAAGTATGCAATTTTTCATCAATGTTTCTTTATGACGTTATCACGTAAAACTATCGTCCGTAAACCGACTTTACAGGCAACCAATTTTTTTATTATGAATCGCTTGTAAAACTATTCAATTTTTTTTTCAAATCATAAAAGTTTTTTTGAAAAACGAATGAAAAATAATAAAAAAAAAAAACAATTCTCGTCAATATTACACCAACAAGGGCTGAAGGACATTTTGCTTCAGAATATTCATCATAATTCCCTTGTGTACATTGATCTCAGCAGTGATGGGTCAATTTGAAAGCTGGGTGATGACAATTTGAACTTCGATAATCCGTCCAATGGGAAGATCACTTGAAGGTGCAAATGCTTCAAATTGATGACGATAATTATAATTCATAAACTGATTGACCACTTTGAAATGATGACCAGCCGTGGTATTGGTGTCCACTAAATATTCTTTACTGATGAGTAGGAGTGTTTATACTGACATAATATAACCACTTCCGGTGAGGCCTTTTTTTATGATTTTTATTTCAAACTCATCATCATCAAATTCTTCCCAGTGATCTTTACCCAGCAGTAAAGCACCACTCTCTGAAGTAAGATAAAATCTTTTCGATTTAATAAGATGCGCCATCATTTACTGCAAACAAAAACAACTCAAATTCTTAAGTTTTATAACTATAGAAATTTGAATAGCGCGCTACGCGCACGCCTTAATTTTAGCCATTAATGAAACGTGGCCCGTTTTTTGCGAGTTTCGACTGATGACTAGCTTTTTTTTTTTTCTTTTAAAATTTCCTTTATTTATCATTTCAATTGACATACATAGTTGTAAATGTTTTTATTTCTGTGTTAAAAATATTTCCTTACTCTAATTAGAGAGTTGTTACCTGGTTGTACAGTGCTGCTGTTGGCGTCATTGGTGTAGCTTGATGAGGCTGTTGTTGTAGATGGAATTGTCCTCTGGTCTTGGGCAGCGCCGGGAAGTTTGCAGATGTCATCGTTGGCGGAGCAGAATGTTGTTTTCTTGTTTGATGTTGGGTATTTTTTCTTTTTAGGAGTTTATCCAGATAGTTTATAATAGATTTGGCATTTGCTATAGTTTGCTGGATGTTCCAAGTTGCAGTTGGCGCATGTTGGTTTAGTTTCTTTGTCTTTTTGACATTCTTGAGTTTTGTGTTCTCCTGCGCACTTCAAGCATTTAGGTTTTCTATGGCAGTGTAATGAGCCATGACCAAACTCTTGGCAGTTGTAACATTGACTTCCTTGTCTTGGATTTACATATCGTTCTATCCTGATGATGTATGCATCTATGCTTTTTATTTTGTAGATTAAATTGACATCAGTTACTGGCCCGACCGACAGAAAGTAGAAGGGGAAAATGTTTTTTTCTTGTTTAGATTTCATTTCTGCTACTTTAAGAGGCTTAATTCCTATTTTTTCAATTTCATCAATGATGAGTTGTGTTTCGATTTTAGGTAAGCCTTTGATTATAAACTTTTTTTCTTTACTTTCTGGTTTAGCATACGTGTAGTAGTGTACGCCTTCTTTTTTTAGGCATATTTCGATTTTTTCATGATCTTCATTCGTTTGGGGAAAGATATTAAAAGATTTCCTAGTATGTTTCATTGTTATGTTAGGGAGATCTTTTCTGATATCTTGAGTTAGTTGTAGTAATTTTTCGTGTTTAACTTCTTCTGTATTTACTACAATTGGTGCTGGTCTTCTTGTTTTTTTTTAACTTTTTCGTTCTCATTGCCCTCTTCTTCTTCACTGTCGCTGCTGTGCGCGCCTTACTTTTTTCATCTTTTGCGAGAGATTTTCGTGAAACCATCAGAGTCCGTCATCCCGGTGTTGGCGGCAGGACTCATAGTTGGATAACTGCCGAGAATCTTTGTATGGCGTTGCGTTGAGTTTTTAAGTCACTGAGTATAGATGTGTTCGGTTCGACGGACAAAGCTCGAATCAATCAGAATCAATAATCTATCAATCAATCAGTCTTGATCTTGATCAATCGAATGCTGATCTTGTCTTGTCATTCTCTGTATTTGACTCGTCCTTGTCCATAAGAGCTGTGTAAAATCGTCAAATATAGAGGAAGAATGTGGTCAAATACAGAGAGCGGTCAAATACAGAGAGGTCCAATACAGAGAGCGTCGACTGTAGTTTCATCCACCCTACATAGTACGAGTGGCTTGGTTTTTTCTGATGAAGAAAAAGCTGAGTCACTTGCTGAAAATTTCGAAAAAGTACACCATCTGACAGAAGACGACAGAGACTACGAAACAGAAAAACAAGTAAATAAAACTTATGTTGAAATAATGAGAGAAAATATTGATACTGACGACATAGACTTAACCTCGTCTAAGGAAATATTTAAAGCTATTAAAAAAACAAAATCAAAAAAAGCTCCGGGACCTGATGATATATAAAATATCTTTTGAAAAAATTTATCACGCAAAGTAATAGTTCAAATAACTTACATGATAAATCAATGTTTTAGAATTTCATACTTACCGCAGGATTGGAAGCTAGCTGTTGTACTTGCGTTCCCGAAGCCTGGAAAAAATAAATTATTTCCACAAACTTACAGACCGATTAGTTTACTAAATACACGGTAAGATTTTTGAAATTATAATATTAAATAGACTCCATAAATTCGGAACTCTACAAAACATATTAATAAAAGAACAATTTGGCTTCAGGGATCACAGAAGTACAGTACAACAGCTTGCCCGAATCACTAACTATATATTAATAAACTTTAACATCAAAATGGAAACAGCAATGCTCCTTCTGGACATTGAAAAGGCATTCGATATGGTTTGGCATGAAGGATTAATATTCAAATTACATAAAATAGTATACCAATATACATAACAAAAACTCTAGTCAGCTACTTAAAAAATCGAACGTTTAAAGTCCAAGTCAATGATGCTTATTCCGAAATACCACCTGTAGTTGCTGGTGTTCCTCAAGAGTCAATCATGGGGCCAACTCTATTTATATACTGTATAAATGATCTTCCAAAAGATAATAACACCAAAATAACACTGTTTGCAAATGACACTGGTATTTTAGCATTCTCAAAGAGCAAAAAATTTTCCTTAAATAAAATACAAAATACACTAGATAATTTCTTAGAGTACTATAAAAAATGGAAAATTAAGGTCAATGATACGAAAACCGAACTCATAATATTTAGCAAAAGAAATAAATTAAAAAAGTATGAAAAAGGTATAGATCTCACTATTAGAATAAATAACGAAATAATAAATCCCAAAGCAGAAGTTAAGTATCTCGGGATGACCCTGGATAAAAAATTAACATTCGTAAGTCATATCAAAAAAGCGTGTGCCAAAGCTTATCAAGTTAAGAGTTTATTAAATCCGCTAATTTGCCGTAATAGTAAATTATCACTTAAGAACAAACTTATACTATATAAATCCCTAATAAAACCTATTCTACTTTACGCCAACCCTATTTGGGGTAGTACTTATAAAACAGCAATAAATAAAATAAGAATAGTTGTTTTGTCGAAACCTCGTCAAAGCGCCGAGATTTCGTGCTTCAGTTATTCAAATTTTGATTTTGATTATTAGTGTAGATGGATAGGAATTTTAAATAAATTACACTCTATGTTTGGGACAACAGGAAGAAATTTATTGTCCCAGAGGAGGAAAAATCTGATGGTCAGATAAAAAACCTCCTCGATGATAATTATAAGAAATAAATGTGTGTGAATGTGTAATTGTTGCTTAGTCAGGGTAGGACCTGAGCTATTGTTATTTCGTCAGGATAGGGCCTGAGCTATAAGAATAATAAACTATCTCTTGGTGAGAATAAGTAGTTTAATGCGTATTGCCAAATGTAGGCGAATACTGATAACTCTTCTGGAGAGTGCTGTTAAATTGTATGTGTGTGTGAGAGAGAAACGATCAAACCCAAGGAGGCACGATCAAAACCGCGGGCCGTCAATATCCAAAAGAGTGAGAGAGAGAGCTCGGATGTATGACGTTAGTCCGGATTACCGTGTAATTTCTATAAAATTGCATTTTACCGAAAATAATTGAATTCATAAATATGATTCGAATGATAATAAATAAAATGATGTTAAACGATGTGATTTTTGAGAATGTCTCAATTGTACTGTATGATGCGTAATATGCGAGAGCGATTGCGTGAAAATTACTACTGATTCAAGGGCCTCAGAGCAACTGGTGGTACTGGCCACCGCACGATTATTATTATATTATATTTTATTGATTCTTACTATTTTTCCAATTACATTTTTCAATTATAATCAGCTTATAAATCTTTAATTAATAATTCCTGGTCCATCGTTAGGCTTCAACTTATTTTAGATTTCTAAATCCATTAAGGAGTTCGATTGTGCTTTGGATATAATTACTAACACTTTTTTTCGAGTAAAAAAACGAAAAATGAAGATTAAGTTAATATCATTAAGCTAATACCATTATTCTTCGATTATTTTATGTTCTCTTTAATACATTTTATGTTTATTTTGTCTATTTTGTTCATTCTATGTCTATTTTGACCTTCAACTGATTTAAATATTTTCAAATAAATAATTCTGTTTTGATTTGAATGAGTTGTCATTCTTTGGTGGAAGTTTTCTTACCTCGTTAAAACGAATAGAGTTTAATCCAACCTCTATATAACAAACCTCATTATTCGATATAACGAATAATTTCTATTTCCCTTGAGTTTCGTTATATCAAGGTTGCACTGTATTACACATTTAGTTACAATAGCACTTACAATCATGAAATTGCAAGAATTGATGTACAAATTTAAATGTCGATAAATATTTTAATTGAAAAAGAAAAAAAAAATTTTAATAATTTTCTTCGTACGAAAAATTTGGTGGCCCTGAAAAGGGCCGTTTTGTTTTGAAATAAGATGGTAAGGACGGGATAGATTAACCTCCGAATCCGTAAAGAGTGCGGCCTTGACGTTTTAAAGCGTAAACGACATCCATAGCAGTGACAGTCTTTCTTTTCGCGTGTTCTGTGTAGGTAACAGCATCACGAATGACGTTCTCAAGGAAGACTTTGAGAACACCACGAGTCTCTTCGTAGATCAATCCAGAAATACGCTTGACACCACCACGACGAGCCAAACGACGGATAGCTGGCTTGGTGATACCTTGGATGTTATCACGAAGAACTTTACGATGACGCTTGGCACCTCCTTTTCCCAATCCTTTTCCTCCCTTACCACGGCCAGTCATGATGAAGTATTGATAATATGTTAGTCACTTAGACGTAAGCACTGTCAAGAATACTAATAGCCAATTCAAGTAGAGATATTTATACACTTTTTTTGGAGTTGCTCCTTCCACTGAATTCTATCGAAAGGGAGTGGGAGAAATAACTTCCATTTCTCTCGGCCCGTTGTAGTAAACCAATCAGATCACTTTCATTTGACCCCACTTCTTTACTTCGAATTAGGTATGCCAATCAGAATCGCAGATGACCCCACTCCTTACTTTGAACCAATCAGGTGGATAGAATTCTATCTTTCCCCAACAAGGGTTACAAACGTCGCGCCGGGTGGTGGAAAATTGACAAAAAGGCAAATTTCGGCGGTAAAATCATCATTCTTCGTCAAGTTTCGTTGTGATTAGTTACAAACTCACTTCATTCAGCTGCAATGGCCAGAACCAAGCAAACCGCTCGTAAGTCCACTGGAGGCAAGGCTCCGCGCAAACAACTCGCCACGAAGGCCGCCCGTAAGAGCGCGCCAGCTACTGGAGGAGTCAAGAAGCCCCATCGTTACCGTCCAGGAACAGTAGCTCTTCGTGAGATTCGTCGTTACCAAAAGAGCACTGAATTGTTGATCCGTAAATTGCCCTTCCAACGTCTCGTTCGTGAAATTGCTCAGGACTTCAAGACCGATCTGCGATTCCAGAGCTCTGCTGTGATGGCCCTTCAAGAAGCCAGCGAGGCTTACCTCGTCGGTCTTTTTGAAGACACCAACCTCTGTGCCATTCACGCCAAGCGTGTCACCATCATGCCCAAGGACATCCAGTTAGCTCGTCGTATCCGAGGAGAACGTGCTTAAATATACCATCTTCAACCTTTATAAATTCAAACAAAACGGCCCTTTTCAGGGCCACAAATTTTTCACACTAAAAAAGTTTATCAAGTTTACACTCAATCGGACTCTCGAACATCTACCGAAAATTCACTCTTGCATTAAAATCAATATTTCCTACTTTCAGCATTATCAAGAGCTAGGTTTTAAATGTACGATTGTTCACAACAAAACGTTAAATAATATACTTAACTTAAAAATATCCTACATTCATCATGATTTGAAAGTTGATCAAAAGTCACAATTTCCTTATAGTGTTTTGTGGCCATTCATCTTAAAATTATAACAATAATCGTAAATTTATTAAAAGGTATCATAAATTCCTTACAAAAAATATTGATACTCGTCTGGCTTCAAAAAATTTTCTATTTTCATAATAATTCATAATTGTTTTGTAATATAAATTGCCGGTACTCAATAAACATTCGTCTATACTTTTCAGAATAAAAAATTTAAAAAAATTAATAATTATTATGAAATCATTCGCATTAATGAAATTTATTAATTAATTTTTAATTATTATAAGCAGTTTTATTTGTTTGAAAAATTCAACTTTTATACTAGTTAAATGTGAAATTTATTAAATAAACAAAATACATGATAAATACAAGATCTCCATAATTAAATACACTAAATACTCTAAAACTTAAAAACATGTGACATCGATACAAAATAGAAATTTTAGGTTAAGCATGGTAATACAAACGTGCAAATCATCTCACTGCAAAAACAGAGTTAAATACATTAAATTCTTATAACATAAATTTAATATTGAATTTTTCTTTTGATAATATACAAATTTATTTTTACAAAATTGTTGAACATTCTCTGCACGTTTATTAATTATCCCAATATTTATTATTGATTTCTTGACCAATGTTACTAAAGTTTTTTTTTTATTAATATTCAATATCGACGATCTAATTAGCAATTTGTCTAACTCCTTATTTTTTAGAGGGTGATTTTTTAACATTTTGATGTAGCAATAATCCAATTATAAATTATTTGAATGATTCAAACCTAAATATTATATCTCTATTAGATATTAATGATATTAAATGGTTTTTTAAAGTGATAATAAATTTTGAACTAATTGTTTTTTTTTGTACAAATAGAAGATTCTCTAAAATGGAGTTAGACAATTTGCTAATTAGAATGTCGATATGCATTGTAGACAAATTAAGTAATCCCTAATTTGTCGTAATAGTCACATTAGCATTAAAAATAAATTAATTATATACAAGATGTGTATAAGGCCGATACTCTTATATGCTTGTCCAATTTGGTCAAACACTAGTCAATCTAATTACAATAGACTCCAAACTCTTCAAAATAAATGTTTTAGAATGATACTCAATCTCCCTTACGGAACCTCGAGTAAATTCTTGCATGAAAGGCTTCAGATGCCTACTATTAAAAATGTCGTACATGAGATCGCAATAAAATTCTTTAATACTCTAAATGACAAAGAACCCCTTAAGGACGTAGCTAAAACAACAAATCAGAATCCTTGGTTTAAGCATAAAGTCTTAAATCAAATCATAATAAATCAACAACCAAAAAATATCAGTAAACCAGTAAACGATATCAAATATTGTAAAGTCAATATTCTTTACAAACGAATACGTTTGTCTTAGTTGTATAAGAATTGTGATGCTAGGTTTAAGTTTTAAGTTAAGCTATACGTAGCTAAATGATTATCTAACAATATCATAAATAGGTTTTTTGTAAACTTTTCCTATAAAAATAACAAACTATATCAATTAAAATAATTTATATCACCAAAAATGAAACTAACTATATCATATGTAAGTAACCCTCAAGGCATGGAATTACGCTCAATCTATATAATATATATGTGTATAAGTATTTACTTGTAAAGAAAAATGTATAAATTAAATAAGTCAATAAAAAATATTCTAAATTAAAAAAAAAATTTTTTTTAATTTTTCGTCATTGTGTAAAGTGTAAAAATTTTTGTGTAGAATTCAACATTTTAGTGTGTAGAATTTAACATTTTAGTATGTTGATTTAACACAATAGAGTGTTGATTCAACACAAATTGTGTAAAAAAAGTCATCAACATAAATTTTTGTGTTAAATTTGACGAAAAATTTTTTACTGTGTATTCAAAATAGTTGACGCGAACTTGCATGTTAATTTTCTGAAAAATATTTTTTTTGAATCTCGTTAATATTTATTCTCTTTTAAGCTTTAGATTTCCGAGACTCAGAGGGAGGGAACAAAAAGATATATTGGGAATTTAATTAATTTAATTGCAATTAAAATAATGAAAGTGTCGAAAATTAATACAAATTATAAATTTAATTTATTTCTTCGATATTTATATTGTTTGATGCGATTTTTATTGGTATACCAATATATTGTTGTGACCAAAACATTACAATTATTAAAATATGCAATATAAGTTCGTGTTTCAACACTATCTAAATATCTTGTAAAAATAGCATCTATTGTCGTTCCTGAATTTCTAGTTGGTGTGTTTGGATTAACTTTTACTCCGACTTCAATTTCCATACAATGGAGCAATTTCGCCGGCATTTCTTAAACAAAAAAATTGATGGAAGTTTTGAGAGCTATTGCCAAGTATGAAAAAAAATATTTATAAAATTTTTATTTATAAAATTAAAATAAAAAATAATTCATGTATACTTATTACCTTTTTTTTTTTTTTTTTATAGATATTACGATATGTAGCAATTGAAAAGGGTATTTATACAAACATCCAACGTTCACAAGAAATCTTGAGAGAAGTAATGATGCTAATATTATTACCAGCTGAAAAAATTGAAGAGCAATGTCAAAATATTAAAAACAAAATAATACAAAATGAACAATCCGAACAGTTTGAAGACTTTTTCAGTTATTTCTTTACAGAATGGATCGAAAATTTGAAGCCTGAAAATTTTTCGTTATTTAACAAAATTGAAACAGTAAATGACATTAGTTTTATCCATTTGAGAGTTTTAGAAAATAAACTAAAAACTAGCACTCCAACGTTTTAGAAATTATTAGGCAAATATATTAATAATATAAAAATATAAGTAAAGTTTTTTTTAAATGACAATGATAATATAATATAACATAATTAATGAAAACATTTTTAATTTTTACAGGTTCAATAGTAGAAATAATGACTAAATCGAGAAAAGAATTGTCAACATTAATGGATAAAGATAAACCACGAATCTCATTTACACCTAAAATAAATCATTCATTTAACAATTGTGGGAAAAACAGTGTTATTTCTGGTTTAAAAAAATTATGGAGAGCATTAGATGACGAAAGAATTGATAGCAGGGAGTTTATTGACAAAAGCATGGTCGTCATGCATGAATTTTTGGATGATTTTTTTATTGACAAGGACCGAATAAAACCGAAAGATTTTACAGTCATCTACAAAAATGATGAAGCTATAGGTACGTATAATAAATATAATTATTTTTGTTATAATATGAACGAACGAATTTACTTTTTCTTTAGAGACAAAATTTTTTTTTATCAATCTCATTTAATTAATAATATATAATTTCAATTGTTTTATGTTAATACTAAAAAAACTTCAAAAATTAATTGCAGATATAGAATTTGAAACAAAGTGCCAAAAATGTCCATTAAATCTGATTGAAACAATTAATCATCCATGCAACCATGCTGATTCATGTCTGCCATGTTCACAAATAAGCTTTGCTGAATGCACCATGTGTGAAAAAGAGGTTGAAAGGAAAGAAAAAATCTTTTTACCAAGAGATGAAACAAGTAAATGTTTTAATATTTAACTTTATTTTATTATTGCAACACTCCAACTACAGGATTCGTAGACTTCGAGTTACCAATAAAATAAATATTTAAAAATTAAACTTATATAAATATTAATATAATTAAGTATTTATCATCTTTTTCATCGACACGTTTTTTCAATCATTGTAATAGAGTATAATTAATGTTTTATTAGTATATCTACGATTTTTATATTACATACGTTATTTTTATTTAAATTTTTCTACAAAGAATTTATTTATTGATAAAATATTTAAGGTTATTGCTGTAAAAATTTTATTTAAATTATTAATTTTATGTTTGTTAAAACAAAAAAAAATTAATAAAATGCGTATTCTACTTATATGTATGAGATACAGAAGAATAAAATTTGTATCAAAAAAATTTTCACTGCATCAAAAAAAAAATTAAATAAAAATTTAACAATTTAAATAATACAAGATCGTAAATTATTTTAATTCATTTATCTAAATCAAAAAAATAAATATTTTAGGACAATCATATAGGATTTCTAATTAAAGGTGAACACATTCAGTAAATCTATAAAATAATTATGCGTATTCTACTTATATGTATGAGATACAGAAGAATAAAATTTGTATCAAAAAAATTTTCACTGCATCAAAAAAAAAAATTAAATAAAAATTTAACAATTTAAATAATACAAGATCGTAAATTATTTTAATTCATTTATCTAAATCAAAAAAATAAATATTTTAGGACAATCATATAGGATTTCTAATTAAAGGTGAACACATTCAGTAAATCTATAAAATAATTATATTGATGATATGCTCATTAATTTTTATTTTATCATGCCTCTTCTATTATCTGATCTTGGTTGGAATATATTTTTTTGCGACAATTCAATAATATAATTCTTGATTCCATTTTAAAAAAAAATTATTATTGTCTAATGAGCTATTGAATGGATACATAAAAAATTTATAGAATAAAAATTGATTGTCTTCAAGAATCACAATTAAATTTTGATGATGATATTAAAAAAATTCATTGAATTTCGATAAAGATAATGATACACAATCTACGAATTCGTAATAATTTATTTGTAAGAAAATTAATTTGTTTCATGTAACAATATCATTTTTCTCACCATGATGAGGAGAAATAATTTATTAAACTATAAATTACTACTAAATTAGTTTACAGGCTTAATTTTATATTCTTTACCCATATGACTTTTAAAGCATCACTTAAATTTAAGTGTTTAAACACCGCATATTTCTCAAGTTCAGCCGATAACTTACCATGAAAATCCTCAATGACCGGTCACAAAATTTTAATGTCAATAATATAGTTTTCCCTTCATCATATTAAAAATTTTTCGGATAGTGTCTACTTCGTGAACTGCCTCGTACTAAAAATATCTTCGCGGATCAAGACGTTTTATGTATATGTCTATGCGTATCAAGTCTTTTTGGTTTTCATAACTTTTCGGAAGGAGATGCTTCTGTAAAATGAAAAATATTTTTCGGATAATGTCTATTTCGTAAACTGTCTTATTATAAAAATGTCTTTTCGGGTTAAATTATTTTATTGTAATTGTCTTTGGGGAAAGGGTCTTTTTGGTTTTCATAACCTTTCGGAAGGAGATGCTTCGGTAAAATTAAAAATATTTTTCGGATAATGTCTATTTCGTAAACTGTCTTATTATAAAAATGTCTTTTCGGGTTAAATAAGTTTATTGTAATTGTCTTTGGGGATAGGGTCTTTTCGGTTTTGATAACCTTTCGGAAAGAGATGCTTCTGTAAAATGAAAAATATTTTTCGGATAATGTCTATTTCGTAAACTGTCTTATTATAAAAATGTCTTTTCGGGTTAAATTAGTTTATTGTAATTGTCTTTGGGGGTAGGGTCTTTTCGGTTTTGATAACCTTTTGGAAGGAGATGCTTCTGTAAAATGAAAAATATTTTTCGGATAATGTCTATTTCGTAAACTGTCTTATTATAAAAATGTCTTTTCAGGTTAAATTAGTTTATTGTAATTGTCTTTGGGGGTTGGGTCTTTTCGGATTTCATAACCTTTCGGAAGGAGACACTTCTGTAAAATCAAAAATTCTTTTCGAATAATGTCTATTTTATGAATTATCTTATTTTAAAAATGTCTTGGCGGGTCAAATCAGTTTACTGTCTTTGAGGATAGGGACTTTTTAGGTTTTATCATCATTCGGAAGATGTCACTTATATCGGATGGAAGGCACCCTTTGGATTATCATACATCAATTATTGATGTATTGCCATCTAAAGTTCTAATATTTATCTAATGCTAAATGAATTCTTGATCTCCCTTACTGTCTCTCAATCTTTCTCACTAGCTCTCTCCCACCTCTCGTTCCATGGCACGGTGTGTGATGCGACGTTTGCTCTATCTCACTCTTTCTTTCGATCTTTCTCACTTGCTTGCTCCTTACTCTTGCTCCGTGGCTATGTGCTTCATGCTACGTTCACCCTTTCTCACTCTCTCACAATCGGTCTCAATCGCTCTTTCCTTCTTCTTCGACAAAAACGCTGCACATCTTCATGATGCTTATATTACTATTATTGCGTTTCATCCATAAATTTTTACCCTCATGTGCCTAAAGAAGTTTCACTTCAAAAAACTGATTGAATTCGTGACTTTTTACGCAAGTAATCGTGTTTCAAACGGAAAATTGTGTTGATTGACGGGAATTTTCTTTAAACTATTTTGATATTTTTTATGGTTCTATTATCTTCAATTGATTTTTACCAGTGACAGAATTAATCTCCATTGAATTATCTATTGAATGATGCGAAAATTAATTAGGCTACGTGGATCACCAATCGTGTAATTAATTAAATAGTTGCGAAATCGAGGCAAAACAAATTTTTTGATCGTAAAGCACTCTCTGATGCTTCATATCATGAGTCGTGCAATATATACAGATTTCATATTTTTGTCTTTTTTTTTTTAAATAAATAAATTCTAATTGGATATTTCTCTCTTTTTTCCTACTTACTATAATAATAATATTAATAATAATATTGCATAACAATATATCACAACAAAATATTTAACTTTTTAAAACTATGTAAGCCTATGGGCAGGGTACAAAATAAACAAAATATTGTATCGATATACGCTCTAAATTGTATATAGTAAAGAATTACGTAAGTGAAATGTTTAAGAATAATTTTTTGATGGTAAAATGACAATATTGTGTCAACTGGATATGGGAAAATTAGAAAAGAAGGTATATAGACCCCATAACAAATTAAACTGCGCGGACTCTTTAAGTTGATAGTATAGTAAATTAAACTGTACAATTTCTTACTTCTTTTCCACCACTACTAACCCAAAATGTGGAGGAGCTCGATACATGATGAGATGTTGAAGAAAAATAAGCACATTATATTCATTTTGTTCCTAACCTTCAAGCGTGCAAGCGTGTTTGTTAGAAATTCAGTGAATTTAATGATAATTATTTTTCGTAAAGATAAAGCATACTTTTTTTTATAATGGCAGGTAAATGGTATTTCACAAAAGAAGAGTTGTGTAAATCACCGAGTGCCAGAGTGGGTATCAGTGCAAAGCAAGAACAAGATTACAAACGACAGGCTGCGTGTCTGATAAACGACATGGGCCAACAGTTGAAAGTTTCTCAGTCATGTATCAATACCGCAACTATTTACATGCATAGGTTTTATGCATACCACCCGCAATCAAAGTTCAAAAAGTGTTCAGTTGCATGTGCAACTTTGTTCCTGGCTGCAAAAGTTAAAGAAACACCTTTAAGACCAAAATTTGTGATTAAAATTATGTACCAGTGCTTGGATAAAAATTCTAAGCAGATTAATATACATTCAAAAAACTTCAAGGAAAAAATTAATGAATTACTTTTCGACGAATTAATTTTGTTAACGACTCTGGGGTTTGTGACTGAAATTGAACACCCCCATGCTTATGTGGTCGAGTTTTGTCAAAAGTTGAACGTGAGTAAAGAATTTTCGCGGCTTGCAGACAAAATAGCGACTCATTGTCTCCAATTGACTTCAATGTGTTTAAGGTACAAACCCAAGGACATTGCTATTTTTTGTGTTCATCTGACGATTAAATGGTCTCATTTCAAGATTAAGGAAATCGTCGATAGAAAATCTTGGCTTCAGCGCTTGAATTCCAAGGTCACTGATCAACTTTTATGGAAAATGGAGAAAGAGTTTAAAAGTATTTTGGACACATGTTCGTCACGGATTCGAACTCGAGTCATGGATCTTTTTAAGAGAAACTCTGTGCCTCCAGCTTCGACTACAAATAAAACGCTTCATAGATTGTTCAAAGGTAAAAACTCAGTTCAACGGTCAATAATTAGTTTCCACGATTATCTTGTTAGAACAAAGAACCAAAAATTAGAAAATAATAATAATAATAATAATAATAATAATAATAATAATAATAATAATAAGGCTTTTGGGACATCTGTAGATATATCTGTGAGGTCAGTCCCAATATCAAATGAAACTGTAACAGCAAGTGTAAAAAATTCATTATTTGGAACTCGCGGCACTATCAGCAGAAACAGCCGTAAACGAAAGAGTAGTTTAGATTTAAATAATATATCCACTCCAGCTAAAAAATTCAAACCGAGTTGAAATTTTACTATCCATAAGTTCACTATTTTAAGCGCATGTAATTACAATCTTTTAAACAATTAGGAACTATTAAAAATTTTTAAATCGGTTGAGTGTAAATACATTATTTATAATTTTGTAATTAAATTCCGGTGTAAATTTACAATTATTTAATAAATTATTTGGTAAATATAAGTATCATTATAAAATGACATGATTATTATAAGGCAAACGCTTAATGTATTATACACAAAATTTTTTGACGCAACGAAAAATTTTTTTTTGTATAGCGACAATCAGAGCTGTAAAAGTTATTTTTATAAAAACCAAATAAGTCATATATATTCATACCAAATAGTTTAATTGAAAAAATAAGCTTTAATTTTTATTGTAAATATATTCTAAAATAAAATTATTGTTATCATTATAATTTTCGTTTAACAATTAAAAAATTTAAGAATTAAGAATATATGTTCTAGTTTTAAGCTTAATAAGTAGTTAAATATTTAAGTTGAAGTTTATAATGTGATGTAATGATATGTAGACAATAAAAGAGATGTTAATTTATGGATTTTTCTAACCAACTTCATTTTTAGGCCATCAGGCTGAAATAAATAAATAATAAAAATAATAATATTGAATTTTATGAATACTTACGTAGTTTTTTTTTCGAACCTGATAGATTTATATTGAAAAAATAATAATGCTTTTCGAGTATAATTTATATTTTTCAGAATTGTTCATCTAATTTAAAACTTCTTATTCTCCATTTTTGCCACCTATGATTAATACTTCTGATGATATAATCGAAAGAGTGTTAAATTTTCCTTAACTTATAAATTATAAATAAAGATAATTATTGTTAAATTATATTCTGGTTAAAACGATAAGCAATGAAAAATTTTAATGACTATTAACAGAATAATTACTACCTCAAATAACTTATTAGATACTTGTATAATCGTATTCTTATACACTGATAAAAATATCTTGATACTAGAGAAATATTTTTGATCGTAAATTTAATTACGAGAACATAATATTTTAAAGCAACAGTCGAATTTTAAAGAAAATATTTTTCTTTAATAAAGTACTATGTTTTTCACTGGAGAATAGCTTTGTATAATTTTATAAATGTATAAAAGAAACTATGGATCGTTTAATTTTACGTCGAATTTTAATAAAAACAAGGTTTGTCATTTTTGTTGTGATTAGAAATATTCTATTATTTTATAAAAAAATGTCTTCTATTTTACTAATGCTTGTTTTTATTGGTAATATTTTTTTAATGTTATCTGCCGAACATTAAAGTTTTTTTATAGCTTTGACACCGATAAAAAGCGATCGCGCCTAAAAAAATCTCAGTGAATACGTTTTACTCAACGATAGATGATAAAAAAGTACGAAAATAAACAAATAATATAATTTTATTTCAAATATTATTGAGTTGCTTCTTTACTTAAATCCAACTTATCCGAGTTTTTCCATTTCTTCATAAAAAATAGCGATTAAAATAAAAGTTTTCTTCAAAAAAAACTTTAACTATCTATGCAGTGTCGTTTAAAAAAGTATATTTTCTTCAAAAATACAGCTCAAAATGTTGTTTAGTTGGATTGCGGTTTTTTTACAATATTGCTTAATTCATGGTGAGAATCGCTCCTTATTTATTGTTATGATAATGTTCTTCATAATTTCGCCGAAAATATATTTTTTTAAAGATAAGAATTTTTTTTGATTGTTCAATGTATTCAAATAAATTTACTATAGAAAGTAACCAGGTTGGAAGAACAGGGTTTGGTCCAGGAAATCAAGACTGGGGTTATGTGACAGTGAGACCTGGAGCGTACATGTTTTGGTGGCTCTATTACGTTAATCCAACAACAGTATCACTTGAAAATTCAAACCCTTTCAACAAACCCCTGATTGTTTGGCTGCAAGGAGGTCCGGGAGAATCGGGCACTGGATATGGAAATTTTAATGAAATTGGTCCACTGGACATAAATCTCAAAAGAAGAAATTATACATGGATCAATGATTACAATGTTCTATTTATCGACAATCCAGTGGGGACTGGTTTTAGTTATGTCGATACGATTCAAATGATGGCACAGAATTTGACGCAAGTTGGCCATGATCTTGTAGCACTAATGAAAGTATTCTTAGAAAAGATTCCACAATTTAAAAATGTTCCGACTCATATTGTCGGCGAATCTTACGGAGGAAATATGGCTGTGCAATTTGCTCATCTATGGTTTCAGGTAATTATCATTAGATATATCACTCACTATTACTGAAGAAGATGTGTATGTGAATTTTTTATTTTATCATTTCAAGGCTCAAAAGTACAGAACAATCATCAGTAATTTAAAAGGAATAGCTTTGGGTGATGCGCCTATATCTTTTAAGGAAACGGTTAAATGTACAGCTCCATACTTATTGAATTTGGTATGATCATATTTTTTTTTATCACTTTAATATTAATTTTTTTTTTTTTAAATAAGTATTTCAAGAAATTTATTTGTACGCAATTAGCGTGAATGCTTTACAATCAAATGAATCTATTCATAAAAATATAATCAACTTCGTCTCTCTCTCTCTATAATTGACGTGTAAAATGTTGTAGGATATACATAATTCGCAGGGCTCGGAACGTCAAAAACGTGAAATTCAATTTGTTTGCTATCATTATTTTTTAATTTAATTCTTTTTCAAAAACTAATTATTATTCGTAAATTATCTAAAAATAAAAAAAATATATATCAAATAAAAAGTATTTTTGACTATCACTTGAGTGCTAGAGACCAGAAAAAAATTTTTTTAATGAAAAATAATTCCAATTACTTTAGAGCTTAATAGACACTACAAATTTTATTAAGATCGAGAGTATTGCTCAAAAAACCCTCAAGTTATTGAATGAAGAACAATGGTCTGAAGCAATGAAAAGTCATAGTCTTACGTATGCAACTATAAATAATCTTAGTGCAGAGATTTCTATGTATAACATTCTACAACCAAAAAAACTAACAATTTCTGACTCCCACAAATATTTTACTTCCTTGCGGTCGACTATCAAAGAAGTTAATGTCGATAGTCAGATACAAATAATTATGGAACACGCAGTTAAAAGGAGACTTGAGATTGATCATAGCAGAAATTACACATTGTTTTCGGATGTGGTCTGGGATGTACTGAGTAGCCAACTTATGAAACCCACGGAGCGTATTGGTACATCAAAATATTTATATTATAACTGAGAAAAAAAAATACTTTTACTCAATTAACAATTCTTGGTTCAAGAAATTTGGTGACGATTAAATATTCTATTATTATTAATTAGTAATTTCTGAAGAAAAGAGCATCAATATTTATCTCTGGATAATAATAGATAAACAAGAGAATAGCTTTATTTAAATTAAGTAAAAATTATTTCAATTAATTTAACAAGTTCTTGAGCTAAGAATATATATTCTTGAAAATCTTCAAGAACATGAATTCTTGTATCGAGAAAATTTTCTTAATAAAAGTATTTTTTTTCTCAGTGTATAATGTTCATTGTTAATTGTTCGCTTTTGATAAACTTATGCTTTGCTTTTAAACAATTTTTACTTTTTTATCAGTTGAGAAGCTATTGAACGAAACAAATCTGAAAATCTTTGTATACACTGGGCAGTTGGATTTGATTGTTCCAACTCCTAGCACTATAAGCTGGGTAGAAAATTTGAAATGGACGTATGCTGAAGAGTGGAATAACGCCATCCGGGTACCATTTACTGTTGACAATATTATAGAAGGATATGTTAAAGAGTACAAAAATTTTAAATTGTATTGGATAGACAGATCTGGACACTCGGTAAATAGTGAATTTAGTATGTGATAAATGTAATAAATGTTAATTTGTAATTGTTTTTTTGGTAAATTGTTTTTTCAGGCTGCAAAAGATAATCCATACGCAATAAATGCAATGCTTCAAGATTTAACATCCATCATAACTCCAAATTAAATCATGTAAAGTATTCCTAAGTAAATGAATGTAACGAAGTATATTTTTGTAAAAGAGTTTTTTGAGTTTAATTTTTTCATTTTTCTCCGTGAAAGAGTAATTTTTCGAATATTAATAGTTCAGTGATTCACAGTATAAACCCGTTAGCACCTCCTTTTGCTCACGGTCATTTCAAAATGCTATTAACATTTTTTTTTTTCAAATGGGAATAATAGATAAAATTTTTTTTTCTTTAAATATTTTTACATATTTTCGGATGACAAAATGATTTGAGAGTTTAATTTTAAATAAAGTCTAAAAAAAATATTTTCTTAACATTCGCTAGAAGTGTGAACATTTCGTTTATCACGAGACTATTTTAATAACTTTTCAAGTTCAAAAGTAGATTTTTTATTGAACGTTTTGAGCTTTTTGAAAATAAAAATCTGATCATTATTTGCCAATGCACTGATTCGCAAATTTTGATTTGCGATATCTTCCGAAAAGAACTTAGAAAATTATAAAAAGCTATATTTTTTATCACGCTCAACTCAATAACTTCTTAATTAATCAGCAGATTTTTCAACGCTTTGAGTTTGAAATTAACAGAAAATTCCTAGGATAGCTTGCAAGGTCAAATTTTTTCAATTTTTTTTTTTTCTATCAATTCATCATGACCTTAGAGTAAAAAGTATCTTATAAACTCAGTATTCGATAATCGAATGTTTTATAAACATTTCATAATTTTGTTTTTTAGAAAAAAAATATCAATAATTCAACACGTCAAAGTAAATACTCCCCTTAATTTAAGATTGAATAGAATCATACATAATAAAAGCTGTTTTCTGATTGGTGTCCTTATGTGAAAAATAAATTGACCATGAAACGTTATCGACAAAAGTTTATCGATCACATTAACTGTAAATAGAAGTTTGAAAATTTACTTTACATAATAAATTTTATTTTTTCGATGATATTTCTTGACATGTTATGTGCCCTTCAAAAACTTCTCAACATACCTTGAAAAGCAAGCAGACTTACATAACACTCCATCAACCCTCCAATAAATGACAGCGGCCTGTATATTTAATAATGTACACACAAAATATTCCATTTTTTTCGCCCAAATCATTTTATCTTCGATTGACAGTATTCTCGCCCATGCGTTAAAAGCTGCTAAAAAAAGTCACAAAATGACTCAATGTTGTTGCTCAAATTCTTCTTTCATTTCACTCCGTTTACTAATTGTCTTGTTTAAAATGTTCGGATTAGCACCGTTTGCAACTAAGATCGTTATCGATAATGAGAATAATCAAGAAAAAAATACTTTTAAAATAGAGTTTTCGTCTTCTGTACTCGGATCCATTTACAACTTGTTAATCGTTTTGATAATTTTGAGTGAAATAATTTATAACTACATATTATGGCCGATGGATGCCTACATACTTCTTCAAATCTACAATTTATTCAAAAAAATCGGTCTAATAACAATTATTTTAAGTTTTTTATTCAGACGAAAATCTTTGATAAAAATAATAGAAACACTATACGCGATAAATAATGCGTTCGATCAAAGTGACATTTTAAGACCTTTATCACACCGAGAAAAATTTTACAGAATAGTAACGGTGATTGTTTACTTAACAATTTCATTGATTCTTATGACAAGTTACATTATCAGTGAAATATTTTACTTAAAAAAAAACTCATTTATTGCCAACATAAATATTGTTGTGGAATACGCTATCATATTTACTATCGGCTGGTTTATTACCCAGTATTCGCTGCTATTAATTTTTGTTTATCACAAATTATGTATGTTCAATGAATCTTTTGAGCTCTGTTTCACTGGAGAAAATTATTCGATAGACAGCCAAAATTGTTTTGTGTGTGAAAACACCCTGCTCAAATTTATCTCCTTACGAAAATTATATCAGAATACTTACAGCGCATTGAGTGATATCGCACGACTTTATTCACTGCCTATTTTGGTAGCTTTTGTAATTATTATCCCGAAATTAATTAGCGTTGTCAATAATACGATTGATTACAATGAAAGTCGTGATGAGTCAATACTTTTGAAAGTATTTAATAACTTGATGATGATATTTTTATACTTTCCTGTCATTAATTTGACTGTCTTTGCAACGAAAATAAACGAAGAAGTTCGTATTCTTTTTATGTAAAATTTAAACTTGACAGCAATTTTATGAATAATTTCTATTTGTTGTTCTTACAGATCAAGCGTATCACAATTATTTTATACAAAGGAATCACCGATGGATCAGGAGAATTAAATTCCAAAGTGAGTGAATTTCCAATAATCATTATATTTCGATAATCACACGTTTTTTTTATAGCTTGAAAAATTTTCGGTGGAAATGCTGCATTGGAAAATTGATTTTTCAGCCTATGGTTTTTTTCAATTGGACAACTATCTAATAACCAGGGTAAAAATATTTTCATTTATATTTTTTTTTTTAATTTATTCAAAATGATTTATTCATTTCAATCGTTTTTATTTGTAGATCATTTGTATGAGCTTGCTCTATATGATTATTGCTGAAAAGTAAGTCAATTTTTTGAAAATATCCATTTGAAATTTACTATGGATGTCACCTGGCCTACTTTCATCATACTTATTATCTTACTCAACTATATACTAGAAAAATTTTAAATTTGACAAAATTGGGAAGTTATTGGTTTCCAATTTCTCCCTCATAATCTAAACTTCTCAACTCTAAGAATCAAATAACTCACACTGTGCGAAAAAAAAAACGTACTCGTACAAAAAAAATTTTGTTATAATTAATCTAATCTTTTTATTCATATTTTGAAAGAAAGATGATTTAATAATTGATTAATTCTAAAAATGTTTTAATTTTCTTTTAAAAAGATTAAAAAAAAAATAAAGCCATATTTATTTTAGAATATGAATTTGAGAATGTATTTATAATAAAACTTAATTTTTTTACAGGGGTAAAAGAAAGTGGGTTAGTTCATTAGAAAATTGAAGTTTTTGTTAGGTTAGAAATTACACTTTTTGTAAAGATTTTTTTATTATTTTAAATGATCAAGAAAATAAGTTTTTTAGATTGAAAATATTTCTCTCGAATCAAGATAGTTTTCTATTAGAATAACTAATTACTAATAAGAAATTATTAGAAATTCAAAAAATTAACATTGGAATAAGACTAAAAAGTTTTTAGTATTTAAGATTTATAGAAATATGACTTTATATAATAAACGAAACCCATATTTTTGTTATATATTTTTATCCATAGTTTGTATGTGTATCCCGAGAAAATTTTTTTACATTTACGTACATCTATACATGTGCATTACGGATTATATCTCCCTTAATCTCCGTATATCTAAAAACATGCCAAAATTTAGATGTCTGTAAATGTATTCCATTTTCCCAGGTAGAATAATAAAAAACTAATATTATTTGGATTCATTTAGATTTGAATGTTTTTTTAAGATTAATATTAAAAAAAATTTTTTTTCGAGAAAATAATCAGATTTATAAAGTGAATAAAAAATATTCTTTCAATAATTGATTTTTTATTTAAATAAAAAATCATAATACATTATTAAATTCCACAATGATTAAAACTGCATGAGCGTTTATCAATAATTCCCAATTCTAATATATTATAATATAATAAGTATATATACTTAAAATTTAAATCAAGCATAAAATAAGTATAGTTTTTAAAATTTTTGAGTACAACAATGTATACCCAAAATACTCTAAAATCCTCAAATTATTGATATGAATGAACTCAAAAGAAATCCTTCATTTTCTTCTTGATGGGCTTGTTTTATATTAACAGTGAAGCAGTAGACTATTATTCCTGTAAAAATCTGATCAAAAAATTCTATTAAATTGTTGAAATCTTCGTATACACAAATATCCCATCTCTATCAAAAAACAAAAGCCCTCAGAAATTGAGTAAATTTCTTAGTATTGCTCATGTTTTTTTTTTTTTTTTCAATTTTCTTAATTTATAAAAATATGTTACAAAAATTCATTGTTGTTTCATACAAAAAACAAATCTAAAAAATAGTCTCCGAACTCGAAAATCGAGTAGTTATATTAGTAGAGTATTTTTTTGAAAATTTAGAATTACAATATTCCCGAACAAATTAAATCCCTTTTGTGTTATTAAACAAGGTTTTTTAGTCCAAGAAAATTAGTCATTGCCTGCAAAATAATCTGACAAGAAATTTTGAAGTTATGCAAAAAAAAAACACTTTTTACGAAATTTTTCGACACGATGTCACTTGAACGAATTAATCGATTTTGATACAGCTTGCGGCAATCGAAGTTGTTTTTTGAGGTTTAAGCTGATTAGATTCTAAAATCGATCGATACACTAGTTTAAAAGTTTAGTTTAAAGATTTCTCAAAATCTACCGATTCAAACTCAAATGAAAGCTAGTAGCAATAGAATTCTTTTAACACACATTAGCGATATTTTCGTAGAAATAGTCAGAACTGCTTCTTAGGACCTCAATACACAGAGATCTAACGCGAACTCAATTTGGAAAAATCAAAGTGAAACCAAAACGTCTCAATTTCTGAAGATCAGTAATTTCCATAGCGAGAAGTTAAAAATGATGAAAGTATGATTATTAAATTGCATTTAAACTTAAAATTTAATGTTTTTTCAGCATTAGAGGTATGATCTATCCATACATTTACAATTAATAACAATAATTACCAAACTCAATAGACTATTGTCTATTTTGAAGAATCCACAAGCTGTGATGTTGTAATTGGCATGTAGCAATTCAATATAAAACTTTTCTAACTGCAAAAATTAATTTTAATAACAATTGCAGAGCCAAAAACAAAAAAATTATTTGTAAAAATTTATTAATTACCTCATCTTTAAATGAATCGTCACTTGAACGAACAGTTATGATTTTGCTAACATTATCCTTTGTACGTTTCATCTAAAAAAATTAAAGAATATTAAATTGTAAACAATTAATAGAATACTCAAAACAAAATTTTTACAAAAACCTACTAACTTCGGTGATAATTTTAGTGACAAAGAAACAGAGGATAGAAATCGGTACAAGCGAAAAAACAATCAGCAAACCGGTGCCAAAATAATGGAGTCCCATGTTAAATAATTCTTCGGAAGTAAATTTCGTTCTGATCAACAATTCCACTGATAAAAGTAAGATAGGAAAATTTGATAAGACAGCGAAGAGTATTGGAACTGAGTAAAATTTAGTGGTGTCACATAGACAATTATAAAGCAATCTATGAGCTTGCCGTAGAAAAATCAATTTCTGATTCGTTATGTTGTTACGAATGCTGTTTGTCCATAAACCAAGATAATCGAATCCATTGTTGTTGTTCGCGAAGACCAAAAGCGATGAGTTCAAAGTTTTGAGTCTTTGGTACAGGTAAATCATCACAGATGCGTACTGAATGACACAAACTTCAGTTATGAACAATGAGCTTAGTGTAATATATGTTTCTATAGTTTGGTTCGTGCTCCACAAAGCGTGAAAAACAATTATTGCGATAAAATTAATAGTAAAAAATATTGTTATTGCAATACAGTATTTTTTGACAGACGTTATTTTAAATGAATAGTCCCAGGATTTACAAGCCAGCTCGGTTTCTAAGTATGTTAAGTTGGTAATTATTTTGACTGACAATTGTTGTTTTAAACAGTAACTTGTGATAATCATCATCAGACTGAAATTATTGACTATGTCATACAAATGTTGATAGGGATTTTCGAAGTGCTGATGTACAAAATCGTAGATTATTTTAAAAAGCAAGCAAACTGATAGTATAAAATCATAGACTGACTCTTCGAATGAATAAGTGTAATTGATATCGAATTGTTGCTCTTTTTTATTCTGTGCCGAAGGTATCAAATGCACGTTGAAAGGTGCAAGTCCTAATATTTTGAAAAATTTTAACAAAACTCGGTACAACTGTATCTCAGATATAAATATATTGCACGTAAATTTCATTTTTTACTTTTTGTTTTAATATTAGTTATGTGAGAATTTAAGTAAGACTGAAATCGTTTTACTTTTGGTAGAAAAGTGGATAATGAAAGTGTAAATACTGAGCTTAGAGTAAATAAAGTTTCTGCTTATTTACACATTCAAAGTAAATATAATTGATTTTTGGGGGTACTGAGAATTATTGTAGAATAAATGATTGAGAGGGTAAGGAAGGACTTGAAAGGTGTTTATTGTATTTTTTATGAGTAAATATGAGGAGAATTGGAACGTAAATTGTCAACGGAATTGATTGATAGGAACAGTAAAAAAAATTTATTACTGAAGAATTTTTAAATTTATATTTTCATATTTTGGAAAATGCGAAGAGTTTAATAAAATGAATTCTTCGTTTTTTTTTTTTTTTTTTTTGCAAAATTATGGAATCATAAAGGCTTATAATATAAAGTAAGTTATTGAGAAAAATCGAATTTTCAAACAATAACATATATAATTAACCATAAAAAAACTTGACCATAAAAAATCGAAAAATTGACTTATTCAACTTTTTTTTTGTCATTTTATTTTTCATTGCGACGGATTTTTGAACATAATTCGGAAACTAGTAGAAAATATGTTTTTCGAATAAGTTTTTAATTTGAAAGTTAAAAAATTACCTATTTGTCTTGTTTTTCATTGAACTTTTTAAGAGGAATTAACTTGCGTAGAGTGCGATCATATTTTTTTATTTTTTGTTAGAGTATAAAAAACTAAATATTAATTCTAAAAAATTGTGAGGATTCGAAAAATTGACGTATTGACTAATTAAAATAAATTTTCAAATTTTCAAGATGAATTCATGTGCACATCTATCTGAAATTTATTTCCATTTTAACAACAGATAAATTATCTTCACTTGATAGTGTAAATCCCAGAACTCATCTTTTCTCTTCTTCCCCTTCTCGCCTTCCCTGCCTTCTCCATCTTACAATCGACAAAAGCGCCGCGAGTGTTCACCAATTCTAACTTTATTGATTGATTATTAAGCTTTCTACTGAGCATTCACTTCTTACCTTCTTCACTCGCTACTTTTTCTCAGGGAAATAAAAAAAAACAACAAATAAATGTCGGCCAACTGACAAACGTTTTTATAAATTCAAAACAAATTGATTATTGCTGTCAGTAAATAACTCCCAAAGTGAAATATTTTAAAATCAAAACAACAGAGTTATTTAATTTGATTACTTTTGTTGTAAGTAAACTTTCTAAAACATATTTTAGTAATTCAATAAGTATAACATGTTTTATTGATTAAACTACCGTGTATTAAGTTATAGGTATATAAATTGACATTATTGATACTCACAAAAATTATTTTATTATTATTATTGAAGTATTTCAATCAATAGTAATTACACTTGATGCTATTTCTATTCACCGACTGCTAATTAATTTAATAGTCCCTTCTATTCCATTTATGTAAATCCTCTCTCACACGTTCCCTAGTTATATCATTTAACAACTCCTTGCTAAATTGTGTAATAAGCATGATAATATATTTATTCTAATTTCTAATTTTAGATAGAGCACAAGGATAAGGAAATTTATTAAATAAAATAAGTTTAAAAAATAGTTACCAATGAAAGCCGATTTGAAATGTCTTACACTGAATTGGAACATGGTTATCAGGTAATTTTTTAATTATTTATTATAAAATCAAATTTTTTTAGTCAACATGCCAAGCAATGTTGTATATTTTTAACTGTATATCACTCTTTATACGAAATATTATGTCATGGTCATAAAACAACAATTTTTTAACATTTACCAGTGAAATTTTCTCATTGAATAATTTATGATTATTTTTCAGTAAAGTTAGCACTTGATTTATAAATTTTATTTTTAATTAAAGGATCTACGGAGTACCAGCCGACCAATATTTTATGTAGGTGATATTGATTCAGTGTCGCAAAATATTGTAGGTGCTATACCGTCTTCGATTTATCGGTCATCTCAACGCGTAAGTTTTTAAATTATAATTATTTTACTGAAATAAAAAATTAGAAAATTCATAGCACTTAATTGTCTTGCTCACAATCCAATCATTATTAATTATTATTATTGAATTGCTATAGGACGAATTTATTGTCAATTCTTTCTTAAGCTCTGGAATTACGTAAATAATAAAAATTAATCATGAGTTTAAACATAATTCTAATTTATTACTAAATACATCACGACAATTTAATACAGTGAGAAAAAATAAAAAAAATTTCAAGGTTACCTTAACGACAAGATTGAAATTCATAAATAAAATTTTCGGTGTTTTTTAACGGGCTGTATTTAAGTAAAAATAATTTTATTGAAAACATAAATAAAGATTTATCAGTCAAAAATTTTTAAGAGTTACGATTTTCACGCAATCTTAAAAAAAAATCACAAAAAAAAAGTTATGTAAATTTTTTGCAATTTTTTTTTTTCGGAAATTTTTTTTTTATTATATCAATTTAATAGCCTCTTTATTCAGCCTAAATTTAATTTTGGAATTTTTTTCTACGTCAATTTATTTTAGAGATTTCCGACTTTGAATGACAAAGGATTTTTTTTCCTTGTAAAAAAAATTTAAGGCCAGTTTTAAAACTGAAATAAATGTTTTACTAGAATTCTTCATTATCCTCTCAAGGGCTGTTTATTTATTTAAAATTTTTGACTCGGTTGGATATTGTTAGCTTTTTTCATCAAGTGATATTATATATATCGCGCACAATCCAATTGAGACTCCTAATCAAAAGATAATATTAATTTCATATATTGAATTTTATTTATTCGATTTTATTGTAATTTTTTATAGCCATAGAATATTTATCGAATGAATAAACTAATGAACGTGAATTTATGAATTTATAGTAGTTTTAAATATTTGACTTGAGTTTTATAAACTAAAACACCTAATCAACATTGAGTTAAAAATATTATTTGGTAGTTCTGATTTTATACAGCTGTTATAATGATAAGTTATCAAAAAAAATGTTAATCTAAGTCATCATGCAAATCCTTTTATTTTTATACGATTGATACAATATTTCATAACAAGATAAAGTGAAATTGTTTATTACTTAACGTAGATAAGTTTAAATCTTCCGAGTTTTGATATTTAATTTTATATTGTTACATGTTATAGTATGATATTTATTTTATTGATATGAAAATATTCCTAAAAGTCTTTGCCAACAATTTTGGGTTGCTGGATTATTTATCAACCATAGCAACTAAAATAAATTATAAAAAACTTATAAAAAAGACAAAAGTACAAGGTTTTCTTTTTTTGTACTTGGAAAACTGCGTTGAATGACGTCAAGCACGTAAAAATCGATTGACGCATCAGAGATACATCGCAATTAAATTACTTCAACAAGTGTATTTCTTTTTACAATTTATTGTTAGGTTTTTTTAACAGTTGTTAAATTTTTTAGCTCTGAAATCTCAGAAATGTATTCCAAAATTTATTTTGAGCTTCAACAGCTTAATTACTTGTGAATATTGTTATTTTTGAGCGATTTGAACTCAAAAAATGCAAAAAGCATTTAGTTTTTTTAGTTTTTTTTTATTTTACCTTAAAAAATTACTAATTAAAAATATCTGTAACTTCTGAAAAAATAATTCAAATCTCAATGAATATTTTTTTTACACTAATTGACTCGTTATCCTCTACTGTACTTACACAATAAGCTTAAAATAAATTAATCATATCAATTACTGAAAAGCACTGAGTTAATTATATAACAATAATTATAAATAAAATAAATAAACACCAGAAAGTAAAATCAGAAAAAAAAAATTCAAGAAAAAAATCATCACCGATGTTGTTCGGACAACTAATGATAGTATACTAGTTAAAAATATAAATTAAACAATAATAATTAACATAGCAAAGGTCGATGGCACATATATTAACACATTGACATGTTTTCTAAATTTAAATCAAACTATTCTTAGAGAGTAAAAAAATAAATATAAATCCACTGGTGGCGCCAAATTATTAACATCTTCATCAGTAATTCTTAAACTATTCATACTATGTCATCAATGTTAATTAATCGTTAATCAATAATTCGTTTATTGTAACATAATTTTATAGAAAAAAAAAATTACTGCTGAACTTTGTTCAATTTATTAAATAGTGTTGTAAATAATTTTTCTAAATGGCTAAAAATTGGTGGAAATTTTGGAATTTATTGATACCCATTTGGCAGTGGTTGTTGCTACGATGTAGTAGTTTACGTAAAAATGTTTTTATTTCTTATATTACAAACATGGGGTAATTTTTTTTTATAAAAATTAAATTAACTATTGATAAATGCTAAATTAATTGTTTGAAAAATAAAAAATTATAATATTTCAGTGATAAATTTAGGAAGTATAACAATAATAATAATAATAATAATCACAATAACAATAATCGAGATGCAAAAAGTGATATTAAATGTACAATAGTATCGTGCGAAAATAATTCGTCATTGTTACCTAATGTATGTGTCACTGATTGCGATGAAGTGGAACCTTATTGGCAACTTATGGTATTATTATTTAATTTCTTCTTTGTTACTCAATAATAATTAAGTTTCTCGTTTAATATTCAATAACAAAAAATAAATTAATTTATGAATTCCAATGGCATTGAACTCTGTAATTATTATTTCTCAAATAAAAATATTTATTGAGATGAAAAATAATCTTAAGTGTATTTATTGAAATAATATAAGAAGAAATAATGGTTACATGCGTTAATATCCCCGGACAAAATATCCCCGATAAAATATCCCCGCGACAAAATTCTTAAAAATTCTTAAAAATATAAAAATTCATCAATAATAATTTGAAAATTAATCTCAACATTATTTTTTTAGTGTGTTTGTGTGTTTATTCAAAATTAAACCAACAAAAACGCGGGGATATTTTGTCGGGGATATTTTGTCCGGGGATATTAACGCGCGTCACCGAAATAATATAGCGTAAAAATGATAGAAGCGCATGATATTTAAAGTCTAACCATTCGCATTTTAAATTTAGTCGCGGTAATTTAAACACTAAAATAACGACTGAATAATAATTTAAATTATTTATTATCGCAATTGTTTACGTCACATGTTAATTTACTTGTGTATATAGTATACACATATAGATGTAGATATACAAGTGATACTATAAACGTAAATATAGAAATAAGATAATAAATGTGTGTTAGTTCGAAGGCAAAAGAGTGAGAAAAATCGCACGTGTTTGTTATAGATAAAGCGAGTTAGATAGAGGAAAAATATTGTTTCATATTCTTTAGTTTGTTGAATAGTAAAAACTAGTTGAGCGTAGAGTAACGCGCGATTAAGTACCGTTTATTTTATTGTTATTCGGTTTTTATTAATTTTTATTATTACAAAGACCTACATCATTTCTTCAACTATGCTGTTGAAGTATTTAATTAATTTTAATAATAATTATTGTTAAAACACTCTATTAGTTATTTTAATTTTTATTAGTGATAAGTTAAAAATATATGTGTATTAAAGATAGTATCGAAATACTTAGAGATAAAGTAATCGATTGTGATGGTTAAAAAGATATATATTATAAAGAGAAAAAAAGTCTTGCTGAAACATGAAGATGTATAAGTGTGCAATGGAATGATTTAATAATGTATTGTTGTACGTACTTCAAGTTTTTTCATAAAGTAACGAAAAAACTAAACCGAGTAAATTTTATAATTGAGGGATGGAGTGGACTTGGTGGAAAGATTGGTGGAGATTGAAGAAATGGCGACAACGTAATTTAAACAGTAATTTTAGTGATGATGATTTTTATGATTTGGATTACTGTTATTGTGATGAATGTATTGTAAGCTTTTATTTACTTTTCTTATTATATTTACTTAATGCGAGCTAATATTTCTCTATTGAGATTTATTATCTGGAACAGTTATTTCGTAAATTCTATTTTTAAATCTCAAATAAATTCATTTTTATTCACTTGAAAGCTTTTGAAGAAATGCCCATTTTATGTTAAGATACCGGATGTCATATGACAATGTGCATAGTATTGATTTCTCGGTATTATTTGTCTATCGTATTTTAGTTCTAAAGCGCTTTTGACAACAATTTTTTTGACGAAAAAGAAATAGTAGCTAGCTTCCTAATCTCACAAAATATAAATTTCAATCGGTCGGTAGCTTCTGTAAAGACAGTATCACACAAAATTTTTCTATTTTATGTTAAGTGTTTTCAATAATGAAAAAATTTTTTAATAATATTAGTTATTCTTCACCTCCAAATAGCTACCGTAGATTCGAAGTAATTAAATATTATTTACTTGAAAATTTTTTTAACTTAGCCTGTCTTGAGTTCAATTTTATTTTGTGGAATAAATGAAACACCTATTGTGGAATATTTTTTATTTTTTTAATAATTTTTTCGATTTAAAACTCTATAATAAAATTACAAAATCAAAGAAGAAAAATTTTATCAATAATAAATTTAACTGGAAATTTCATTAAGATCCATTAAGAATTGTGGGAGCTAGGCTGAACTCATGCCGCATTATACCATATACATATATGAGCTAATTTAAAAAATAATAATATTTTTCAAAAGTTGCATCATAAAGAAAAATACAATAGTTAGAATTCTATGAAATCTACTAAAAATAAAACAAACGTATAAATTCAACATTTACTTTAAAATCAAAATTCTAATTTTGAATATTTATGTCCCAAGTCGTAAAAAACATTAAAATTAACTGCAAAAATAATACGTTGTAGAATTAGCATTAATATTAATTGTCAAAATGACAAAAATTGAGATAAAAAGATTCAAATTTTTTAAATGTAGCTCTAATTACAGAAGTTTGTTAAAATATTAAGTATTGAACAAGTGATTAATAAACTGTTTCATTAATTCCAGGGCGAACTGTCGGACGGGTGTGACAATGATGACGGGTATATGGTCGAGGATGACCTTGACGGCGAGGGGAAGCAAGTATTGGTGGGAATATGTGCTATGGCCAAAAAATCACAGAGCAAACCTATGAAGGAGATTTTAACTAGACTTGAAGAGTTTGAATACATTAAAGTTATTGTTTTTGGTGAAGATGTAATACTCAAGGTAATAAATATTAATCAAATAATGATATCCGGTAAATATTTAAAATTAATAATTATTTTTTTTTTTATGTTCCAGGAACCTGTTGAAGATTGGCCTGTTGTTGACTGCTTAATTAGCTTTCATAGTAAAGGATTTCCATTAGATAAAGCTATTAGTTATGCTAACTTACGTAAACCTTTTATTATTAATAATCTTCCAATGCAATATGGTATACAGGTATTTATAACATTAATTAATCCGCAATTTGGTGCTGTTTATTTTTTTTTCTTCTTCGCTTTGGCTATTTTATATAACCCTCGAAATCGTTTTAGTGCTAATTATCATAGAATTTTATAAAATTTCAAAATATTGTTATCAAAACTCGAAAGTATTGCTTTTATGAAATTTTATAAAGTCTTATAAAATTTTATGAAAAACTTTTGACTAAAAAGTTATCTACATACATCTAAAATCAAGAAACATGATTTGTTTAAAATCTAAATATTTTTTCTCATAAGAGGATGCACCTAGATTTGTAAAAAAAAATGACAACCTTTCTTGATTTTAGATATGCGTAAATCAACTTATACCTAAAAAATGTTAGATGTTACTAATACTTAACAAAAAATCATATTAATTTTGATGCCACCAAGGAATATATTTTCTTTTGTAATCGATTATTTGATTAATTAATGTATTAGAATACAAATATCACTATTAGTCAATAACTAATTAACTTGAATTACAGGATAGAAGACGAGTTTATGCTATTTTAGAAAGCGAAGGAATTGAAATACCTCGTTACGCCGTTTTAGATCGTGATTCAGCGGATCCCAAACGTGAGTACATTTATTTATTTATAATTGTTTTGATGATTTTTTAAAAGATGAATAATTTAACCACTATTATTTCTTCTTTTTAAAATTATTTTCTTTGGTACTAACGCATTTTTTCAACTAATATAACTAAGCTAATTAACATTGTCTTTTTTTTTTGTTTTTTTTGTGTTGAATGTTCAATAATTTGACATGGAAAAAACTAAGATTGTTTTTCAGATCACGAGCTAGTTGAGTCTGAAGATCATGTTGAAGTTAACGGCGTGACATTCAATAAGCCATTTGTGGAGAAGCCAGTGTCTGCTGAAGATCATAATATTTATATTTATTATCCGACTTCTGCTGGTGGCGGCAGTCAAAGATTGTTTCGTAAAGTAAGTGTTTATGAATTATTCAATTTTACTTAATAAAAATTTGAATATTTTTTAATAAATAGATTGGGAGTCGAAGCAGTGTTTACTCACCAGAATCCCGTGTCCGTAAGACTGGTTCCTATATTTACGAAGACTTTATGCCCACTGACGGTACCGACGTTAAAGTTTATACAGTAGGACCTGATTATGCTCATGCGGAGGCAAGGAAAAGCCCAGCCTTGGATGGAAAAGTTGAAAGAGATTCTGAGGGAAAAGAAATACGCTATCCGGTTATCCTTAGCAATGCTGAGAAATTAATTAGTCGAAAAGTTTGTCTTGCCTTCAAACAGACTGTTTGTGGATTTGATCTTCTCAGGTTTTTAATTTTATTATTTTTTATTGATGTTCATAAGTATAGTTCGAGTATAGTTCTCAAAATTCGCACCTCTCTAGTCTATTGCACGATGTCATATTATTTATTCATTGAAAAGAATTCAGAAAAATTCATAACTGCGAATTTGTTTCAATCTTTTTTAATTCCTCACGGGTTTAATAATTCTTGAATCATGTATGGGTTAAATAAGGTTGAATGGAATTGATTTTATGGATAAGCGAAAAAACCGAGAAATTGGATTTATTTAGATGAAATCAAATCTCATTCTTTTCAATTTTTTTAATCAAGGAGGAGCGAATAACTTAGTCAATTTTTCGGTAATTATTTACAAGTGGGGTCCACCCTACTTTTGGCCATATCTAGGTGAAAAATTGAAATTTTTTTCTAATTCTGCTTGTTTTTACGGTGCATTTATGATAAAAAATGTCGTAAAAGAAAAAAATGAAGATTTCGATAGCTTTTTTGCCTTCAAAAGTTGGAAAAAATTTTGGCTCTCATATTTTTGGATAAAATTTCTATTTTATCTTTTTTTTTGTTTTTTTATAAATTTATAAATTTTTTTGAAAATTTGTTAAAATTGTGATGATCAACTTTTTTTTTTTTTTAATTGTTCATTTTTTTATGTATTTTTCAAAAAAAAAATATATCAATAAAATCAAATAGAAATTTCGTTCAAAAAAATAAAAATTAAAATGGTGGATCCCACTTGTAAATAATTATCAAAGATAATTTTTCTAGAGCCAACGGGAAATCATTTGTATGTGATGTCAACGGGTTTAGTTTTGTAAAAAATTCAAATAAATATTACGATGACTGTGCTAAAATATTAGGCAACATGATACTACGTGAACTAGCACCAACGTTACATATACCGTGGAGTGTGCCTTTTCAATTAGATGACCCGCCAATTGTACCAACAACATTTGGAAAAATGTAAGCAATTTCAAAATTTCTTGATACAATTAAAAAAAATTAAAATAAATTGAATTATTTAAAATACTTTCAAGGATGGAACTGCGATGTGTGGTAGCGGTAATCAGACACGGTGACCGTACTCCAAAACAAAAAATGAAAGTTGAAGTGCGGCATCCAAAATTTTTTGAGATATTCAAAAAATACGATGGATATAAACACGGTCATGTTAAATTAAAAAGGCCTAAACAGTTGCAAGAGATATTAGACACTGCGAGGAGTTTGCTGACTGAAATTCAACACCGTGCTGCTGGGCCCGAGTTGGAAGAAAAGCAGGGAAAATTGGAACAACTTAAAAGTGTCTTGGAAATGTAAGTAATCTTCAAAATTTTTAAATGAATAGAAAATTTATAAAATTTTTTATTATTTTGGTTTTAGGTACGGGCATTTTTCAGGAATCAATCGTAAAGTACAAATGAAGTATCAACCACGTGGTAGACCACGCGGAAGCTCGTCCGATGACGGTAACAATTACAGTATGGTCATCATTTTCAATTCATTGTAGTCATTAGTCATTACGATCATCAATTGAGCATTTGAAAAAAAAAATAATGTTGATTTAATTGAATGTTTTCTCGTAGATCGTTTGGGTGAACCATCACTAGTATTGATATTGAAATGGGGTGGTGAGTTGACACCAGCCGGAAGAATTCAAGCAGAAGAATTGGGCCGCATTTTTCGTTGCATGTATCCAGGTGGTCAAGGTAGACACCTTAGTGGTTCGTATCATGCGCTAATTTATGCTTTTTATAAATCATCTTTTATTTTATCATTATTGTTAAATCAACTATTTGTAATCAGTATGTTTATCACTAGCATTGACTGCAGTTTATTTATTTTAGCCGATTACACTAGTTTCTTTGATACTTTAATTATAAAATAATTTTTTTTTAATATTATCAATCTTCTATGTTGTAGTAGTAGTTAATAATAATTTTAATTCCTGTTTAAAGGAGAATATGCAGGCGCTCAAGGTCTTGGATTATTGAGATTACATTCAACATTCCGACATGATTTGAAAATTTACGCGAGCGATGAAGGAAGAGTTCAGATGACTGCTGCTGCTTTCGCTAAAGGATTGTTAGCGTTGGAGGGTGAACTCACCCCGATTTTAGTACAAATGGTTAAAAGTGCTAATACTAATGGATTATTGGATAATGATTGTGATAGTAGCAAGTATCAAAATATGTAAGTCTTTACAATTTCTTTTTATCAATAATTTCAATGCGAAAAAATAAAGTAATTATTAAGATATAAGTGCAAAATTTTATGATTCTTATAGTGTACATTTTATTAATAGTATAAATAATTCTAGGGTGAAAACAAAATTACACGAATTATTACAACAAGACAGAGAATTTACAAAAGAAGACAGAGAACAAATAAATCCCGGTAATGCAATAAGTATTAATGATGCGTTAGATTTTGTAAAGAATCCAGTGAGATGTTGTCAGCATGTACAAATGTTAATACACAAACTGATGGATATTGTACGAATTAAAAAAGATGATCCCAAAACAAAAGGTAAAGCTTTTTCTTTATTTTGTTAAAAATAAATTTCATAGAAAACTAACTAGGGTAAACCTGCCAGTGAATGACCGATTTGTTGCCGGTACTGATAATTTAGCTTATTGTAGTCATAATTAACTTCAAAACTTAACTTGACCGTTTTAATTGTATTCATAAATTATTTTTATTTCGATTTTTATAATAATATTGTCTTCTTTATCTTCGCATATTTTACAAATTTAATAAAATGAATCTGATTATACAAAACCCAGTGAATGACCGTACTATTCCATTGAATGACCAGGCTCAATCCAGTGAATGACCAATGTGCAAATTTATAAATTACAACTTTAAAATTATTTCTCATAGGGATTTGTTTTACATGAATGAGAAACTAATGATTGTTTACAAAACAATAAAATTTTTATTTATTTAGTACACGGAAAGAACAATATGGGAACTTTTCCCATAATTTTATGGGAACATTTCCCATAACGATGGGAATGGTTCCTATAATTATAGGAATGATTCCTATACAATTATAGGAACCATTCCCATAATATTATGGGAAATATTCCCATAATGATATAGTAATGGTTCCTATATCATTATGGGAGCTATTCCCATAATGGTATGGGAAGGATTCCTAAAATATTATAGGAATCATTCCTATACCATTATGGGAATCATTTTCAAAATAAATATCTATCATCATAAATTGACTATTGACGAGAATGATATGAAACCTTGGAAAGAAACAAATTCAAGTCATGTCCTTTGCAATGACACTAAATTTCACTAGAAAAATCGATTTCATCATGTGACTATCCAGAAGACAAAATTGTTCTTATTCTCTTAATAATGTAAATTATTATTATTTAATTATTATTGATGTTATTTTAACTATTATTGACTACCACATGAAAATCATGTTGCTGTCACATGAAAGTCATGTATCTTCCACAGGAATGTATCATGTGGTAGCCCCAATGATTCCTATAGCATTATGGGAACCATTCCCATAATATTATAGGAATAGTTCCCATAATATTATGGGATTAGTTCCCATAATGGTATAGGAATAGCTCCCATAATTTTCTTTCCGTGTACAATGAAAATAAATCAAGCACATTCAACATATTTACTTTAAATTAAAGTATCCATAAACTTAACATATAATTGACATTTAAAAAGTTTTCATATATATGAATAATTTTTTACTCTATCACATTTAATCTGTTATCACATATTATGCAAGTGTTTAAGATAATACAGGAAAATAAACGTACGGTCATTCACTGGTAGTAGCAAATATCGAACTTACCAATAAATGACTAGTCAGTCATTTACTAGCAAAGCACACTTATCAAATAAGCCAGTGAATGACCGACGCCAAATTAATATAAATAAATTATTAAGTTAAATTATATCCATCATAGGTCAATTTTAATATTAGTTAATATCTACACAAATGTCTATAAATTTTGTATTTTGGACAAAAAGTAATTATCTATAACTAAAATTCACAGTTTTCTAAGTAGCCGTTTTCACAGAGTTTTGTCAAAATTTTATAATTTTCTAGAAGTTCTCGGATTCTCGATATAATTTTTATGAATTTTGAAAATACACTTTTAAATTATTTTAATTCGTGGATATTAAATATTGAAAAATATATGTAAGATTACAATTATGATTGAACATTGACAGTTAACTAAATTTTTGGATTTTTATAATCATTATTTTCATTACCGGTCATTCATTGGCGGGCGGTCACGGACTGGACGGTTTACCCTATTACATTTGTCTTCATGACGAAATTTTTAAAAAATGTTGCTAATTAGTTGACTTATTTAAAATTTTGTTGCTTATTTGGATTCCGAGCAATCATTGATCATATCTGTCCAAAATTCGTTTTTCTACTGCTAACTTGAAGACATTTGTGGTTTGTTATGACGAGTGTTAACCATTCTTAACAGATTTTAAATTAAACTTTTCATAGTTATACTTAAGACGATTATCAAAGTTAAATTCGAGTCAATTCTTTGACAGATTTTTGTTTGATTAAAAAATTCAATTTAATTAAATAAAGTATTTCTAACTCGTTAAAATACAGCACATAATTTAAAAGTCAATATCAACCTTGTTCATTAATTATTTCTACAATGCTTTTTAATTATTACACATGACAAGCTCGAAAAAATAGAAATTAGGAAAGTTGAATAATATATAAGAAAATCAATTATCACTTACAGCACAGCTAATTAGTATTGAAAGGATAATAAATAAAAAAAAGTTATTGATTTTTAATAACTTAAATTTTCTCATCAACTTAGTTTAATTGCTTATGCATAGCTTTAAGTATCTTCTGTATAACTAGTTCGAACAGCGCGAACATTTGATAATTCATTTTCTTTGCTCATTCAAAAATTGTTGAAAAATTATTCTAGAGTTCATTAATTTAAATAAAATTTAATGTCCATTATATCTACCTACTTTTCTAGACCAAAAGTTATCTTTATTTATATTTATTAGATAAAATTTTACTATAACATTCTTTTATAGTAACTCTGAAAAATCTACTTCTATTGTAACTGCCGAATGGCCTTTTTTATATTCTTTATTATTTCTATTATCAATGGATATATTTGTTATATTATTTTAGATGCCATTTTATACCATGGAGAAACATGGGAGCTGATGGGCCGTCGTTGGGGCAAAATAGAGAAAGATTTTTGTACAAAAAACAAACGTTTTGATATTTCAAAAATACCAGACATTTACGACTGCATAAAATATGACTTACAACACAACAACCATACTCTGCAGTTCGATCACGCCGAAGAGTTGTATATGTATGCAAAGTACTTAGCAGATATTGTGATACCTCAGGAGTACGGTTTAACAGTCCAAGAAAAACTTACAATTGGGCAAGGAATATGTACTCCGCTCTTGCGAAAAATCCGTGCCGATTTGCAGCGCAATATTGAAGAGTCTGGTGATGAAACTGTTAATCGTTTGAATCCGCGGTACTCTCATGGAGTTTCAAGCCCCGGAAGACATGTAAGAACACGATTGTACTTCACGAGTGAGAGCCATGTTCACTCTTTGTTGACTGTGTTGAGATATGGTGGTTTATTGGACATGGTTAAGGATGAACAGTGGCGTCGTGCGATGGAATACGTCAGTATGGTATCCGAGCTTAATTATATGTCGCAAATAGTTGTGATGCTGTACGAAGATCCCACGAAAGATCCAAGCAGTGAAGAAAGGTTTCATGTTGAATTGCATTTCAGTCCTGGTGTTAATTGTTGTGTACAGAAAAATTTACCCCCTGGACCAGGATTTAGACCACATTCACGCAATGAAAGTAGTCATAATTTGGTAAGTGTATTTTTTTTTCTTCATTAATAATAATTATAATAATAAATAATAAATATAATTTCAGCAAGAAACATCATCGCAGTGTAACGCAAGAATTGATGAAGAAGACGATGAGCTAGGTCCTCTGGATGACGATTTAGTAAGTCCACCGCCTACTTCAAGTTCATCACCGCCATTAATCGAAACCGACCAACCAGATTCTACCCTTGGAAGTCCAACAACTAGTCGCGCCATCGATATGATGGATTTGGATCCTAACATGATGGACGAACCATTTGATAGTGGATTTCTTCAAAGCTCAGCGCCCATTCCTATTAGGTTGATTATTTTTACATTGTTATAAAACTATGAAGAAAAATGGTGATTAAACAAAATTATAATCTGATCTCAATTAGCGCGAGAACAGTCGCAGGACACGAAGCTGCGAGATTGGGTAGTCAATTAGCAGCAAGTCAACGTCAAAGACGCGAACGTGAAGCTGCTAATATTTGCGAACCACGAGCACGTAGTTACGATCATCAACGACAGGATAAAGCTGAAAAAAGTAAGTTTACCTGTGTTTTATAATTATTTGTATCTCTTTATTTTTACATATCTAATTGATATTTTTTCATAAATATATACATATATTTAAATTCTATTAAATTGACTATTAATAACATAAATGCCTGCACGATGAATGTTGCATGGCCTCACTTCTGTCTTATGAACTCTCAAACTTTTTTTTTATTAGTCGAAGAAATACTCAAATATTCTAATGGAGTTGGAAGTTAATTAAATCAAGAAAATTTATAAATTGATTAATTAATTTTATAGGCATAGAAAAATAAACGTGAGCTTGACAAGCTGCATTTGTATTGAAGAAATGATTGAAATTTTGAATTATGTTAGTTGTCTCTGTGAACTTGAAAAAAAGCATTAACTCTATCATGCTGATAGACTTTGTATCGATCCAATCAAAGATTGAATTTAATTTTTATACAAACAGATTAATGATATTGTTTCATAAATATTAAAAATTTTAAGTAAAACTAATAGAAAATTTAATCAATTAGATCTGATAACAATCTATTGATGTGATTAAAAAATATCGATATTACATTGAAAACTATTGATCTTATTTCAAACGTCTCTATGTTTTGTGTTTTCGTGTTTGTATTTTATTATTGTAGCGGCAGAAAAGCTGCAGTATCAAAGTCTGGATGCAGTTAATCGAGAAGGTATGTTTTTTTTTGTTGATTTTTTTTTTTTAATTATAATTTATTATTACTTACTTTATTGCTTTTGTTTGCACTGAAAATGATTTATTATTTTATCTTACCACTATTTATTATAATTTATATTTTGTTTTTATTTTGATTAGACTATTTTCTCAGTAAAATATGATGAAGATGAAGCCTTTTACTTTGTTTTTTCATAATTAATATATTTGGTTTGTCATATTATTTTGAAATAACTCAGTTGCTCAGCGATTATTGTGCGTATGGCGGATCCTTTATTAAACAATTTTTTAAAGATATCAATCGTTTGGACCACAAAGTATTCATTATTTTAAATGGTTGATACAACTATTTAAAATTTTATTTGTGATCCATCCAATGGGTATTTCATTAGAAAAATCCCGCCTAAATTGAAAATATTAAATCCTCAATCCTTAGGTTTGATAAAAATAATATCAATAATTAATCAATTAATAATTTACTCGTCTTAAAGAAATTAATGATTCTGGTTTATTTATTACATAATAGTAATTTGAATAAAAAGAAAAATGCTGCAAATTCGTATCAAGTATTGACATTAATTTTTATAATTTATTATAAAATTGATTTTTCAATTCAGTGCTTGCTTGGCTTTTGCATGAAAATTGTATGAATAATGTGTGTATGCGTGTAAACTACTAACCTTTCACAAAAAAATCCAAATTAATGAGAATTAATTTTTAAGTTTAAACATTATTTTTTAATTTAAAAAATGTTATTTTAATTTTAAAAATTCTATTTTAATTTTTCAAGTTTAATTTTGTTAAATATGCAGCAGTGGGACTCCATTGATTCTTTGCCATAAAAAATCGAAAAATTGAATTATCGACTGATTTATTTTTATTTTTTCTTACGGCCCATCACAAAAATTGATAAAATTTTATTTTTATATTTTCTTGTCGTTTGAAAATCAAAGTAATGAATAATAATTGTTATTTAATATATTGTTCTTTATTGAAAATTTTCGAAAATCAATTTTTTTACTTAAAGAGTATAAAAAACTGAATAAATTAAAAAAAAAAAAGTAGTACGATATCATTAGATTTTATCTATGCTTTAAAAGTGATTCAATATTCTTATGTATTTTAGTAAAAAAATAATTTTCAAATTTTATTTCTAAATTCACCGCGAAGAATAACAAAACAAAGAAAAAAAAAAACTTGAATAAGTTAATTTTTCGATTTTCTATCGTCAAAAATAAGCAATGTGCCACTTCCGCAGAATTACTTCAATCTTGAATCAATATAAATTTATTTTTATTATTAAAAGTTTTAGATTTGTTTACGTATTCATAAATTTTTATTTTTACTTCTTGGGTAATGGTAAAATAAAATTCTATTTCTTTCTCTTTTTATTCTTTCTTTTTCTTTTCTTTTATTTTTTTAAAACTCCTCAACCTAGACGGGAACTCCCGGACAGATTGGTCAACTCGGTCGAGAAAAAATCGTATTGCTACTACACCGTCAACATACTACCATAAAAACCCAACGCCCTCAATAAAGCAGTCGCGAAATTTATTGGGAGTCCCAGTGATATTACCTCACACATTAAGCTCGCCGGATTTACCAGCTCCATTAAAAGCCTCTCTAGATGACCATTCAGGACCTTTGATAACCTTCCATAATACAAGTCTTGGTTCACCGAGTTCGAAATCACCAGCAGCTAAAATAGTTGAGGAACCAATAATGCATCAACACAAACGTACTGCTAGATCACAATCAACGTTAGTACTTCCCCGATTGGATGTACCACCGGGTGAGTTGTTAAAACTTCATCATGATCATCATGATAATCACCAGGACCTACATCAGTTCCCAAGTGTTAAAAAAACAAAACGTTCGCGATCACTATCACCGTGTCAACTTCTACAATGCCACTGTTACAATTGCAATGTCTCTGAATTAATTCATCAAGATTTAAGTCCCTCTGAGCGTATTAACTTGCATACATATTTCGATCGTTCATTATCACGAAAATTTACCAATTGTTCGTGTTATAAATTAAACAATATTAATCTAAATGATGATGTTAATAATGATGTTGAAAAAATAATCGCTATTAACAGTAACAGAGCCGAAGAAATAGATAATAACAAAAAATTAAAACTATACCGTAAAAATTCATTACCCGTGTCAATAACGACCGAGTCGACTAAGCATGTGAATTCCATAAACTTTAATTGTAAATCACTCCTGTATGATAATAATGATTATGATGAATGTTATGATACGAGTGTTTCAATGGCAAATATTAGTGACTGCTCGCACGATACTGTTATTAAAAAAAAAACCACTATTACTACTATCACTGCTACTATTTCAACAAAAACTATTACTACTGGAACAACAGTAATTAAATCCTTGTCCAAGTTCCAAACGCAACGATCCTTATCGTCCCCAGACACACGACCTACGATCATTCAACCTAACCCTACCTGCACAGCAAGGCGCCATCGTCACAGTATCTCCGGGCAGATGAGTTATTTAAAGCTGTTGGGATACAATGTCAACAAAAAACTTACCGGATCAGCTAATAGTCTATTCAGTACTGCGGTAATCAGTGGTTCCTCTAGCGCGCCCAATCTTAAAGACATGGTACCAGCGCATGCTTCTGCGGTGGCTGGTAATCCATTTTTTTTTATATCAACATTCTTTAAAAAGGATGCAAAATAGCCAATTTTAATTAATATCTATTTTGGTCCTTTCCCATCACTTTGATAGTATTGATAGTAATTAATTTTCAACGATTATTTTGCGTGACTAGCTATTGAAGGATTTGGTGGAGTCCCACCTATAAGACCACTTGAAACTTTGCACAACGCGTTGTCATTACGACAGCTTGATTCATTTTTGGAAATGATGGCTAGCTCCTTATTTCGTACACCCGCGTCTTCTCCGCCAAAAATTTCGTCTCCAGGTACTCATCCGCATTCATTGGTTCCTGGTCTTGCAATCGATGCTATCAACAAAGATTACCGTCCTGGAGATTTAGAACCCGTGCGGTATGCTTTTACAACATTGGTTCTGTTTTCTAATGATAAATCGAATTTAAAAAATATCAATGAAATGAACATTTTTTATATTGCAGATTTATTAGTCCTGGTTATAAAGGGCAAGATAATGAAGTAACTGATCATCGCAATATTTCATCACCAACTAGCCCAAATAGTAAAAAAAATTTATTTGTCAAGGAAAATTTTTATATTGGAACGAAGTTTTTTAATCATAATTTTTAGTAACAATAGATTTAGATTTAAGATTTAAAGATGCTTATTGATTTAATATACATATATAAAATAATTATTTTCAATTTTTATACAATAATCAAGAGGGGCGATTGGAGTGGAAAATCTGAAAAAGAGAATTTTAAATTTCTGGAATAGTCAAGGAATTTTGTCGTCAATTGTTCATAAATTTTTAATAGGCAAACAAAATTAAATCTTAAATACTCGTGATGATAAAAATGAAGAACTTTTTTTTTATTTATAATTATCCTTTCAATATAATAATTAACTGTACGGTAAATAATAGTTATTATTTTATATGATTTGAATTCTCTAATTTTTATTTTCTCCAACTTGTTAGACATAACAATTACAAATATTGTAGAATTAATTAATTAGCAAAGTTAATATTAATTTTTACATTATTTGTTGTATTTTATAGAATTATGAAAACTATTTAATTTAATTTAATTTTTTAACTAAACAAAAATCTGCAAAAAGATTAATTTTATAAATCCTAGTCACAAAAATTTCACGCGATTTTTCATAGTGTTTTAAAATCGTGATGAAAATTTTATTTTGCGATATAATTGAAAAATTAAATATCTGCTCAATTATAAATTTTTAGTACATCTTGAAATTTTTTTTATAGTTAAGGAAAAGTCAGAATATTTTAAAATAGGCTTTTAATCGTCACCCTGATAGTACTATGGTTTTGTTCCCAGTCTTGAGGCGTACATAGTTTTGAATTTTCAGTAAAGCATTTTATGCATTATTTATCAATTTAAGATATCATGAAAATTGGGAAAAAAATTAGAGAAAAACTCAGTTAGAATAGTATTTACCAAGAAGAAAAAAAAGCTAGATTCATTACATAGGTTTCATGATTTTATTTCGTGGTAATTTATATTTTATAATAAGTATTGAGATCTGTCATTTTACATACGTTTGCTAATGGTCCTAGATTTAATTTTTCATTATAAAACTTCATCATAGCAACAATTGTTTTAGTAATAGTACTGTGGCATCAATTTTCATTGGAAAAGTTACCATGGATTTCAAACTTGATTATTCTTAATTATTGATTAATTTTACTGTGCTTGTTATTAAATTTTAAATACATAGTAAAAGAAACTTCGTTCCAACCGTGTGTTCTGCGATACCTGTTATTTTTATATTTGTTCTCATCATTAATTAAATTTAATTGCAGGTTTAGGATGGAGTAGCGGTCCTCAATCATTTCTATCATCGGAACCGTCATCGCCAGCTCCAACTTCCGCTGGAGGAAGTAGCATGTCTATGAGTTTGATCAGCAATGACGGGTGATTATTAATTATAATTATATCTAATGAACTAAAGTCGATTCAGATTTATATTTGTTCAGAATTTTTGATTGTTTTTTTTTTTTTGAATTTTTTCTTTTTAAATAGTCAAGGGTTTGCCGGTCCAACTTATTCCACGACTCCATGCATCGAAATGAATTTCAATGATTTTTGTAGGACGATTGATCAGGACAATCGTGAAGGACGCGGTAGTATTTCTTACACTGACTATTACAGCAACGAAGACGGTATTATTAGAAGAGTAACGCCTAAAGATAAAGATAAGGATGAAGGCTTGCAAGATCCAATGGATGATGAGGAAGACCATACGTTGACACTCAGGCAAAACGAAGAACAGAAAAAGCAAGATGTCAAGTCTCTTTTTGATCAGAAAGAGAGCTTGGTGAAACCTGGAAGTAGCTTCAAAAAAATTGGAAGGTTTGTAAACGATTTGTGTTTTTGATTTAATTATATTAACTGATATTTAATTTTTAGATTTCGAGTCGAAAGCATGGAGATAACTGATGAGGACGTACGAATCAAGGAAACAGAATCGAAGAAGCCAGATGAATTGAAAAAACCTAAAACAATTTCTAAAGTAAAAAAAGGAAAATTAATATCACGATCTCAAAGTGTTTCTAATGCACAGACTGATAATATTATGGGAAATATTACGGAAGTTGATCGAGAAACAAGTCATTATTCATCAACTTCATCTATGAAAGTCGGATCATTTTCAATCCCTTTGGACAAGGACTTGAGTAATTGGAAGAACCCTGAATCCCAAGCAGAAGTACCACCGTCGGCATCATTACCTTCACCTGCGATTACTATTAAACAAGAAGAGCCTATTGTCGTTGTAGCTAATTCAATGGAAGATAAATCTAGGTTTACAATTGGATTTGAAGTAGATGATAACAACAAAGATTGAAGTTAATTTATGTAAAATGAGTAGGCAGTGGTTGGAATTTAAACAATGAATTTTGCCTTTCTAGTTTATTCGCAAGTTTTTTATTATAATTATAACCGATTGATAACATTCAGATACTTAAATTTTATTATTTATCGGAAAATAATTTCATTGTCTCTTTTAAAAGTTGAGATATTTTTGCTAATGAATTAATTTGAATTTATGAAATAACAAATACATTCCTGTTTTGACGATGTAACTCTAAAATGGTACCTGGGTAAAAAACGTTTTATCAATGAAATGAAGATTATTCTAGTATTAGTAAGGATTTGTGTACAATTGGAAAATATGTATTATAATTGTAGATTATTGTTAGAATGGAATTGTATAATACTAATAATAATAATAAATATGAGCCAATACATGAAGCTGAGTGTTGAATTATTATTCTTCATCACTTCCGAGTGATCGATAATATAAATAGCAATAAAATTATTTTAATTCGAAAGAAACAATTACCAATTTTGAATTATTGAAAACTTAATGTTTTTACGTGTTGAAATATTTGGTGGCCCTGAAAAGGGCCGTTTGGTTTAATCGTGGTCAAAGATAGGAAGTTTACTTGGAGCTGGTGTATTTAGTGACGGCTTTGGTTCCTTCACTGACGGCGTGCTTAGCCAATTCTCCTGGCAACAGAAGACGGACAGCTGTTTGGATTTCCCGAGAGGTAATTGTAGAACGCTTGTTGTAGTGAGCGAGTCTTGAAGCTTCAGCAGCAATACGTTCGAAGATATCATTGACGAAACTGTTCATGATGCTCATAGCCTTGGAGGAAACACCGGTGTCGGGGTGAACTTGCTTCAGAACCTTGTAGATGTAAATAGCGTAACTTTCCTTCCTCTTCTTCTTGCGGCCCTTCTTGTCAGACTTGGTGATGTTCTTCTGGGCTTTGCCGGATTTTTTCACGGCTTTTCCACTGGCCTTTGGCGGCATGATGATAGTTGATGATTATCGATGAACGAGACACTGAACAATATAAGATATTACTCTGCAATAGCTGGAGAACGACTGGTGAGTTGCACGTTTTCGAGTTCGTATTTAAAAGAGAAAGGAAGGAAATTGACCATCTGTAAAACATGATTGCGGAAGAGGGGGAGAGAGTATATGCGTTCTCGTTTGCCCGGGTGCTTCGATAAAAAATATGAACAATGGTAACGCCCATCGGAACCTGCGGACAAATCAGATTAGAGTTATTGTCCCCCACTTCTTTCCATGCCGTTCATTCTTTCCGCATGCTCCTATCGAAAATCCAGTTAAGCGTTGGTACGGCATCCTTTTATTAAATTCCGCTAGAGCTCGCTCTGATCGCTTACACTTGTTCTTGCTACTTTCTAAAGTTATCATCATGTCTGGTCGTGGCAAAGGAGGTAAAGCAAAGGGAAAGTCAAAGACTCGCTCAAGCCGTGCTGGTCTCCAATTTCCAGTGGGCCGTATCCATCGTATGTTAAGGAAAGGAAATTACGCTGAACGTGTTGGAGCTGGTGCTCCAGTATACCTTGCCGCTGTCATGGAATACTTGGCCGCTGAAGTTCTGGAGTTGGCTGGAAACGCTGCTCGTGACAACAAGAAGTCCAGAATCATCCCACGTCATCTTCAGCTCGCTATCCGTAACGACGAGGAATTGAACAAACTTCTATCTGGAGTTACCATCGCTCAAGGAGGTGTCTTGCCCAACATTCAGGCTGTTCTCTTACCAAAAAAGACTGAAAAAAGCAGCTCTTAAATTCAATAATCTCAACTTCCATTAAACCAAACGGCCCTTTTCAGGGCCACAAAATTTTTCTCAACGTAAAACCTTTCATAGTTTGATCCACATTGGTCTTACCAGTGAATAAGTTATCAGATCTTATGTTAAAAGCTAGTAATTATACGCATGAATATTTTGTAATGAACTTTACTGATAGAAATAATTAATGTTCTTACATCAATAACTTTAATTTCATATTTAATCCCTGGCGTATCTTCTATTAAGTAATCGTCATCTAAAAGATATATCGTATTTGATTAGATTTTTTTTCAAGGCTGCACATTCACATTTAGATCATTGATAAGAACATTTTGATGAAACCTATTATATCTGCGGGATATTTTTTTAACTTCTTGCTAAGAAAAATTTAAAAATTTGAAGTTATTGGTTTTACCCCGTTTTGCGAGAATCGAGTTTTCATCAGATCTCGACGTTTTGAGGTTCTACACGGAGAAAAATGTGGAAATTACTCCTATAATTTTAATGAAATATTTTCCTATACCATTTTAGGAAATGTTACTATAATTATGGGAATAATACCTATAATTATAACTGTAATATCGGCATGATTCCCATAATATATAGGAATAGTTTCCATAATATTATAGGAATGATGCCTAATAATATTGGAGTAATTTTTTTTCACACAACTGTGGTATTTAATTAATTACTTTTAACTGAATTTATTTTTTTTTTTTTTTTGATTAAGTGATTCTTTTTTTATAATACATAAATTGATAAAAAAGTTATCAGTAATCATATTTATTATTATTATCATTATTAAATTAATCAGTTGTAGCAGTTGATATTTTTTTAATCTTTAATGGTATATATATATGCAGCAAAAAGTTAATTAAAAAAAAAAAATTCTAGTAGAAAAAAAAAATTTCTTAAATAAAATAAAATTTCCAATGGTTTTGAAATTCCAAATTTTCAAATGTTTTCGCGGTTCAACGTATGTATTGTAAATAAATAATTTGCTTTACAAATAAAATGAAATTGTAAAAATAAACAATGAATTTCCATATCTATTTTGCTCCTACAATTGTATAGTGAGAAAATATCCTTTTTATTAGATAAACTTTAAAATTGCTACAATATTTTTCAATATTATTTAACACAATAATAACTGAGCTGGAATAATAATTCAAGATTAAGTACACAAAAAAAAATTTATTAGCAAAAAAATACATAATTTATATTCTTGAAGTGATTGCTTCATTATTAAGAAAATAAACTTTTTTCTATAATTATGTGCGTCATTCCCATAATATATTGAAGCTATTCCATTATTGTATAGGAACGTTTCCAATAAACTATGGGTATGCTTCCCATAATGAGTATAGGATTAATGCCTATAATGATAATTTTATTATAGGAACCATTCCCATAATTTTTGGAAAGATTCCTATAAATTTCTCTCCGTGTAGAAATATACAAAAAAATTGAGCCAAAATTTTCGTAACGATCGTCATTTTTGACGATTTTCAAAAATTAAAAATTGGCATTTTTCAGAATTTCTTTTAATAGCCCCAAATGTCCCCTTTTAAACAAACGAAAGGTCATTCCTGCATCTATACTAGCGTTCGAGATATTTAAAAAAATAAAATTGAAAAACTGGAAAAATCGCAAAATTTTGAATTTGCATATCTTTTAAAAAAAGAATTTTTATTTTTTTTCCTTTGGCAGAACTTCGTTACATGATAAAAAAAAACTTCTGACCAAAATTTGTCTAAATCGAAAGGGATCGATTCCAACTATTGGTCGATTTGACATAGAATGACCGATTTATTGTTTGTTTGTTTTTGTGACGCTTTATAACCCGAGAAACTCGAGAATTATTGTGATCTACATTTTCATGCCATTTCATTTTTATTGTACATACATTTGTTTTATAAATTTATAACTATCATTAATAACAGTATACAATATATTCTAGAGAAAAAAATTTTTATGAAAACTTAATTTTTTGATTATCGTAATTAATAATCAAACTTAATTTATAATCGTTTTTCATTTTCAATTAATCTAGGACTATTCACATATTCACACCTTATATTTACATATGGCTCTTTTGGGAAACTCCTGCAACTATGATTTGTTTTTTGAGTGTGATTCATTGACCTGAACTTTGAATGATTTGTTTTTTAAGAAAATCATTAAAATTTTTATTACATATAAAGGAATTCCTATTTTATGCAGTTTGTATATCAACCCTTTGAGCTAAAATGTGTCAAATGCCTTTTCTATATTTAAGAGAAGCATTGCCGTCTCCATTTTGATATTAAAATCTACAGATATATCGTTAGTAATTCGAGCTAGCTTTTGTATCATACTTCTATGGTCTCAGAAACCAAACTGTTCTTTTATTAGAATGTTTTGTTCTTTTTCGAATTTTGTAAGTCTATTTGCTATGATAATTTCAAATATTTTACTATGTGTATTTAAGAGGATAATTGGTCTACAATTTTGAGGAAATAACTTCTCTTTTCCAGGTTTGGATAAATGTATATATAATAAAGACTAAAGTGAGCGAAGTGCTTTGGACAGACAGAGATACGAAGCTGAGACACCGAGCTGTTCACATCGACAAAGAGAAAAAACCGTGAGGAGATTCTCAACATACTGAACATAGCAGACAAAAAGTGAAGATACCTACCACGCCACCTAACACTAAACAACCTAGCCTAATGGCAAGGCTAAAAACTAAACTCCACAAGCGGAAAAAGAAGACCGCTTTAAAAGATACTACTAAAAAATCTAAAATTGACGACACATCAACTAAAATGGATGACCAAAGCATCAAAACAACTTCAGATGAAGAAGCAGAAGAAGATCCAACACCAATTAGATACAAATCGGTGCCGATTGTAATCGATACCACTGACGCTACTCACAACGAGATTATTGACTTAATAAACAAGGTCAAACAAACCACGACTGATACAAAATACAAAATTGCCCAAAAAACACTAACTATTATAGCAATTAACAAATTAGATCATATTAAACTTCTTAATCTACTCAAAACACTAAAATGTAACTTTCATTCATATGCAACCAACGATGAGAAGGAATTTAAATTTGTTATCAAAGGATTACCTAGCATCCCACTAGAAGATGTTAAATCAGAACTAGAAGAGCGAGGTTTTAAGGGGGTATTCTGGTCTAGAAATTTGAAAAATTCGAATTATTTTTTTTCGCATATCTGCAAAGTTTAGACCCTTAAAAATATGTCCTTGAGTGGATTTTTAAAAATCCGAATTATTTTCGGAGATACCGAGGATTTTGTGACGCAGCTGCTTCTGCTTCTGCTTCTTCAATAGAAGGCAGAACAGCTCGATTAGCAGAAAGAACTTCGCAAAACATCGAGTAGGAAGTAGAAGAAGGCTCAATTTACGGATCTGGGATTCGCGATTAATCCAAAGTGAATATTAAATATTATTATGAGTTATTTTACTGAAATCGTTTCTAAAACTTTAAACGCGATTCTCTCGAAACTACTTTTTTTAAAGTGATTGACATGATATCTTAAGTTCTACCCCACCGATTCCTTTGAAATTTAGTGGGAATTTGTTTTATATATCTCTCTATCGCGTCTGCTACGGATTTCAAAAAATTTCAATTTGGAGTATTTTTAAAAAATTCGAAAAGGTCATAAAAAAAGGTAAAAAAAAA